AAAATTATTTGACATATAATAGAAAGTTATAATAAGAAAGTTATAAATAATAAAATGAATCAATAAAAAAATAATTAGCATTTCATTTCTATATCCATAAAAAAACATCCCTTTTTAGAAAATTAAAAAAAAAATAAGTAATTAATCAGTTATTAACTCAGTTATAATATTTTTATATACTCATATATTTGTATATATATTTGTAATGATTAGTATGGAAACATTTATAATGATTAGTATGGAATAATTGTTAGCACGTTTATTGTAGAAGATCCTTATTCCTTAAGAATCTATCCTTATTGTTCTTTATTATATTTCGCTTTTCATTATTTTAATTGTGTATTCTTCATGATTAAATATTTTCTGCTGTACAATGCCGGTGATAAATTATTTCTTATTGGGCGATGTTCTATAATTGTAACATTAATGTGAACTTTTCGGAAAGTATTATTGTTATGGCGTAGCGAGTAATGTCGATGCAAGTGCTTTAATTAAAAAAATTATTTTCAAGAAAGATGATGAAAAAACTATAATCCATCAGTGATTTATGGTGATGAATGAAAATATTTCGCTACAAACATTAAGATAACTGCAACATTTATTAATTATGGAAAAAGACAGAAAAAACCTTCAAATCTAAATAAATCATATAAAGGATAACTGCAAGGATTGGAAGTCTTTTTTATTTGGTCTAATTAGCCACCTAATCATTTGCTTGGCAGTCTGGATTTGGCTCCTTGCTGGGATAATGCATCGAAAAAGGACGATTTTGCAATTTTTTAGGAATACTCACTATGTTGGCTAGACTTGCTCTGCTGGCTTGTTGAACTAGGTAAATTTTGGCAGGAGCCACTTGGCGATAGAAGTATAGATAAATCGTTAGCTTCAGTTATAAATCTCGATGATTTCATTATGATGATGCAAACGGGTCGATCTAATGAAATGGAATCACTGATAATTCTAATTGCCGAAAATAGTTTCAAAACAGTTGAAACTCATAAAGCCGAAATTGAAGACCTATAAAAATCTTCGGGAAAAATCGTAGATCCACACGATACTATCCTATAGTTTAAGTTCTGCACTTAAGCGAAATACACTGGATCAAAATAAGCTGAATCCAAGCAAGCTACATGAATCAAGAAATTAACTTTTACAATGAAGCTTTAGAAGTCCTTATTCGTTCTTCAGAAAAGTCTCACAATTTCGAAATTTTTATCAGTGGACTAAAATTTGAAGCGCTTTCTTCAATAATGGTTTTTTGCCGATTTAATCCGAGAATATTTGGTTATTCGACTAAAATTCGAAAGTAAACGTTAAAAGTGCAGATTAATTTCTTTTAATAGTCGTCTGGAAAATTTTGATAGTTGCTTTTCTATTCTTTAATCAGCAATTGACACTATCAGCAATAGCAGTATATTTATTTTGCTATCTTTTTATTATTATTTTTAATATTATCTCGATTTAAGATCATTTCAAATGTAAGATCATTAAAGGGATATATTATTACGCGAATTCATCGTTTTGCAAGAGAATCGATGATGCTATATAAGTGAAGAATTCCTATGAACTGGGTCCACACGATACTATCCTATAGTTATATATATAATTATATCCTATAGTTATATATAATTATATAATTTATAATTTAGCGCATAGTGCTTTTACAAAAAGTGAACTTATTTCCATAGATCAACGCATTTACATGGAATGAAAGGATATATGAAAAATTCTTGAAAGAATACGTACATCGTGCATCACCAACAAATCAAGATTTTCCGGAGTTAATATGAAGAAAGATATTTTCAATTATGCCTTAAGTTTTCCAAGTTCAAATATAGTTCGAAACATGATTTGATGGTTCTCGTTGAATATTGATTGACGCATTTTCATACGATACGCATAGACTTTGGTGAACTAACAATGAAAATAAACCAAGACAAGTGCTGCTTCATTTCATTCTTATTGCTGAAACGAGACTTGCAAAAGCCAAGATTATGAAAGTTTCACTTTTTTTATCATTTGGAAGCCTTCTTGAATGGGGGCCACATTATGCATATTACGCATATGCTGCTTCTTTCAAATCTAGTTTGCTGATGCGCTAGAAATCAGTGCTACATTTTTCATTCTACCCCATATCTTCCAGAATCCAATAGGTTGATAAATAAGGGAATAAAAACGATTTCTCTCTTTCTACTCAAATTTTATTAGTAGTGAATGCAAAGGCTCTAACAAACATTTTAACCGTTCATATTCTATTTATGCTCCTATTATTTATGCAGCTATTATTTATGCTCCTTTCTTTAAAGCTTTTTGTATTATATTCTCTTCCCGCTAATAGCAATTTTTGACTCGACGTGGTTTTTCATCAACAGGGATCTGAATATACCAACACGGCAGGAGGGAAATTGCCATTCGAAATCTGCAAAGATATTTCAAGCTCCTTGATTTCAATCTTAATTCTATAATTTTTTTCATAATTCTATTTGGAATTGGTATTCAAGGCGGTTCTCAAAAAAACGGTGGAACTATTTCAAGTATTTTCATACACAAAGGAATCATCAAATCGGTATAATACAATAGCGACTACGATAGAATCATGTCATTAGTATCAAGGTATTTCATCTGAGGTTAAATGATGGCTAGGCAATTACAATTATTATAATATGGAGTGTAGGTGTTTTTATTGTAATGAAATCATTCCTATGGTATATTGAGATCAGCTGATTTCACTTTTTATTTATGCTTATTTATAGCGTTGGGATTTCCCGTATTCACCGTTATATGTCGTTATTCATTTTTATTATATGTCATTATTATATTATTGGATTATTATATTTCGTCATTAAATTTTATCCTAATACCTTTTGTTTTTTTTGTCTAATAAGATATTATTATTTACTGTATGGTGCCTACGGCAAATTTCATTGTTGTTGATGTCTAAAATTGTTACACCAATGTGAAATTTTATAAAGTTTTCGTTATGCCATTAAAATCCAGACCCCATATGGATCGTCAATAATAATAGGTGAATAAGAAATTTATTTAATAAATATCGGATTAATTAGAAATTTGAGCACGCCATTGAGCAGGGGAAGAGTGGAAGCAATTGCTATTTGAAATTTCTATGGATATCTCATGCCACTCCATTTAAGCATGGATGGATCTCTGAAGTATATTCAAAATTCTTTACAATGGTTTATGAATTAAATTATTTCTTTTTGCTTATAACTATCTTTATAACTTTATAACTATCATTTATTATTTTGAACTTTTTTTTTAGATTTCGGTAATTTTTTCCTTTGGAAACAAGCATATACGACTGAGCAATAATTTTCGAACAGATTTTTATGATTCTAATTCACCATCAGCGCATGAACATCAAGTTTTTCGCAATTATCATAATATATCCACTGATCCTTACTTTGTTAGTTATTTTCTTCCATTAAGAAAATTGTATTGTAATTGTTTTTTTTATATGATTTTTAAGAGCTTTTGTCATTTCCAAGAAATTAGGAATTTTCCAAGAACTAAACCTAAAATTTAGAGTTAACTGAAGGAGTGAATGTTGCAAGAATAAAAGCGAGTGTTAAACGGAGTATTTCCCGGAGTATTTCTTGTTAATCTCTTGAAAATCAGAAAAATTTATGATAGTTTGATAATTTGTTGAAGAATTATTTTTGCGGACATTTTTCCCATTCTTTTTATTTATTTTATTATTTTATTTGACTTTTTTCATTTTATCTTTTTTATTTTATTTATTTATCTTCGAAGTTAGACATATAGATTGCAAATTACTTGAATTATTTGCGCATTTATAATTTGGAAATTAAATTTGAAATTTTAGTTAATATTGGCTGGTGAAAGTATTGATGGTGGTTCGATGCTAAGACGAGAATATTTCATGCTAATGAAAAATGAGATTAATTCGAGATTATCGAAGCAAATAACTATAAATAATGAAATTAATAGTATTTCGAATTTCCTGATTTATTCATCTGAAGAAATCTTTTCTTTTATTGAAGTAAACTTTGGCAATTTGCAGCATCATTCTTTTCTTCTTCTAATAGCTCTCATCATTGCTGGTTAGGCTGGCTCCACTGACTGATAAGATTTGATTTCAAACTGCGCGATCTGATACCATCGTTGACTAATAGAAGCCACTGCTTTTTTCATCGTCTAAGTCCATATATTACTGATCCACGTTCAAAATCTTTCCTGACCATATCAGTCCAGATTCGCTTTTAACGCCACAATTAGCGAAACAATTTAATAATTAGCAATTAGCGAAAGAACAACTGTTCTGGTGGGCTACGAATAACATGCCCTAACCAGCAAAGGCGACCTATAATAGTGCTATTAGTGCAAGTGGCATCATTTTCTTATTTTATATTTTACTATTCAGCTAAAGTTCATTTGTCCTTTTTATTTTTAGCTAAGCAAAAATATTATTTTTAGCACTTAAATAAGTATGGCCACTATAGCGTTGCTTAGATTACCACTGAAAGCATTATGGTCTCGGTCCTTTAACTTTTTATTTTCCTAAGGGCTAGTGGAGTGAAACCTAACCAAAAATGGTAAGTATTAAAAATTGAAAAAAAATTGGTTGCGCGAGGCTGTTTACCCATTAAGACAATAAAAAGATGTGATCTTTGCAATCTCCATTTTCGACTGTATAACGAACTTTATAATTGCAGATTCGTATCAGAATTGGAGTTAGAATTGTTTTCTAAATTTTTAATTTTTATGCATGTTCGTCATTTCATCGCGACATTTTTTCTAATTGAATATATAGAATTTAAAAAAATTGAATTTTTTTCCGTGTTATTTCAGTAAAATTATTTGGAGGGAAAAATTTTTCCAAATTTTGATATCAATTTATAATTTAATGAATTAATCAAGAAATTTCCTTGACACTCGAAGTCTCACATTTAATTTAAATCCAAAATTCAGAATTTAAGATTCAAGTTCAAATTTAAAGTTTTAAGGTATCGTTGAAAGGAATGCAAGATAACATAAAAATTGGATACCCATACTTAGAAGTTAAAGGTGTAAAGTTCTCAACGAGGATTCATTTTCACAAAATACGAAAGGACTACGTAGGCACTTTATTATATTTGATGGTATTTGATACTAAAGATCCACAAGTCGCCTTAGAGATTCAAAAAGAAGAACTTCAGTGGAATTATGATTTAAAGGTTGTCAATAAATTATCTGCTTGCCATCTTCGCTAATAATTCAAAATTCACCTTTTAAATTTCAACTTAATTTTTTCATTTTTTTCTTTGCCCAATATTTTTTTTATAAGTAATAAAAAATGTTATACTGGGCGAGTCGTTAAGGAATAGTCTATTATCATTAGCTCAACAATAATAATAATAATAAAATCCTCAACTTCCCGAATATAATAAGGCCATGTGGCAGTCCCCCAACAATAATTTACGAAAGATCGTCACCCATGATAACAGATGATGCACACACGAACATAGATGTTAGTCAATAGACGTCTACGATTAGATTATACTCCAATAGAAGTTAGAAGTTTTTAACAGAGAAAGAATTCATTTCCTTGCTTTCTGGTCCTACAATAAAAATGTCATTATCTCCTCAAACCTCCTTACAATTCCACCGATTTGAAAATCCATTAATTGCGCTCAATATCCTCTAAAATCACGTTTCTCTCCTTATTACCCGCGGCAATCGCAATAATTAACATAAGTGATTAGCACTCACCATTTATGATTGGACTAGCTTAACTAATTATTAGTATTTCTATGGATTTTTGCCCTGAAGTTACTTGACAATAGACTTACAGAATGAGTCGTCGGCACCATCTGAATTTTTTGATAACAGGTTTGCCCTTGGCAGCAGCAAGAGCCAACCTTTTGAGAGTAATGATCTACCTATTCGGCTATCTTGCGTTTTCGCAATAATGCAAATGATATTCGAATTATATAAAATAGAATCATTTTCCATGGTTCATATTAAAATAGAATTTCCACTGTTCTTTTTAAAATTTAAATTTGCCTACATTGTCTGATTAATCGACTATTTTAGTTAAATTTAAGAAAACAAATATTTCATTTAGTCTGCATCGAGAGTTATGACTTTTAACAGAATTATATTCCATTTAAGAAAACAAGGAAGAAATTAAAATGATAAACTGAAAAAATATAAAAATTTTGTAAATATTTTATTTCAACATATATTTTTAACATTTTAAGATGAAAGGCGATCATTTGGTTCGGATGCGATTATTTGGCGATGAAATTGTCAATCATGAAATTTTTGAAGGTTCCATCAATTCTCTTCCATATTTTATTATTGGATCTATCGCTATGGTTTTGTTTATTTTTGCTACAGTTTCTCAATACAGTCAAGTAAAAATTTAACTTTTTCTCCATCAAGGTGAATATAATTAATTATATGATTGCAATAATTTCATTCCTGTCAAACCATTAACCATTATATCTTTCTAGCCTATAGTAATCCTTTTAATACATTAATATTGATCTATTGTACAGTTGAAGTGTATCTGACCCTTTCACTTGAGGATAGAGTTACAGGTGGGTCCCCAGCAGCCACCCGAATTTTTGACATAATAGCAAGTTTACTCCTCCCAAAGACAAAAAAAATTAAATTTGAAGAAAATAATTATAAATAATAATAAAATAATATAATATAATAATAACAATAAATTGGACAATGAAATTTTAAAAAAATATATATATGACTATATGTATATATATATGAAATATATATATTATTTATACAATTTAATTGATTTGATTTGATTTAATTGATTTAATTTTAATTTATTTTATTTTAATTTTAATCACTGTTTGGTTAAAAAAAAATTAACTGAATTGTGATCAGAAATGAAAAATAAATTTACAAAAATAAAGCGAGAGTATTTTTTGAAACAACTGCTCAACAAAAATTTTTCAATCTAAAAAATTTTTTCATTTCAAAATGAATTATTGAAGCATCTCAATGATACTAATATCAATGATTTTTCTGGAACGGCAAATGAATACTGGTCTAAATTAAAGAAATATCTCCGAAAATCAGCCACTTCTATGCTAGGGCATACTACTAGGAAGTGCGCTAATTGGGTATCGGAAGCAACTGTCCAATTGTCTGAAAAAGCTGCCAAAGCATAAAAGTCAGGTGACCGGATATTTCGAAGATTTGCAACGAAAGCAGCTAAGCGGGCCAGAAATCTCTATTGGAGTATGGCCTCAAGAATGGAGGCGGCTCGATTAGGCGACAATAGGAAACTATTCTACCTTCTTCATAAAGCAACTATGACTCGGATCAGTCAACGATCAATGGTAAGGGACAGCAATTGCGTACTAATCAAAAGTATTAAGGATTGCCTCATAAGATGGAAAGAATTCTTTGAGGCCAAACTTAACCATGAAGCGCCATCTATTGCCCCTGATATAGCTGATACGTTTGCCGAAGCATACGCTTGTAATTGCGAGCCTCCAACAGAAGAAGAAATAATTTCAGTTATCCATAAGTTTAAGGCTAACAAAACTCCAGGAGAAGATGGTTCTTCGGGCTGAGCTTTTCAAATGCTGTCCATCGTCCTTCATAATTCTCACCTTCAACAAATGTATTCTTCAATATGGAAAAAAGAAATATTACCAGATGATTGGAACAAAACAATTCTACTTCCAATTCTCAAGAAAGGTGATAGGACATACTGCGACAATTATCAGCCTATTAGACGTCTCAGCAAAAATTTTTGCTTCCCTGCTACTCAACAGACTTATGGAAATACGAGACAGTAAGATGCGCCTTAATGCATCGTTTCAAATATTTGCAACCGCGGTTGCTTTTGATACAATTGATAGGGCGGCGCATTGGAGGGTGATGGAACGTGACGGTATTCCAGAGAAAATCATTAAACTCATAAAGGCATTTTACGCACGTCGGCGCAGGTCTGTGTATATGGGGAGCTGACAGATTCCTTCGAAATAAGAACAGGTGTCCGTCAGAGCTGCGTCCTTTCCCCACAATATTCAATTATGCGATAGACTGGATAATGGACACTGCTTGTCGGCACTCAAGAGGTGTCCGAATTAGTCCAAGAGCATCGTATCACAGATCTTGAATACGCTGATGATGTAGTCCTTTTTGCTGACAGTTATAACGAAATGCAAGTATTACTAAATAACGTGTCAGAAACTGTAGCAAGAATCGGACTCAGGATCAACGTAAATAAAACGAAAGTCTTTTCGTCTTATGTGCAAGAAGCTGATAAAATGCCTCTTTTTGTAAATTCATTGCCGGTTGAGGAAGTGCCTACCTTGGATCCACTCTAATACCAAATGGACAGGCAAAAGATGATATTATAACTCGGATCACGGCAGCTAGAAATGCGTTCTTCCGGTTGACGAAACCTTTATGGAATCGTCGTGAAATCACCATAAAAACAAAAGTCCGCATCTATATTGCTGTGATCCGTTCGATCTTATTATATGGTTCTGAGACATGGCCAATGAGAGTGGAGGATATTAAGAAGTTATCTGCCTTTGACCACTCTTGTCTAAGGTACATATTACGGATCCGTCGATCGGATAAAATATCACAAGATCGCATCTATCTTCGTTCAAATACCACTTGCATAAATAATATTATCACAGAGCGCTGCCTTCGCTGGTTAGGGCACATTCTCCATCGTCCACCACAGAAGTTGACTCATATTTCGTTATGTGCTAAACCGTGTGACGGTTGGTGTCAAAAGCGAAATGGGCCAATCAAGACCTGAACTGATACGGTGAAAAAAGATTTTGAACCTATAGGTGGACCAGTAATATATGGATTTAGACGGTGGAAAAAGGAATGGCTTCCATTACTGTCAACGATGGCATCAGACCGCACCGCTTGGAAGCGTCTTACCCTTGTAACCGATGGAGCCAGCTTAACCAGTAATGATCTGTTAGAAGAAGAAGAATTGTACAGTTGAGATAGCAGAACAAAGCTCCTCGTTTTTGAATCAAAAAAAATTGAAAATTGAATCAAAAGTGCTACGCTAGTGCCACTGTAGAAATTGTGAATAACTTAAAATTAAAAACCTTATCAATGATTGCGATAGTTTTTTTCTTATGAATACCTTCTTTTTTTATTGCTTTTCATAGGTTGATTCATAAAATATGCAAATATTAAGGAAAAAAATAAAATTTAATACTGAAATTTAATACTTAATACTGAATACAGTCACCAAAACATGTAAAAATATAAAATTCATATAAAAAAAATATAAAAAATATTTTAAAAATTTTTATGAAAAAATTCCATTTTACTTTATAATTTGTTTTTTCGATTTTGATTAATTTATTTCTAATCGATTTTTGTGGATGATTAAAAGAATGATAATTATGGATATGAAATAATTGTGGATGATTAAATTAAATGAATTAAAAACTTACTGTTTTTATATAAAAATACTAGGAAGGCTTTGGATTTTTGGTGTTAACTATCGTTTCTTTCCATGGTATGAAATCTTCATTCTGCAACATAAATGAATTTTATTTCTTCTAACCACAAGCGAACTTATATTTCAAAAATTTAAGAAAATGACTTTTAATTTCACTTTAACTTTTAATTTCTTTCATATTAGAATGAGGAGTGATTGTTCAAAATTTTTTTTCCATTATTCTTTTGACTTTTTGTTTGTTCGTTTCATTTATATTCATTTATATTCGTTTTTTGAAGTTTATTTCAACCTAGGCGCGACAACTTTCTGCTAGTAAAATGTTCATTTGCAACTTTTCTTGCAAAATGCTTTTGAGTAACATTTATTGCTTTTTTTGTAGAATTTATATGGAACGTTATTTTTGACATTTTCGACGACATTTTGTCCTCTTCTTGCTGGTTCTTTGACTATGGGAATTTTTGCATATCTTGGATATCCGATCAACTGTTTAATGTATCTTTCTAAATTTAAAATCGAGTTTTTTTTTATCAATTGCAAACAATTGCAAAAATTGAAGAGAACGGGGCAGTATTTTCCAAAATTCGATATAATTATATTTTAGGCTAATGACACCTTTCTTGGTTTTGGCTGTTGGTGTTGATGATGCTTTTTTAATGATGCATCATTGGTTTAAATCTGTCGAAGTTGATAGTTCCGTTCGTTTTTGTGCCGTTTTAATTCATGTTGGACCATCCATTTCGTTCACTTCATTAACGAACATTTGTGCATTTTGCGTTAGTTTTTTCGCTTTGGAAAAAAAGGATTGAAATTTTATGCTTCCCAAAAGAAATAGCAATAATTGCAAAAAAAACTGCTATATGATATATTATTAAAAATTTCTCAAAAATATCGTCTATTTTCATTATTTTAAAATATCTAATAGTTTATCGTTAAAATTTAATAATTCAAGTTTCCAAGTTTAAAAAAAAAGTTGGATCCGAATAAACTTAATCTGAATAATCAGAAATCAAAATTTGCATAATTTGGCATTTTTCATTCTGAACTGAACAGTGAGTCGTATATGAAGAATGGGTTCTCTCAATCTGCCGATTCTCTTATTCTCTTAGTTATAGTATATCACTGGAGCTTCAAACCTAGAAATTTAGCAATTTTTATGACTGAAATTGCTATGGTTTCTCTTTTATGAGATTTAAAGCTGAAATAGATCATTATTATATAATATAATATAACTTCGAGTTCGTTGGCACGGTCCCATTATCCCTAATTAGAATAAGATTTGATAAAACAATAAAATAATCATATAAGTAGAACAATGTTATATTTATAGCATCATAGATTTGATTAAAAATGGTTTAGATTGGTGGGATGCTGGCAACTCCAGCTCTTCAATTGTTTTGTTATTGTACAGCAGTGGCTTTGATATCCGATTGGATTTTACAACTTTTTGTTTTCGCTCCAACTCTTTTAAATTTTCATTATTGTTCGTATGATATATCATTAAAAATTTCTCAAAAGTATCCTCTACACTTTCATTTTTAAAAATATTTAATAGTATATCCTTAAATTTAAAATTTTGCAAGTTAAATATTTATATGTAATTTAATGAATCCAAAGTATGTCCTAAATTATGAGATTTAAAGCTGAAATAGATCATTATTATGTAATATAATATAACTTCGAGTTCGTTAGCACGGTCCCATTATCCCTAGTTAGAATAAGATTTGATAAAACAATAAAATAATCATATAAGTAGTGTAATTTGTTGTATTTAAGACACAGATATTCTATCATAAAATATTGCGAAAATCTTCAAAAAACATCGATTCGTTTCATATTTATTATATTTCTAATAATTTATTGGACATTTGGTATATATGCTTTATTACAAATGCAACAAGATTTTTCACCGAAGAAGGCGTTAGATACCAATTCACATTTCGCAAAATCGTTGCCAGTAATTGATCAGGTCTATTTCTATTTCTTTGAGATAATTTCCTAGAAAAAAAACCAGAAATTACATCCTACGATTTTCACCAACGATAATTCATTCCGGCAGAAATAAAATCTGAAAACTTTTTTCTTATTTTCCTTCCACTAGTTTTTTATGCGATATTATATATCATTTCATTTCTCCCGATTAATTTAAATTTTATCTACGAAATGATATCTTTTCTTTAATTTTTTTCTTTAATTCTAATTTTTAATTTTTCTTTGATTCAAATTTTAATTTTTTTTAACAATTCTAATTTTTAGTCTCAACAAGAAATGTTCGTCAAATTTCAGGCTTTTAGTGAATATGATATTATAACAGTATTCATAACAAAACTACCACCGGATGCGAGGACTCTTCTTAATGGAATAAGTTCGATACAACAGTTGGAATATATTTGTGACAATTTTAATACTTGGATAGAAGACTACGATTTACAATATTATTCCTCTAATGACACACGAAATATTACTCTTGACAAATATTTTGAACATTTGCCTGAATTTCGGAAAATATATAATGACGGATATAGTCGAAACGTTCTATATGATCAAAAGTTGGTTCTAAAATAAAATTTTTATTAAACTTGGATCGGCCTAAATTTTTCCATGTTTTTGAAATCTTTGAAAAGGAATAATATTAAATATTTGATATTCAAACTAAATGTTGGAAATAAACATTGAATAGTCTAAAGTTAAGCCTGAGTATGCCAAGGTTTTTAGAATTCTGCAGCTTCGTAGGACGATTTTTATATAAGTTGTTGCACATATTCAAATAGTACCTATGTCTTAGAGCTTTTTGATCCATTTGGAATCTTCACTAATAATTTTTTAGGGAAGATAAAAAATTAATAATTAAAAATATTTCACTTAAAATATGTCTTCATGGACTCGCTACATGGCGACAACGTGCAATAGCACACGTGGATTTAAGAAAACATTTGCCTCCTGGTTTTATTATATATACTTACGATTCAACGATATTTGATGTAATGATAACCGCTAAGAAAATCACTCTTCACTCATGTATTATTACGACAATTTGTATGATTATTCTATCCACTGTTTTCATTCCAACTGTACAAGCTGCAACTGTTGCTGCCCTTTCTGTTTTATCTATGAACATCGGTGCTACTTTTTAGATTATTAAAGTTTTTTTTTCAAGACCTTCTGCATAAATCAGAGATGACATATCAATATATCACAAATTTTATTTATTTTAACCAGTTTCGGCGTAATATCGACACATCGACACATTTCTTCGTTACTTCCAGTCATCGTGAATCTACTTATCACAATTCTAGAATATAAATTGTAATAGGGACAAAAATGCAATTCACGCAAAAACAATGGATGACATTAAAATGCATTGGAAAAGATTTAACTTAAAAATTGCTAATAAATTGTAGCCAAATGATACAACGCCGAAGCTGAATAAAACAAATAAAATTTCTGATATTTAAACTTTATTGAAATTAAAATTGAAATTAAATTGAGATATTTAAGATATTTTTTGAATATATCCGACATATGTCTAAGGCTACTTACTCTAGGGATCGTTGGATTCTTAAGCGTGTGGGAAGTTGATATGGATATCGTTACTATGGTAAGTATTGTAATGGCGATTGGTTTAACTATTGATTATGCAGCTCATATATGCTATAATTTTTTTATTAGTGATGTAAAGCTAAGTGCCACAGTTCGAATGGCTGAATGTATAGATGGCATCGCATATCCAATTTTTCAGGTATTCTTTTTCCTTTTTTTCATCAGCATATCCATAACGATCTGTATTGAACTAAGCTATATACTAGAGTGACACGAAACGAAGAGTAGTGAGTAAGTAAGTGAATATATATTATATATATAATATAATATAATATACAATATGATACAAAATGATATAATATAATATAATATACGATATAATATAATATAAGTAATAGAACAAGTGAATAGAAAAGAAAAAGAAAAATATTATTATTGAAATGAAGAAATTTTCTACAAATTTTTTCTTTTTTTGCTGATAACTTTGTTGAATTTTCTTTTAAATGTGGAGCTGGATAGGGTGAGAACAATATTTATTCCAGTAGTTAATGCTTCGAACAAAAAAATTACGGGACTGAAATGCGGCCCTATAAATAATAACGTTTAAGCAACTTTAACCTATTCTTTCTTGTAGCAACAAAGTTCAAGTTGATATCACAGAATAGTTTAGACTAATATCGCCGAGCAAAATCTTGCAAGTAATAATCAGATTTTGCTTAATTCTCTTCGTAAATCAAGATTATATAATTTTATTAATGGATGTATAAGTTGAAAAGAGGCTAGAATATAACCGTTGAAAATCGTAGAAAATACTTAAAACTTTATAGATCCTCGATTAATTCAACTGATTTGTTGAATCTAGTTAAAACAACATATTGAAAAAACAACAAATTGAATAAAAAGGTTTCTCTCAACTCGTGAGTGGTCGTCTTCAATGCCATCTTCTGGTATTCTACCAGAGACTTAGGATATTGAGGGTTCAGTAGTTGTTCCAAATAGTGCGTTCTACTGAATAGAGATTTCTAATGTTGTTCCTGGCTTACCAACTTTCATCTCATTAGATTTTACTCCAAGAATTTAATTATTAATACTTTGGATTATGCTGGGATTCAAACGATTAATTCAATAAAGGTGCTATTTTGGGAGAATCGACAAATTCTTTTTCTATTGGTTCTTACCACTATTGGTTGGGCTGGCTGTGGTGACTACAAGGGTAAGTCTTTAAACTGTTCGGTCCGATGCTATCGTTTAATTATTAAGCTAATCGGATCTATTGAAGCCATTTTTCTAGCTTAGGGATCACAGTTCCAAGTGCTACAATTGTCAATTATCACTCGAATTACTTTGTACTTTACTTTCCACGTTCTCTTTAATTTTTTTTCCAGTCCTTGATATTTCTCCAACTTCTCATATTCCTTCTATATCAATCACCAGTGCTAATTTCTAATTCTCGTCTATTACCACGATATTTGGTTGGTTGGCCAGTGCTTTTTGCCTGCCTGGATTTAGAAGTCAAAATTTTGGAACTAACTCCAGAGTCTAATATATTTTTGAAAATGTGGCATCCATAATGATAAAACCAATCCAGTATTCATTCGCTTTTCATTTGTGGGATTTAATCAGGTATAAGGGCGATTATTTTAATTGATTTAGAGCCTGTTAATGAAAAGTTAATCTTTCTTGCATACTTGTTTTAGAGGAGTCATTATCATTGCCCAAAGAACTATAGAAAAATAGATGAATGGTTTTGAATCGAAGTTTAACATGCATAATATTTTTGATCACTGGTGAAAAACCTGGTCCTAGACATGAAATCAATAAAAAAATTTTATGAAGTTAACAACATCATGAATATTAAAAAATCTATTACGAGCATTAATGTACCAAATCTTTAAATCGACAAAGGAACACAAATTTAAAAAAATCTGCTATTTTTAAGTGTGCAGTCAGTATTAGGAAAGTTAAGGTTACCAACAGTAATGGAGTCCCTTCGAAACATATTTAATGTACTAAGTAATATGTCGATAAGGAAAAATGTCGATATATTTTTGGCTGCGGTGGAGATCTTGATAATTAAGGATTCGATCAGATGTAATTACTAGACATTTGATATTGAAAAGGACTGCATTAACAGTACTATCATAGAGCATCGTTTTCTTTACTTAGGACACGTTCTTCATCACTTACTACAGGAGTTGTGATATATTTCATCGCTTATTCAATTCTATAATGGATAGCGAAACGAGGTGGACTAATCAAGATCTGGACTCATCAGGAAAGATTTTGAATTTGATTTTGAATTACTGAACCATTGAATGGACCATTGATATATGGACTTAGACGATGGAAAAAGAAATGGCTTCTATTACTATCAATGATGGTGTCGGATCGAATGGCTTGGAAACTTTTAACCTCATAGGCAGCGTAACGAATAATAGTGAGAGCTATAAGAGGAAGAATTTAATTCTTGTAGCTGCGGAGCCTAGCGAGAAATAGTGAAAGATGTTAAAGGACCCACACCTGTAGGTATAGGTATTGCTACTGCAAGTTGGACAAGGCTCTTATGGTACCAAAATTAAGAATTTTAGCTAATTACCATCAAATCATGCAAAAACAATAAGTGGATTTTTGGCCAAAAATAATCCCATTTCCATAAAAATAAAATAACTTTGCCTTAAACTCGATTCTTTTAATTACGAAGAAAAAAAAAATTATCGTCCCAGCCGTCCCTACACGCTATGAACTCCTATGCTAATGTAGTTTGACCTGGAGAGGCCGATTTATTGTGATGTTTCCATGGGTTTTTCAAATTTTCGGCTGTTTTTAGATTCTTTACCATAAATCTTTGAAGTTGGTCTATTCAATACGTCCGTAGCATTGCTTTCATATTCAGTTCAGTCATTTTGCGATATCTTTTTTCAAGAATTCTTAGGAATAGAAGAGTGGTTAGGAACTGTGCAATAGTGAAACCATGAAAATTGCTTTCTAAGCGAATCCTCTTGTCATGTCTGCGAACCTTTAACGTTTAATTGCGTAGATTCCTGTGGAATATTAACAGCCACACTTTCTTGATTTCGAAGAACTGATCAGAAGACCATCAGAAATTCATGAGTTATCAGCGAGTCGAACATTATATATAATTTCATTTTTGATTTCGAAATTTTTCCCTCTGACAAAAGTATTTTTTGTTCAATCTAGTCAAAAATATCAACAGAAAGTGCACCAATCGTCAACTGGTTAATCAACAGTAGCCTTTTGCCTCGCCTCACATTTTATCACTAAAAAGATTTACTTTGATTTGAATATAGCGTCAGATTTAAGAAGATTTACCACTACATTCGGATTCGAACTCCACATTTACAAATTTTTTGTTTTTATTTTCAAGTTCAAAATAAAATTTGCCCAAACTAATTCTCTATATATGCTCTGAAATGGAAATGTTTCTAGAATAATCCCTGCGTTAATGCTCAAATTTTTCACTCTTTATGGGCTTTTGAAATATATGTTTGAAAATGGTAAAACTGGCAATTCTACAAGGAAATTATTAAGTACCATTCTAGGCATTTTTTATTTAGAGGCTCAGCTTTTCTATAAATCCATGCAAATTAAGTAATTCATTGAGCAGATAATCCTTAAAATCAAAAATTTCAGGCAGCTTTAACAACGTCGATATGCATTATGCCTCTGTATTTTTATCGTATTTATATTTATACGGTATTTGCTAAAACAGTATTTCTCTGCGCCTTATTAGGCTTTATTCACGCAATTTTTGTTATACCGTTCTTGTTACTATTATTCTGCGATTTTTCAACAGGAACATAGTAACAATGCATGAAACTACTTAAAGCGTTGTTTCTGCCATATTTATCGTAATTTAATAGGTTTAAATTTATATTCAAAAATCCTATGGTGGCATAATTATCGGATTTCCAAATATGCATAAAACTTTTGCCATATTGTGGTTGTTATGCAAGAATACGAGAAAACACAGAAAATTTAGAAATTCTGGATCCAATCTTATACGTAATGGCCGGAAGAAAAATGAAATGCCAGTTCGGATAAAAGCAACTAGAGACACTTTAAAAATTGTAATAACAGAGTGCCGAGTGAGGTCCATAATAAAATTATGGACCTATGCATTATGGCAGTTCTCAACGCAGTTCTTATGATTCTGTTCTCAGCGATGGTATTAATAATAATTACTAGTTGGCTGAAGTGCCTTCATTTACTATAAAACTTTTCTTCAGTTTTGAGCAATTTTTGTGACAGTTGAAATAAACAGACATTTAGATTTTACCATAGATCTGGAGCAGGAAGATACCACTGATGGATGCGAACGATTGGGAGCGTTTTTAGCAAATAACAATATGAGGAGATCATGCCCGAAAACATGTTCCTCACTAGTCTGACAAATCGAATAAGTGGGTTATTGATTACTGCGAAGATTAATAGGTCAACAATTCTCATTGCACCTGAAGAACAGAAAGAACAGAAGTTGCTGAAAGAAGACATATTTGATATTTAATTAATACCACCGTGGATTTCGATTTAAATTCTTTTTCAGGGCTTATCTATAAGGCTTATCAAGATCAGAGAAATTTAGCGAATCATTTGTTCTTGCGACTGAAATCCATTTTATAAATATCGCTTATCGTTATGACTGTTTCATTTGAAAGACTTGAGAAAAAATTCAAATATGAAAATCTTAAATCTATGAAAATCTTAGAATTAAATTTTCAAATAAACTAATCGAATTAAACATTAAAACTCTGATGATTTCAATGATTGATTGCTGTTAAAATTGTTCAGGTGACACTTGATGGCGTTAATTTGAAGCGCTTGAATCCTGATAATTTGCGCGCTCAACTGGGACTAGTAAGCCAAGAACCAGTTTTATTTGATGGTTATTTTTTGTTATAATTAACTCTAAGCTCGGTTATAATAACTAATATATAATATGCTTAACGTTAATAGCCATCGAAACAGTTCGAGCAAAATTCAAGAAATATCAAATATTTTTCATAAATACCGATTTTTGAACGGATACTTCTTTCTTTTCTTCGCAATTATCGTCCTTGCACTAACACCATTTCTGCTGATATAGCGTTTTAGGTAAAACTTTTAGGTTTAAACTAATTAAAAAATAGATGGTTATTAAAGATTTGCGCTAATGCAAATGTATCATTGCCAGTTTTTAAGCGAAAAAACTGATTTGGTTTTTCAAAGTTCATTTCCTTGAAGAAATGTGAAAAATTTTTTTTAAAAAAATTTCTTCTTTGTTACGAAAATAAATCTAAATCTAAATAAAAATTTTACGTTTTCGAGATTTTTCGAGGTCGCATAAAGACAGCAAAATTCGAGTAAATGATAATTGATAATTAATGTATAGCAATTCATTTAAGATGAACATGGTTTTTAAAAACCATATTTGAACAGCTGACGATTTCAAATTGTGAAGTGATAATATTTATCGCTTTTTGAAGTATATAAAGACAGAAAAGCAAATAAATAATATCGATTCGCCGTAAGAGTAAACCCGTCCAAAAATCCGAGTGATACTGCCGACTCACCTATATTTCTATCGCCAAGGGACTCGCTGGCACATCTGTCCAGTGCGACAAGCCAGCGAAGCGAGTTTAACCAGTAATGGTGAGCACTCTTTAAAAAAAGTTGGTAAACCAGAGTAAAACTTTTTCGTGACTAAGATTTCTAAAGGTCAAGTTACTATAAGTTCTTTTTGCAGGTCATTGGTAAAGGCTGCTAAAATCGCAAATCATATATATATATATATATATATATCTCGATGGATAGATCACTGGACTGGTAAAATTGTCAATTGTTCTTACTCGTATTCTGCCAGATGCTCAACAAGCAGCACAATTGTCTTAGATGTTACTTTACGTGTTCCTCTTATCTGCTTCGGAATGTATTTTCAGTCGATCACTTTCGTTTGGCTATGCGATTCTATCTGCAAAATTTGATGAAATCTCTTGCATTTTGCTTTATCGCTTTCGCTTTACGCCAATTTTTTTATATATCGTTTACAAACTGGATTTTTGAATTGAATTGAAATCTAACGAATCTATCTTCTCAGAGAATATCGAAACCACATCTCTTTCGGATTCTAATCGATGCCGTTGAAGGATTTCCACCGAATTTTTATGTATCAGAAAAATTATGCGAAATTCTGCAATTGCATTCAGATTTGATCCAAAAACTCCGATCTATCGTTTATCTGCTGATTAGTCGCAGTTTTGTGGCGTTTTATTCGCTAAAACCCTGTGCTAAGCCTAAGGCTATTTGCGGTGATAAACAATAAATAAGAATGCTACAATTGAATTAATTGAATCAAAGTAGTGCAAACTTTATTTATAATATAATATAATATTTATAATATAGTGGTTTTTTCTTTGTTTTGCGAAATCATATTTATAAAATTTCTATTAATTTATTTAAAATTTAACTTAAAATTTCTAAAAATTTTGAAATGCATAAAATAATTTTTAAATTTTAAATGATTTTAAATAAATAATAAAAAAATAATAAATAATTTTAAATTTTAAAAATTAACGATGAAATTTCTGAAAATTAAAAAAATGATTAATTAATTAATTAATTAATTATTTATTTAATTAAGATTAATTAAATAAATTACTGAAATTATTAATAAAATAATTTAATTTAATTTAAATAATTTCAAAATAAATTCAATTAAATTCATCGAAATAAAATACTGAAAAATAAAAATTACATTTTGCAAAATTTTTTGAAATAGTAAAAAAATTAAAAAAATAAAAATCGAGAAAGAAGAAGCCAAAATCTAAGAAATAAGCATCTCGTTTTGCTTTAGATAGTTCGAGAAACGAATTTGAATTTTGAACATCTCTGGGATTTGAAGTTTGATATTTAGCTGCAAAATTTCGAAGTTTGGTTTTATATGGTTTTTTCGTAAACGGTACATAGCTTGGATTTAAATATCAGTTCGCTTTATTTTATTAATTTATTGTTAATTTATACTAATTATTTGTGAGTCCATTGTAATGAATAATTAATTTAGTATTATCATAAATGTTGTTATTAAGAATTGGCTGCCATTATTATATGTCAGGCCTAGCTTAGGCTTAGTCTCAGGCTTAGACCCGATTTTAACGAAGAGTCCATTTGTGAGTCCATTGTAATGAATAATTAATTTAGTATTATCATGAATGTTGTTATTAAGAATTGGCTGCCATTATTATATGTCAGGCCTAGCTTAGGCTTAGTCTCAGGCTTAGACCCGATTTTAACGAAGAGTAACAAAGATGTGAAGAGCGTGGAAGTGATGCATTTCCAGGCCTGACATATGCACATACGACTTGAACAACGTAGGTCTGATGGCTAATTTATGCATTGGATCATCACAAGCCATAAGATGAAGCAGGAATGTGCTTTAGGAAGCGAATAAAAGCGTCAGTGGCTCTCTGTTTTACTCTCTGTAAAGCACATTTAAAGCACGATGAAATTATTAATAATTAAATAAACGTTTTCGGTTATAAAATTAAAAGGTTAAGGGTTACCATCGCAGTCGTCGTTTATCCTTTCTTTTCTAGTCGAGGAAGATGTCTGGGAAAGAATTAGCCGAGGGTTACGTCGAGAAAATGCAAGCAACGTCTCAGGTCACGCCGAATCCTGATTCTGCCACTGAAGTAATTCTTCTTTTAATATTTCTGATTTGACTACTATTCGAGTAGGGCTTTATTACTGAATATGAAGCAGCAATAAGTGGATTTTTTTAACGTTTACGTTCGAATTTCGCTTTTAATAACAGCTTTTGTCCTGTGATTTCATCTATTTAATAGTACTTTTGTAAAATTTTTTTAGTGAAAATTTGTTTTCTTTTTCAGAGAAATAGCGAAACACCAATTTGTAGCCGAAATTTAGACGAAGATGATATTGACTACGTTGATGCATCGTACAATATTGAAAAGGAGATTGCTTTATATTGGCCCCGAGTTCGAACCCGAATAAATAATCTTAACGTGGTTTGGTGGTTGCACTATTTTGAAATTTTTTTATTCGTTTTCAATTTTTAATACTTTAAAAATTGCAAATGATTTAATAATTTTCGAAATGTTTAAAAAAGTTCCGAAGTTTTTAAATTTCTGAACTTTCCTTGTAAAAAAACCTTTAGATGACACTTCGTGAAGCCAATCGTCATCAAGAATTACCTTTAGCTCGAATAAAGAAAATTATGAAGTTGGACGAAGATGTTAGACATCAGGTTAGCTTTCTATTTTTATTATAAATTATCTGCCATTTTTATTTGTTTTTTTTCAAAGAATTTGAATACGACCAATTTTCAGATGATAAGTGCTGAAGCACCTGTTTTATTAGCAAAAGCTGCAGAATTATTTATCGAAGAACTGGCACTTAGGTCTTGGTTACATACCGAGGAAAATAAGCGTAAAACACTTCAAAAATGTGATATATCTCAAGCAGTAAGTAGGTGAATAATATTTTTGCGATCGCTTCATATTTTCTCGAATCTTTGAGGTGATCCTAAGGTCCTTTGCTTTTTTTTCGTTCTGTTTTTGTCATTTTATTTATATGAACCATTGAATTTACCATTTGTTTACAATATCTATACTTTTAGATATGATGTTTTTTTTTCGTTAACATAATATCTTTCTTAATTTTCCTTATAAATTTATCAGTTTGGTTAAGGTCCAATTTTTTTCCAATTTATCCACCTATTTTCAGGTATGATCAGTTTGATTTTCTTATTGATATTGTTCCTCGCGATGAAAAACGGTGTCAGCAGGTTAATAAATTTGAAAAAATAATTGTACTTTGAAAAATACAATTCTTGTTTATATATAACTATAGTTGAAATGTATCATTCTCGTTAAGAAATTGCTTTTTATTTTTATTTTGGAATTTTAATATTTCTGTGTTTTTATTTTTTTATGAGAAATGGAATACAAACATTTTTTATAAAATAGAAGATTAAAAATCGATGAAAAATCTTTCAGGCACCTACAAGTAGCGCCAGCATTGAGAGTGAAATAATCGACTGCAAAGGATTTTCGCAGCAAAATGGAAACAATAATAGTGTTCAATATGTTTTGCAGGTATCTTATTTTTTTATTTAATTATGATAAATTTTGATAAATTTAACTTTGGTGTTTGAACCATAGGTCGGACCATCAGAGGGCGCAATAACTTCTGGCTCAATGGTGCAAGCTACTCCGATTGGTCAGCCCATTCAATTACCGATAGCACCTGGGGGTCAACCAATACAACTTATAACACTCGGCTTGCCTGATGGGAATGTTCAGCAGTTCCAGGTTCAACTGCCAACTGCGAATTCCTAAATGATCTATTCGATGTGCTATAAGCGCTTTCTTAACAATTTCTGGTTATGCTGGCTAAATAATATAATTTCATAGAATAATTCATCTAGGAATTTGAAAAACTGATTTGATATAAATTTTATACTAGTTTTTTTTTGTATCTACATCTTGTAAAAGAAAATAATATAAAAACTAAAAGGGTCGATTGAAAAGAATATTTTTTTAGTAGATCGATAACATTAGGATAAGAAAACATTGGGGATAAACCTGACGATGCAGCACTAGGTCGTAAAATCTTCGTGTTTAAGTTTAAAAAATTTATTTATTAAAAAAAATTTATATAATAAATTTTGAGGATCAGTTAAAGAATGATTTTATCGTAGGAAATCATCAGAACTGTCCACTGTAATTTAAAGTAATTGATCTTTACATTTATTATGACTTATTTGTTTATGTTCTATTGAATTTTTATTTTTCGTGTAATTATTTTTATGGTGTTTTTTGTACATTGGTATAATGTTTATGCATTTTTATATTGTATTGTAGTAATGGATTTATAGTTTTATTTGGAAAAATATAAAATAATATTTCTCATGGTGTTTCTAAAGGTATTTAAAATATATTAGGAGGATATAGAAAAAAATATACTTATCCAAAGCAAATGTTCTAATGTGCTAAATATTACCATATTGTGAACTGGAATTAATTCACTTCATTTTTTTAAGTAAATAAACTTTTCAGTTTGCTGTGTGGCAAATATTAATAGACGATACAGCCTAGTTTTCAGTCTAAAGCGCCTAGTCTTCAGCTAAGTTTGAAAGCAATGAAATTTTTGGTCGAAATACTTATTTAGATATCCAGTTATCTTTGTTCACAAAGCCGCTAGAAATTGTTTTGTTTTTTCAAATGTCTTCTGGTGGAAATTTTCCATTAATATTTTGTTGTACAACATTTTGCTTTTTCGGTAATAAAAATTTAGGAAAAATCTATGAAAATCTCAAAAAAGAATTATAATTATATTATGGGAAAAAGTCATGAATGGTTTCAGTAGTGTATAGTTTGCTTCTTGGCCAAGTACCTGATTCGAATATTATTTTAATTTTTTATGCTCAGAAAAAGAATTACAGCTTAAACAATACTAGAGGAAATTTAGAAATTTAATCATTTTAGGCACGAGTTAACCGCCGATTTTATTATTTTATGATTTTTATATTTTTTTATTATATTTTATATATTATATATATTATATTTTTATGCTCTGTATTTTGTTATTCGAATAGGACATATTTCAAAATTATTAAGTTTGTTAGAGTGTTCGTAAACCTGAAGTATAAAATTGAAATTAAACAACGAAATTTAAGTTGTGGTTAATTAGCCGATGCGGCAATTCGTCTTCCGCAATTCGTCTTCCGTGGAATCAGCTGGTTATCAGCTATGCGTTAATGACAAAAAAAAGAAAGTGAATCTCGGTTAAGATTAATTTTTACGCGATTGCATAGTGTTTTTTCTTTGTCCGGAGAAAATCCGGTAATTGGTTTAACGAAATACTTCGTAAGGTAACTGCTTTCTTAATCTGGTGGCCTAGAATGTTTATTTCCATAAACATTAAGTCTTGGCAAATCGCTAAGGACTATTTGAAGAAAAAGAATTTTAATAATTGGTAATTAAAAACCATGTGAATCTCATTCTGTTCATTTTATATCTAATCTTAAATTAGCGACTTAAAGTATGGTAAATAATGAATATTTATTTATTTGGACCCTTACTTTTGACTGATTTTTTCATATTAAAATTAATAAAAGCTTATACGAGACGAAATCGATTTATCAATGGAGCTAATAAATTTACTCATTTAAAATCCAAAGAGGGATAAGGGTGGAGATACGATTAGAGCTATGTGGTTGACAATTAACAATATTCTATAAAAAGATAGGTGAATCGGAATTTATAAAATTATATTATAGAAATTAAAAAGACTGCTGATAATGACAACCATAAATCTAATATTAAAATAACAACCATAAATGTGACAAAATAATGATAACAAGAAAATAAGTAAATAAACCAGTGATTGAAAAACAATTATTGATAAATAACATGAAAAAAATAATAAAAAATTATGATTGGTGTACAGAAAATTTAACAATACGAAATTTTGGTGGAAGCACGGCGGTTCCCACTTCCAATATGTAGCTTTACAAAATTCCTTCGGGAATTCGCTCCACTGTATTTTTCTGTATTTAATTTAACAAATTTCCTGCCACTCGGAACTTTTATTTCTCAACAATATTATAAATTCTGCGGCCAGCGTTCTTTTCTTAATTATCTCGAACTTTCAAGCTTAGGTAATTAGATAATAATTCTTTTATTAAATATATACACAAAACAGAGCAAATCCTAAAACATTGTCAAATTCTATTAAAAAGAAAAATATAACAAGTAAAAATCGAACATAAAAATATATAAATGCTCAGTTCACCCGTCACCCCCAACTACTTTTCCCAATAGAAACCTAAAATGGCCAAAAATGATGTTTTGAGGGCTTATATTTAATTTAAGATGTGAGAAGAGAAGATTTATGGTTTTTAGTTCTCTCACAGAAAACTATATTGTACCTCTCATTTATGAGATACTCTCTTATTATTCCGTGATATTTTCTAATGTCTTTTCCAACTCTTTTCTCCTTTATTTCCTTATTTCTTCCGCTGATCAAAGCAGGTGCAATGCGGATGACCTGCTCATATTTATAGCTTTTTTCGCCATTTGGCAACAATAAGCGTGGAAGAAATTTTTGTGATCTCATATAAGTTCTCATATTTTTACTGGAAATCGATGAAATTAGCACTACATTTTGTAAAAAATTATAAGGCAGTAATAAGGTAACATAGCCTTTTTACAGACAAACATGGTCCATCGCTTCGCATTATATAAAAATTTATTGAAAAAAACTAGGTTCGTTACAGCGTGAATAAAACCATAATATTTGCGGATAAATTTGAAAATTTTATTTTATTTCATTCATTATTAATTCATTATTTAAATCAAAAAGATTCTCATTTAGATGTGACTTTTCTCCTTAGGATTTACGATCAAAATGAGTAGATGTTTAGCATTCACATTTCTGGTTGGGTCCGTTTCATTAGCTTTTATGTAGCGATGAGAAAATTTTAAAAGATAGATGAAATGAAGAATGAAGTAAAGTGAAAGATATTTGTACGGCTTCAGTTGCATTCTTTTGATAAATTTTATCATTTCCTTATCAACGCGATAATTTACCATTCTTCTCATATTGTCACGATGATCTTTCCAATTTAACTACGGGATAACCACAGTATTAGCAACCAGAATTAGAGAAAAAATGAAAATACATATATATAAAAATATTGATGACCGAAATATTACAGTACTTTCTTTTGAAACGCGCGTAAACCATAATTTACTGGCTTCTACTTAATCGGATCAAGCGTTTCCATAAATAACAATGGCCACGAGTTGTCCGAAGCACTACAATGATATAGCCTCTGCTCCGTTAGAATTAATTGCTCGAGACCCAAAGTGACGAAAATGGACAAGCAGTGATATCCAGTGATATCCACACGATATGGCTAACACCTCACTGCGAGTGGAAGGAGCTGTTCTCCTTGATAGGTTTCAAGCAGTTGTCCTGACTTGCGAGCATATTTTATTAATCAGCTTTGGGATCGCTTTAAGCATGAATTGTACACTTATTGCATGTACCACTGGGCTGGGAGTATTATGCGCGTTAGGAGAGGCCGTATCAAGAATATCTAACCCTTTTGCCTTAGAGTTAATTGAGCATAGAGTTACAGGTAGGTCCCTAGCATCCATCCGGATTTTTGATATGATAGGTTTACTCCTGTCAAAGGCATAAGGTGGGAGAAAAATTAAAAAAATTTAAATTTATTTTATATATATTTTTATATATATATTATATTATTTATATATATATATATATATTTTTATATATATATATATATTTTATATATATATAACAAATATTTTATATATATATGTTATTGCAGTTCGGCAATTCTTTCAATGTAATTCTGCAGGTTCATAATTATTCCATAATATTTTATTAAAATTTTCTTTCATTCATTTTTTCAATGAATTTTTAATCATAATCCTGTTAAATTGCCTCAACACTGTATATATGAAACCGCTTTCAAGCAAAGTTTTTCTCTTGTAAAATTTGTGATCGGTTGTTGAACCTACCGACATGAAATTTCTAAATTTTTGTTTTCGTTCCTCGTAAATAATAATTTTTCATTAAGATTAATCTGAACAAGTGTCAATATTTTTAAAAAATTTTAATTAAATTTTCTGAAAAATTAAAAATGATGGAAAAAATAGAAAATGAAATGAAATTAGTTTTTCGCTGATCCAACTAAACATGAAAATAAATTATCCAAAAAATCCATTTTTTTCAAAATTGCTTTTTAAGATTCCATCATCGAATTTTGTTTGAGGGCTTTTCGTTTATTGTTTTTAAGAAACGAAAAGAAAGAGAAAGAGAGAGCAATTTTTAAAAATTTATAAATAAAAAAACTCAAATTGAATTTGCTCAATTTTTTCTTTTTTCCAAGTATTTGTGGACTAATGAAAACGAAACGCGTTTTCCTTTCCTATTAATCCACCAGCATCATTCCTGTTTTATTGGTTACCAGGGTGAAAGCACTTCAACTGAGAATAGAGATGCAGCTGCTGTTCAGATTTCATTTTAATGACCGTTTTGCACCTGTCAACTCCACCAGTTGCAATAATCGAGTATGACGGCTTAATTCAATCAGAAAACCAAATCATATGAAACAAAATAAGTTTGAGCTGTACAAGGGATTAAATAATAATTATAGATATGAAGATTAAAATTTGATCTAGAAAACTAAGAATTGGATGAGCAAAAATTATAATTATTGATAAATCGATGGTTTCAAGAATTTTTAAGGAATCTGAAAATGTGATTTAGCCATTGCTAAAGACGAGAAGTATGTTGGAGTGGATTGATTTAGGCTGATAAATTGGGTGGCGCTTTGGGAAATTTTTCTTGGGAAATAGAGAAAAGCAATTTCTGGCCAATAGATCATCGTAGCATTCATTCATGCTTTGAGTTATACACACATTATTGATTCCTACAATGGTTGAAGGCGGCATTACTCTTGTCAAATATCTCTTATTCCTTGCCAACTTCATTTTATGGGTAAGTTTTACAAACATTTTAGTAAATTTACTGATACTCGAATACCGCAAACCGAGAGTTTTCCGGTTCAAATCTGAATACTTTCGATTGCATTAAAGAAAAAATTTATTGTTTCTTGACAATAATTGTATCTTATTGCTCATTGGTGTTTGGATCTTGGTGCTCATCGCTGCTCATCGTGCCGCTCAAACCGTAATCCATTCGTGTGCACGTTATAAGCTTTATATTTTGATCACTTTATCACTTTCACTTCATCCTAAAGTTTATTTTAATAGATTCGCGTTCTATTTCAGTTTATTGACAACTGAACTCGAGTACTCTTGACATTTGTCAATTAATTTTATTCTTTCATTGATAAACCTATCATGATTGGTTCCAATAGTTGGTTCCAATTAGGATGGATATATCATATTGAGATGACCCTGTCATTAGAGGACGAATTTAGAGGAAAAAGCTGAATCGAATATTAATTGTGGAATGTTACTTTAAGAAATATGATGAAATGGAAATTCAGGTTGGAGGTCTTGCTTTAGTGATCGCTGGAGCTGTACTACAATTGAAATATACAGGATTATTGGATATACTTGGCGATGAGAGGCTAGCGACACCTGTATTATTATTAGCTGCTGGTGCATTATGTGCACTTCTTGGATTCCTTGGTTGTTGTGGCGCTATACGGGAAAATTATTGTTTAACTGTCAGTTTTGCAGTTCTCTTGGCTCTTGTACTATTAATAGAGACTGCCACGGCAATAGCAGCCTATGCTCTACATGAACCACTCCAGGTTTTATATTCCTCATATTATCTCGTTTTTATTAGTTGGATTTTAAGAGTTTTCTAAATTTTATAATTTTTTAAGAAATAATTGACTGCGAAGGAAGAATACTCAATTTAAACATTTCTAATGCGTGTTTTAGGTTGACATTTTTAACCAATTGATAAAATAGAGTTATTAAAAAGTTTATTATGGTTATCTCAATATTTTACCCGTTTTTCTCCAGCCTATTTTTTCTCATGAATTCTTTAAGATTCTCTAATTTCAGGCATCTTTATCAAAACAGCTCACATTAGGTCTTTCTCGATATAATCGATCAGTCGGAGTGACAATGGCATGGGACCAGACTCAAACACAATTCTCTTGCTGTGGCGTTCATAATTATACTGACTGGGTAGTACCACCCGATTCATGTTGTATTCATCATAGTCCTGGTTGTGGTCGTATCCAACAGAACCTTTATTCAACAGGTTATTCTGTTATTTAGATTAGAAACTGATCATATTCTTTCTACAAATTTATTTTGACCTTCTTCGATGAAATTTATATAGATGATAAGAAGTGAATAATATAATTTATCAATTTGAAATCTACCAGTAGAAAAAGATTTGTCGAATTCAATCAAATTTTATTAATGAAAATGAATCGGATTTTTTCGAGAGAAAATGCAGAAACCCGATTTTTTTCTCTGATTTATCTCTTATCTTATCTTTAAAGAAAAGAATGTTGAAGGATGTATGGCAAGTCTTGAACAATGGTTAATCATGAATGCTGCATTAGTTGGTGGCATAAGTGCTTTAGTTGGATCATTACAAGTTATTGGTATATGTTTTGCTTGTTGCTTGTCAAAAAGTATTCTCAGAGATTTCCATGATTTTTATTATTAAAACAATTTTTTTGTTTATGCAAACAGCATCATTGAGATAAATAGAAAAAATTAATATTTCTCATATCACGCATTCGATACCACTTTATTTGTAATTTTATTTGTTAATATTTGTCACCATAAGGTGATATTACTTATTTGATAGTCTATTAAATCACAATGATAAACCTTGGCTGATTTTAATTTCGCATGCATAATTTATCGAATAAGAATGAAAAATTGTTTGAAATTGTTTGAAACTTATGGCTTAAGTCGTCGTCATTTTCTTACGTTTTTGTATATTATGAAACTTTTTTTGCTATTTTATAATCGCAATTAATTTCATTTTCATTTTATTCATTTTATTATTCATAATGATGAAAAAATATTGTGTGAAGATTAAATAGATTAAGGCATTAAAGCATTTTAATTAATAAAATTAATGGTCTTAATTCGCTGATATAGCGAATTTTTTATTTCTTGGCTAGACTCATTTCAGTTGCTATTGCAATGGGAAATTTTTGCCAGAGATTCATTTGAGAACGAAAATTTGCTTATCAGCATAATTATCAGCATAACTAATTCTGCTTTTTCGGTAAAAATTAGGAACAATTCGTTGTACGATTCGAGTGCTTATTAAGGAAAATTGTTTAATAGTGATTAAGAAAATTTGAAAAATTATTGCATATAAAATATTGATGTGTAAAAATTGATGCATTTGCTTACTATTTAATTGATAATTTTAATGAATTGATAAAATTGATAAAATTTTACAGTAAAATATTCGAAAATTTTTGTGGCAAACAAAAACTAAAATTAAAAAATAACTAAACTAAACCAAAATATAAATAGAATATAAATAGAATATAGAAAATAAAAATATAAAATAGATTTTTTTAAAATTTATTTGCTTTATACCATATTTTATCACATTTGATTACCTGTTTGCCGTTTTTTATCACTTTATCACATATATATACGTGTTCTCGATTTTGTCCATTTTCAAGACTTATCATTTACCATTTAACTTTAGCGAGAAATAGCAAAAAAAGATCCCCCTAACATATTGTGGTAGAATGAAAAAAAATTGTTGTTCTACGATTGACGTTTACGTGACGTTTAAAAAAAAAAAGTTTCGTAAAAAGAGTAAAAATTGAGAAATTTATTCATCGATTTTTTGCTTTGATTTCATTTTCTTTCAAATTCTCCACGAAATTTTCCATAATGCAGAATTTTTGAAAAGAAAATTCTGAGAGAATTCATATTTTGAGAATGCTCTATGGGCTAATTTTAGCAAATAGTCAATCACTTGATAGAACTATAGGTGAGTCGCTAGTTCCATTCGGATTTCTTGTACCGGATTAACTTCTATTGTGAGTAGAGCTCTATTATCTGTGCTCCAAAATGTGGACAATAACGTCCTCAGCCATTCTACTTTGAAAAAAATTATATTTAGTTGCAGTTGTATTTTCATCCTATTTTATGAAAATATATGAAACAATTAACTTTTGAAGATTGTAATAAATTTTTTGAAATATGCGGAAAAAAACTAATATTTTAAAGAATTCTTACTTCGTAATTTCTTTTAAAATTCTTTCAAAAATTTCATTTTTTTTCGATATTTTTCTCTAAAATACTTCTTACAAACATAGCATCATTTTTATCTTATTCTTTACTATTATCAGTATTATATTTTCAAGCAGTATTGCTATTATATTTATAGATTAATTCTTCTTCTTTCTTCTAGCAGCTCTCATCATTACTGGTTAGGCTGGCTCCAACGGCTGCAAGTATAAGATGCTTCCAAGCGGAGCGGTCTGATGCCATCGTCGACAGTAATAGAAGCCATTCCTTTTTCCATCGTCTAAATCCATATAGATTAATTAAATAAAGTGAATAAATAAAATGAAAAATGAGTAGCATTTCTGGCCAATTCTTCTGGTTGGTAGTATGGTATATTTACTTAAAATCATTTAAAAATAGAAAGAGAGGTAGTCAAGGTCACCACATGAATTTTTTGAGTGATTGCCATTTTGAGTGATTTTTTTGACGAATTAGAGAGACCACAACTTATGAGACCATTTTGCTAGCCTTGGCTTCATCTGTTAACAACTTAATTACCAGTTGCTATGAATGCCCCACAGCAACAATACCTTACTTAACCCAAAATGCTTTTATCATAATTATGGAAGCATTTTTATAACGACATATGGTGATGATAACTTTTAAATGATTGATAATTAAAATTCATAAAAAGACTTCCTACTACCATTTATAAGAAATTTTTCATTTTCCACTTTTTATTTCTCTTTTTTTTGTTTCTTATTTCTCTTAAAGGAAACTAATCTTTATTTATATTAGAAAATATTTACCAAATATTTTACGAAATTCCTCATACAATTGCTAAATGCTAGGAGAATTTGGTTGATAAAAAGAAAATAAATTAAAATTAATTAAATTAATCAGCTACAGATCTTGCGGAATAACTGTTGAAGGCATTAAAAGCGATAAAAATAGTTGATCAGAAATTGTAAATGCTTATAAACGGAAAGATAAGGCACGACAAGTGATGAAAGACAAATTTCATCAGGTCTTATAATGCAGAAAAAAGGATGGAACAAGCCTAATAAATAAAAGAACGGCAGGCAAGGTATTATAGGTGACGAGAAAGACGATAAGGCAGGCCCCATAATTATAGAAAATAATAGGCCAGGCCTCTGAAATAAATAGAAACGTAAAGTTAATGAAGTTAATGTAGTGCAGATCCTAGGGGATAGAAAGGCTTAGTGGGTTATTGTTCGATTGGGAGTGCCAATGGTGAGGTTCGAATCCCCGCAGGAATAAAGCCGTACAAAAATCTGGGTGATGCTGGCGACTCACCTATTTCTATTGCCAAGGGACTCCATGGCTTATTGCTCAGTGCGGAGCATGTTTAACCAGTAACAGTAAGGACTCTTTAAAAAAATAGTTCAGATCCCAGATATGGACTTCTTCTTCTTCTAATAGCTTTCACCATTACTGGACAGGCTGGCTCCAACGATAGAAGGGTAAGACGCTTCTAAGCTGCTGCGCAATTTGAAGCCACTCTTTTTTCCATCGCTTAAATCATATCTTTTTTGACTATATCAGTCCAGGTCTTAATTGCCCCTTGCTTTTGACGCCATCTATCATACAGTTTAGCAAGTAACAAAACATGCGTCAACTCCTGTGTTGGACGTGCCCTAAGCAGCGAAGGCAACCCTCTACGACGGTACTGTTAATGTAAGTGGTGTTTGAACGAAAGTGGTGAGATTTCATCTACTCGTAGAATCCGTAAAATCTACCTTAGATATGAGTGGTCAAAGCAAGATAATTTCTTAATATAAGCTTTTAATATCCTCCACTCTCAATGGCCAAGTCTAGCAGCCATATTGTAAGGTAGAACCACGGCTATACAGATATGGACTTTTGTTTTTATGGCGATTTCATGACGACTCAATAAAGGTTTCGTCAAACGGAAGAAGAACGCATTTTTAGCTGCCGTGATCCGGGTTGTAAAATCGTCTTTTGCCTTAGTCATTTGGTATTAGAGTGGACTCAAAGTATTTAAAATAGCCCACTTCCTCAACCGACAATGAATTAATAAAAGGAGGCATTTTATCAGCTTCTTGCATATAAGGCGAAAACTCTTTCGTTTTATTTACTTTGGTCCTGAGTCTATTCTCGCTACAGTCGCTGATACCTTATTTTATATTATTTGCATTTCATCATAACCGTAAGTATAAAGGCCTACATAATAAGAGTATTCAAGATCTGTGATACTATGCTCTGGACTGATTTGGACATCTCTTGAGCGATGATATGAACTAAAACATATACCTTGGCTCAACTGGTGTTCATTAATGGTGTGACTTGAATAAATGATATAGCATAATATTGGTATATTATTCAGAGTATATGAATTTTTCACCCTCAAGCTCACATTAAAGTTTATGGAATATAGGTTATATGGAGAGAGCGGAGAAAAAGAGGAAAGATATTATACAATATATTTTCATACTTGAAAACATTCACTGGAATGAAAGTAGAAGAAAAAAATAATATTTTTTGACTTGAATTCAAAGAAATTTCGTGAATTTATTTAATATTAACGATCGTCAAGTTGTTATTAAATACTGCGACATTGATAAGGAGCTGACTGGAAAAATTTAAGTCGATCCTGTTTTCTGGTCAGATATCTCGTATACTTTTCACATTATGAATTATAGACTTTTTATTTCGGTCCAGCCGATCTACTAGCCTAAATATTCTATACATTTTTCGATTCATTTCTCTTTCATGTAACTTTGGTTTGACCTTCAATATGACAAGCAATATTTTAAAAGTGCATGCACAGGCTCAGAGAAATTCCAATTAGCCCTCTGAATAATTTCATTAACAAATTGTAACCATATCGCTCATTTGAAAAAAACTTATTATTTAAAATATATTTCCCAGTAACTAATCTTCCTTGTTCTCTCTTTTTTTTGAGATAGATTCTTTGATTAAATTTAAAAAAAAAGAAAAAAGGGAAAAATTGAAAGTAATGAAAGTAAAACAATGATTGACAAAACGTGTATAATCCATGTTTGATTTATAATATGATTTATAATACATACGACAGATTTTTATGAATAAATATTAATTATCATCCACTGTCATCGCTCATTTCGTGTAATACTATAATAATCCAGAACTTTATGACAGACCTATAAAAAATAATGAATCAATAGGAGTATAGAAAATTTAATATAGAAAATTAGTATATAAAATTTATAAAAAAAATAAATCAATTTCAAATGGAATGGAATGAAAAGAGTATGAAAAAATATTATTGTAATATTTGCGTGATTTAAGATGCAAAACTTTTAAGATTTAACTGAAGAAACTTCACATGTAAAAAAGTTAATTGATCATAAAAACTCTTCGTTGTAATTTTTGATAACTAAAATTATTGTCTTAATTGATCCAAACAAGCAGAGCAAACCAAATTGAAAAAAAAAAAACTAACATCTTCCATCATATCACAAGTCAAGTTTGCAACAAACTGATCCCACCATTGTTCGCCAGGATGCCGATCAATCCATTCGCAATTATCCAATCTAGTCATTTTCAATGCCATAAATATAAGGGATATCGCCACTACCTGTGAAGTGAAGATTCTTAGATATTCTAGGATAACCTACTGAATTCAAAAAAGTTCTTAAAATGACAGAAAAAATTAACAATTAATAATTAATAAAAAAAGGTAAAAATTGGAACTCACCTCTGGCTCCCAGACAAGGCAAAGTGTTGTAAATAAGGAATCATTAACAAAAGTCCAGGCATTTTGTAATACTATTTGCTTTTTTTCTCTATCCAACTTAAAAACCTACAATTAAAAAATAATTTTATGAATAGATTGGCATAGTTAAAAAATAAAAATATATTCCCTTTAAAAAAAACCCCACAAAAAATTAATGATGAAAAACAAACGTAATCTAACGCTTTAATCAAAGATGCTAATTTGCCGTGAAAAATTATTATAATTTATTAGTATTTAGTAGCTTTTAACAAAAAAACCGCACCATTAAGAATTGTATTTATAATATTTATAAAAATTATTAAAATAAAATAAATGTGTTACAAAAATGAAACACATGAAATATAACCTTCTGATATTGCAATAAAAATGTGTAAGGATGTTCAACATGTAAATCAAATTTTATTGTTTGCAACAAAACACGCTCGATTCCCATAATTTCTTCCTAAAATTTGGTAAACATTACTTGATTTCCATAATTTTTTCCTAAAATTTAGTAATATTTTATAACAACGGATATAAACAGATATTGAAAAATACAGATAAGTTTCTAAAATGATTTTCCCTAACAAGGATTTTTATTATTTTAAAAGATTATTATTTATTCTATTAATTATTCTATTTATTAAGAAGTAAATGATAATCCACTGGGACTTTCTTTTTCTTAACCCAAAAATCTATAAATCTAGGCTAGAAAATATTAATAAAAAATATTAATAGAAAATATTAAAAACAATTATAATTATAATTTTCGCTTACTAAAGCAGTTTTTAGATTAAATTGATGAGGATATTTATCTTTGGCTGCTATTAAAATATCTTTGCTCTTTTTCGGCGTTTCTTCGACTTTACCTGCTAAAAACAGACATCCCATTGCAGTCAGCTGTAAGAAATTCATAAAATTAAAATTCCTCATTAGATTATTGACTTTCCACTAATTATAGATTATTTTTTTCAAAAATACAAAAAATGTAATGGCATCGTTTTCTCTTTTAACGGTCTTTAAAAAAATAAAACAACCAAAATTTCGATATATTCGATCTAAAAGAATGAATAAAAAGTATAAGCAATAATTTATTCTAATTGAATAATAAACCAAAAAACAACTTACATTTTTGGGAAATTCTTTAAATGAATGAAACATATAGAAACGATGAAAATAGACGGCTGCAGTTGCAAGTGTTGGATTCGGTTGTCTAAAATATTCATAAAGATATTTTATAAAATAAAAATATAAAAAAATATAAAATATACAAAAAAATACAAAAATATAAAAATATATATAATAAAACAAAAAATATTTTAATATATATTAATAATTAAAAATATATATTTATTTTTATTTTACTTTATTCTATATTTTACTTTATAGAAATATTTCGATGTTCATAAATGAAATATTTGAAATAAATAAATTCAATTAAAAAATGAAAATCGAAAAAAATAAATCAACTCTAACAATTTTAGCGCACTTCCAACTTCAACGATCATTTTTATGCCTTCTCGTCGTAGTTGATCCTCTTCGGAACGATCGATTCCATCCTTTCTTGATGGTGTTTCGTTCAACTGCTTCTCAGTAAATAACCAATCGCGCACCATTCCTTACTAAATTCGCTTAAAAATATATAATAATAAATAATCTTTCAACTGTCCCCAGTCGCCATCATTCTAGAGTAAAGTGGAACTGAAAGCGAACAAATGGGGAATGGTACTAAACGGGGACAGACCGATTTAATGAAGGATTGAGGGAGAGGTTTAGAAAGATTCCGATAAAATTATGGAAAAAAAATGAGCTATAAAACCAATAGTTATACCAAAGTTATACCAAGAATTTTCTATATTTTTGCAGATTTTCAAAAAAAAACTTCCATGACATTTTTAAAGAAATTCATAGCTTTCGCTGGACACTCAATGGAATTTGCAATTTTCAGGTTCAAATCAAATTGGACTCTCGAAGGCATCCACAATTTGAAGAAAATCCGTTAGAGAGTCCACAGTTCACACCAGATTTTCAGGGTGAATCCTTAGCTTCCATGATGGTGCCCAACTAAATATATAAATTTAATATCCTCACAAATAAACACAGACAAAAATCCTATAAAAAATTTGATGGTGCAAGATTGAAAAGAACTTAAGCTGTTTGAAACTGCATTTGGTCTTGAACAGAAAATATTCTCTCAGTAATTTTAGTTTTATTTTAATCTCCATGGTAGTCTAATTTCTTTTACTTGGTTGTATACACGTTTAATCATCTTTCTACGTTGAAGTAGTTCTTTCTGCGATTCATCGGCGTAAAGTGGTTTTTACTGCGGGGAATTCGGGGTGAAGGGTGGGGAGTAGGATAATCAGGTGCTAAGGGGCGAAATATGAATTTCGCCGTTGAATAGAGGCGGTCTCGTTATGTGAATGTTTGGCGAAAATTTCTGATTGTACAGCTAGCGGAATTGGCCTGCGCTGACACCAGAAACGCTAACACCACTTCATTATCACCACTCCCATGCATTTTCTTCGACCAAATATTTTTGAATATTTTCGTTCCAAATTTGAAACTTGCAATGCCAAAAACATTCTTTATTTTCTTTATTAAACTTAAAATTTATTTTTTCTAGGAGACTTTAAAGAATATTTGCCTGTTTTTTATCATAATTTGTTCTACTTTTAGATTTTAAATTTCAATTTTTATTTGGATTTTTGCAGTACTGACGACATTTCTGTCAAAATTAATTTTGGCTTATTTTTATAAGGCTCATTTTTTAACTAAAATTCTAGGGTTAGTGAAAGGGTAAACGAGAATGTATCGTGTTGGTCATTCACCAGTATCGCGATCGGCAACATTAGCTTACAATAGTCGGCGAAATGTCTCTTCGCATTGTGATATATGTAAGGCTTTGGATTTATTTTATTTCATTTTGTTTTTTCACTAAATAAAACAGTTTTTCTTAGATGAAAAGCACACATTACAACATTACATCGATGAAGATCCTCGCGAAGATAAAAGGTGTGTTTTTCGCATTTTAAATTTTATATATTTTGAAATGTGAAAGAATAAAGTTTTCGGACTTTTAAACGATTGCTGAGCTAATTTTATTTTTTTTCTATTTATGAGTATGAATAATGTTAGAGTTTTAAAATATTTCGCCTGTTTTTATTATAAATATTTCAGTGCGAGTGTGACAACAATACCAAATTTGTCCAAGAAGCACGCCAATAATCAAAATAATAATAGAAATAATAATAACAGTAACAATAATAATACGTCAACAAAAGACCAGATGCAAAAAAATAGAATTATGGAACTGAATTCTTTATATCATCAGTGTAAGTTTTAATAATGATGCGTCAAGTTCTTGTTCGCATGAGAGTCGAAATAATCGAATGGATAATGCTTCAGACTATTTGGGCGGCATTCAACTTTTGCCTAAGAGCAAGTGATTATCACACTTTTGCTTAAGAAGGAGTCGAATCTTTCATTGGAAAATCATTGATGCTAAGTCTTGCCGTTTCTATCATCAAGCGACTGTCTGCAGAAATTTCTGTCCACTTTAACATGTTATGATCATAAACAGAAAAAGTGTGATAATCACTTGCTCGCTTTCCTTTGCATGATAATCGAACAGATGCACTTGTTCATATTTTGCAATTTCCAAATTTCTCGTTCTTATCATTCCTATTGGTGATAGAATGGCTCAGTGAGTTGTTGCTCGATTGGGAGCACTGATGCTAAGGTTCGATTCCCCCAGGAATAAATCTGTACAAAAATCCGGCTGATGCACGTGTATTTCTATCGCCAGAGGACTTCCTGGCATATTGCTTAATGTGATAAGCCAATTGAGCGAGTTTAATCAGTAATGGTGAGGACTTTCTCATTCATTCATTATTATCATTTCTAGTGCATAAGATTCAAGTTTTTGAAGTTTCTTTCTTTTGACTTTTGAATTCCTATTTTCGTATTTTGCTTATAGTTAATATAGTCTAATTAACTTTGTTTATTTCCATCAAATATTTTGTAATTCTTATAATTAGTGTTTTTTCTAGTGTGGTATCGATTTTCACATACATCTGATGGTCGACCAGACACGACAATTGTTCGCTACCAACAAAGTAAAGAACTTCCTAAAGGTTATCCTGAAAAATTTTTTTCATTAATAAAAGTTAGACCTTTTTTCTATCGGAAATGTTATTTTTTTTAAATGTATTTTTCTTTTTTTCCCGCAACTTGTTGTTGAACCTTTTATTAAATAAATACATATGTTCAAAAATAAATTTAAAAAATGAAGAAAGCAATTTCTAATGAACTTGCAGATTTTGTTCCATTTGATGTTGAAAAACTTTTCACAGAACGTCTTCTGAAAGCCGTTGATATTGATCCGAAATTGATGAAAGAAATTTGTTAAAAAATATATGTTTTTCTCATAGGTACTAGTTTAGAACAAATCATAAATGTTTTTCGTTGTTTTTCAATTTATTAAATTTTTAATAAATTTTTGGCTTTTTGTATTGTTAATTATAAATATAGATTAATTTGCAGTTTTAGATTTGGATTTAGTATATTTTTTTATCAATTTTTATCAATTATGAGATACATCTATCAGTTTTTATTATTTACATAGGCATCTTTTTCAGAAATTTTCATGCGGTGCAATACTGATTATGATCAAATTATTCGACTAATTTTGGAGTATTTTTAGAACATTTGACCAAGTTTGTCGAATCTGAATTGGCACTTTAGGAATGAATTTATTTAAACTGAACGATTCGTTTATCTCTGCCATTTTATATTCATATTTGCTGGAATTAAAAGAAGAAGGCTTGCGCAAAAGTATTTCATTGGGCAAGAGTTATTAAAATTTCCACTATTCTCTTGCCATTTTTGATAGGTTCATCAAGGGATTTTACAGTTTACTCTTTTATTATTTTGCGAGTCGTCATATTATTGAATTTTTTTATAGTTAGTATAATTAGTCTAAATAACTTTATTTATTTTTTGTATCTCTTTTTTGTATTTTGAAAATAGATATCTGTAAAACTTTATGATAATGATTGAAAAGTTGAAATGAATAAATAATTTATAAAAAAGATATGCTTGTTTTAGATTATTTCGCTTATTTTTTCTTCCTCCCCTTGAAATCTACTTACAATACACAGAGTTTAAGTGCAATTTAGGTGTACTGTTTAAGATGGAACTAATTTGGCTGAATATGCTGGCATAAACTATAGTTTTGAAATTAGCGGTAAAATATTTGAGTAAATTCAAAAAATGAAGCGTGCATCAGTATTTGCTTGCTTATGACTTTTCGTTTAAGACAGCTGAAAGGCAGCAAAGGGCAGACAAATAACATTACTAAATGAGTAGTAGCAATTCGCAAAAAAATTTTACAGCAAGAATTCACTGGGTTATTCCAAATTTTGTTGTTTTTACAAATCAACTGATATCTATTTTCGCAAGTTCGGCTTCAGCTTCCGCTATTTCATTGAATAGCAATTGCGTTTTGGCTTTATTCGATTTTTCAGTCTAAAGTTAAAAGAGATTGAATGGAATTGGAAGTTCGACTTCGATAATAAAGTTCGTTCATTTTTTCATTTAGTTTAATAATCTGAAAGCAAAAAGCTAAAACCCGTAATATTCCTTCGTTCAGCACGGTCAATAAATTATCCCTTTCTTCTTCGAGCTTCTTGAATTCGTCGAGAACAGTGAGTTGAATTTCTTCGTTTTTCTTTAGCTTCTTTTGAAGTTCACTGATTACTGATCGATCCTTCTGAAATTTCGACGATTTTTATCAAATATACATATTAGCTTCGAGATTTTTAGGAGATTTTATTAGAGTTCTACCATCAGCGTTTAATCATATAGCTTATTTTAATAAATTGGCGTCAAATTTTATTTATCAGTTTGATTTTCGAATGATATAACTTACAATACATTTTTCGTGTAGCATTAATCTTTCCTGATAAACTTTTTGAAGTGCTTTATTATCGTCGATAAGAATGCGATTTTCCGTTTGTAATTTTATTAAATCACCTTTTGTAACGTTAGCATCTTTGCTATTTTTTTCCAATTTATCATTGAGATCTTCTATTTCTGCCTGAAAAAAAAAAGTTAAAAATAGAAAAATTGCGACTTCAATTTTATATTTTATATGTAATAAATGAATTAATTATTATAAATGGTTATTTTATTTGATAACGCTCGGTTAAAGTGAATTTAAATAAAATTTAAAAAATTTAAATAAATTTTAAACAAATTAAATTTTGAACTTTAAGTTGACGAATTTTTTCTTCATAATTTTCCATTTTTTTATGATTATTTCGAATTTCGTCGACATATTTTCCTTGTTCATTCGTTAATTTTCTTATTTCATTTTTTAAATGTTTTTTCAACGTTCGCATCTGAATTTATGATTTATTAATTTTAGGCTTAAGCTTCATATTTTTACTAATTTATATAAATAAATGCTCGTCGATTATAAATAAGTTCGATTATTATTGTGTAATTACAGTTTCAATCCAGGATTGCCATTTTTTATTTAGGTTAAGGTTTGAATTTGATTTTTATGGACTTTATGTCATTAAAAAGAATGATATGATAGTGATATCATCTTGAGTTCCAGTAACCCACTTGTCATCAGCCCTGTTCTCTCAGCATCTGAAGCGGGCCTTTGTTGATCCGGGCGATGTCCGGGACATGACTCTAATAAGCGACACTCTCATATTGAGGATGCAGATAAACATTAAGGGAATCTCGCCCGAGGACTAATAGAAAGGTAGAAAGCTTTTGGCTGTGATTCGAACCAAAACACCAATATCTTTTATTCCATGTCGATTGCCTCTAACCACTATATAAACCAGCGCATACCATGGGCTGAAAGAGAAACTATAGAAGATGTGGAAAGTAAAGGCCGAAATAATTCTAGTGATAATTGGAGCAATTGGAACTGTGACTCCTAAGCTGGGCAAGTGGCTTCAGCAGATTCCAAGAATAAAATCAGAGATCTCTATCCAGAGAAGAGCGCAGAGCTGTGAGGAACAGCCAAGATACTGCGCAGAATTCTCAATCTCTCTCTAGCAGAGGAATCAAGGTTGAGGATGATCATGGCTACCCACTACATGGGATGAAAAAAAATTTTTCTTCACCTTCAAATCATATAAAGTGATAATTTTCTCTTTCTCATCTTCTAATCCATTTACGAAGTCAATTTGTGTTTGAGCATCGATTTTCATTATTTCCACAGAATTTTGGTCGGTTTGTGAATATTTTGAGGGTTCCATTTTGCTCGTAAAATTATTCGTTTGCGTAGTACCAACACTATAGAATTGTGCTTTTAATAAAGTCTTCAGTCGTTTATCAAGCCGCTGCAATTTCACTAAATCATTCACCATCATCGCTAACAGAGATTACGAATAATACTTAATATTTACTATACATATTATATTTTTTCAATATCGAAAAAAACAAACCATAATTTCTGTGCTTCTTAAGCCTAATTTGTGATTTGTGGTAGATTCTTTGCAGTTATAATACGATTTTTTCATTTTTCACATTTTCATTAAAAGGCTATTTTTCTGAAATGCAATAATATTTATAGAAATATGAAGGGTAATATTTATTAGAAATCTTTTCCAGCTATTTCTTGGAAAAAAAGATTGGCTGAGTAAGTGAATGGTAAATGCCCTCACCATTTTCTGATTAGGCTAATCCAGTTGGCTATCAGTACGCTTATCAAATTTTTTATCACAAACTGATAGAAGTACAGTTAAGCATTGAAATTTATTTATTTGCATCCAAGTATGATTTGCAAATCTTATTTGCTTATCACAGTAATTCTTATTCTACTGATTTTGTATAACTTCAAGAAGGGGTTAAAAAGGATCAACTTGATAAGCGAAAGTTAAAGCAGTAAAATTTCGCATGCCTTTATCTGGCGCTATTCTATCATTCGTCGCATTCAACACTATGCTACATTTTTTTGTTGTATTATCATAATCTTATATTGTTTGATCCTTCAACAAAAAATCCTCCACAATATCGAACGCTAACTCACAGTCTTATCACTGAGGAGATTATTACTCGTTATCATTTTGATAAATGTTATCATTTTTTTGATAAACGTTTTTTTTCCGCTTAAGTTAATCGATTTGTTTCAGATATATTCCCTAAGTTAGTATTAGAAATTAGATAAAGAATAATTTTTATAAAATTCGTATAATCGTAAATTCGTATAAATTCGTTTCTGTTTCAAAAACTTTACATTGCGATTCATTGAGAGTTCGTGCAGAAAAATCAAAACGATCCTCCATGAAATAGAAACATTTACGCTTTTCATAAAATCAGCCTTCTGAGCATAGCTAAATTTTTTTCAAGTTCACTTTTTTTGAATTATTTCTGCATAATTCACGATAAATAAAAGAATAATGGGTAACTTCAGGTTGCCAATGAATTGGACAGGTATGACTGACAGCCGCAGCGGAATGCCACGTCAAATTCAAGTTAACCATTTTAAGTTCAATTTTGTCCGCTCATTCAACATTAAAAAATAAGACCGAGCTGGTCCTAGGAATTCACCTTTATCACCAACCCAAATGATTGACTATTTAGCAGAAGAATGATAATAATCGCTGGGTAAGACAAATCAAGACAAAATCAGTATGCATTGTAAAAGTTGGAAAGTGAATTAAAATAAAAATATGAATAGATTGTTATGAGCTGGAACAAAACGATTGGGAATTAGTTCATGGATAAAAAATCCATAGTAGTCATGGAAACATCGCTAGCAGGCGAACTCCTGGATCACTTTCCAGTTTTCACATCTGACTTCGTTGCATCGCTACAAATCAATACTCATTAACGATATTATAATAAATTTTTATTTATAAAAACACAACGCCTAGAATTTGAACGCATAATTCAGAGGTGAAAAATTTTCTTGATACGTGCATTATTGCTTCATGACTGCTGAGATGTAAATAAATACATGGTTAGCCAATTGGCCACTTCTTAATTGGTCGGATTCGTTCAGCTGGCTCTTCAGTGCGATTCAGTGTGATTTCCGTCTCCAGGTCACCTGAATTTTTAAATGAAAATTCACTCATCCTTGAGTTTATGCTTGAGTCTATGGTGAACGACGAACAACGAAATGGGATAAAAGCAGTGAAAATTTTGCTGGTAATGGTGGCGGTGACGAGAAACGACAATAAATCGAGAATTTCTCTCGCAAATATTCTGAGTCAGCAACAATCGTTTGTGCAATAATTTCATAGTTGTTGTGCAATCGTTTCGTCTATAAATATCGAAATTTTTCGCATAAATTTTTATTTTCGACTTTTAAACTTTTTTTAAAGCATTTTTCAGAAATTTAAAATTAAAAATTTAATTTTTAGTTTTCCAAAAGAAATGCGTTTGTTTTGTTTTTCGTTCTTCGATTTCTTTTTTCTTTTTTCAAATCGAATTTTCGATTTTGGCGATTTAAAAGCTTTCATCGCTGATTTTCATAGTTATTTTTCTTGTTCATCGAGCGTTCATCCATTCGAAATTGTCAATTTGCAAACGATTGAACAGTAAATTCGCTTTTTCCTTTTCGTCATTCGTTTTGTCACGTAAAATTCAGTTTGTCGTGTGATTAGTGCGAGGAAGAACGCTTACCGCTGCTGGTTTGGCGCACTTGGCGCGAGGAAGAACGCTTACCGCTGCTGGTTTGGCGCACTTGGCGCGAGGAAGAACGCTTACCGCTGCTGATTTACCGCCCTAACTGCGATAAGCGAAATCTGCCAGTGAGTCGTTTGGCTCGCGTCGCGTCTGCACGCCGGCAACCATAAGATTAAAGTGATTGGCGGTACCACTCGATGTGGAACTGATTAATTTTCTGTGCTAAATTTATCACGTAATATCTCGTTTTTTTTGATGGAAGGTTGTACATAGATTTTTATGCAGCTGCGACGAGAAAGTGCAGTGCATTGTGTTTATAAAGCCAGTAGCATAGTGCATCAGCCAAATATAGGAGGATTGCTAATGTGCTTTCATTATGAGTGGAAAAGTACTGCAGTGAAAAAGTAGTGACATAGGTGATGTAAGCGTGATGACTGAAAATGGTGACTCGCCGCTTTGGAGATTTCCTAAAAGCATTAATTCGTCTTAGGCGAAACACGACGTCGGTTTTGCTCTTCGCACACTGCAGATGGCAATAGTTCTTCTCCTTTCACTATGAAAATTGGGTGTTTTTAAATATTCTTTTTCAATTCGATTACCTTATTCGTTAATTTTATTTCAGGAGGAATGCCTCAATATTTTGACGATGAAATTCCATATTTTGGGCGAAAAAGTTCGAAGGATTTGAAAATTTATCGCAATAGTAAGCAGTAAGTAATTTTTTTTTCCAGTTTTTCTGATTTGGTTCTTTTTTCTATAGAAAAAATTTTGGATTTCATCATTTCATTTATTTCAATGCAGTCGATCAAATCGACCAAAAATGAGTGCTTTTAGGTCAAAAATAATTTATATTTTATGATAATTTTGTGCTAATAATTTATGTTTTAGAAGAATTGCGCCGGACTGCGTTATGAAATGCATGCAGGATGTGGGTACTGGATTTGGAGAATATTTCACTTCTGATGGTGCCTTAAATACTAATTTCTTACAAGTAAGTTGCAAATGATTATTAATAGAGTGCCATTTGCTTTTAAATACCCATTTTATATATTAGAATTTTATTTTAGATTTTTATGATTTTGCGGTAATTTTTACGTTTTAAATACCTTTGTAGTCTGATGATCGATTTAAAAAACCCTTATTAACAGCCAGTAAGCTTTTCTTCGACCGATTTCATATACCTTATTCGATTAAGAAAAAGAAAAACTGGGAACTTGTCGACGAAACGAAACGTAATATTACTAGCATTCAGGTACCATATGAACATGAATTTTTCATATTGTTTAGTTAAGGAAATTTTCAATCATACTAAATTGAGACTTAATGATGAATTTTTCATCAAAATAGTTTAGTTAGCTCAAATTGTTGTTTTAGGATGATCGCTTATCGATAATGGTTGTGAAGATCAATTCTATTTGCTTATACCAGTCGGAAAGATTTGATAATACTTTAGATTATGTTCCTGTTGATGAGATACATTTAGTCGATTCAAGGAACCGCGAAATACATAAAAAGACGAAAAATTTGTTTTATGGCGAAATATTTTAGTATTTATTTTCTCATTTTTTTAATATATTTTATATATATATATATTTTTATACTTATTTTTTATATTTAATAAGGTTTTTTTTTTCAGCCCTCACAAATTCATTCGAGAGAATGCTCCACCTAATATTTGGTATAAAAAATTCATCAAGAAAAATCACCCGCCTCGACCAATTATTAATTTGTGGCATTCTTTCTCGTTGTATAAAATTATTCTCGTTCTGAAAGAACTGGTATCGAAATATAGCAATAGATGGTTGAACATGGATAAGAAATGGATCGCAAAATATAAGGACAATCAAAAAAATGCAGTGGAAAGAAGGGAGAGGAAAGATCGCTATTCTCGTCGAAATATGAAATACAAGGACAATAAAAAAAATAGAATGAAAAAAAAGGGGAAAGATTGTCAGTCTCATCGAAATAAGAAATTTTTCACATCGAAATGCCAGGAATACGCTAACGAGCTGTATAATGAAGAAATACAGCCTTTGGAACGAGAAATCAGTGAGGTTCTTCCTACTTCATGCAGATCGCAGTTTTATATTTCCGATTTTCTCGTGGGCATCCCGATTGATAGATTATCAAAATCAAATTCTAAATCAAAACGTCAAAGGAATGGCAAAATATCTAAGGTTTTTAGTTCGAAATTTTTCTTTTTTAATCTTAGAATCATAAAATAAAAATTCAAAATTGAAATTTTAGAATTTTAGAATTTAAATTTTAGGATTTTTAGAATTTAATAAAATTAATAATAAACAATAAAATTAATAATAAATAATAGAATTTAATAAAATATAAAATAATAAGATTTCTGTTTTTGGCCAGGCTGATTATTTATTATTATTTATTATTAAAATTAACCAAAATGATTTTCTTATGGATAAAACACTGTGAAGCAGTAGCCAGTAGAATTTTAGTATTTTAGAATTTAAATTTTAGAATTTTTAGAATATATGCATATTCTATATATATATATAGATATATATATGTATAAGTATATGCGATGCTCATTATTTTTTTCATTGTTCTTTGTAGATTCGTTCTGAAGAATTTGAACAATGGTTCGCTAGTAGTCCTGCATATGAGCTTCATAAAGAAAATGATATTGTCGATGAAAGCCAAGTGACTGATTCCAAGGAGAAGAATGTCTTTTCATATGAATCGTTACCGTTGTATAATATTTTCTTAAATCAGCGAGAAGCGGAATTTATCAAACGCCAATTGCTGCCAAATACTCAACCAGTTTTGAATGTTATTCCTATTTGCTATATAACTGATTTCAATTGGCAAAATAATACTCATTTAGTGCTGCCAGAATTTCTCGAGAATTTTTATGGTTCAATTATTATTCAGCCGATTTTATATGCTCGTAATAACGAATTTCTTAGGTTAATTAAGATTTTTGTGATTTTTTTTTTTTAAAAAATTTCTTCTTTAAATCGATTTAAAAGCTGGTAATTTTAAATATTAATATCACATTTATATTTTTATATTTATATTTAACAATTTAATTTAATTAACAATTTAGTATTAAAGTTTAATATTTTGATAGGATTATTCTTAATGCATTTGTGTCGAAATACGACAAATTTAATGAAAGTGAGGATAAATCAAGTTTATTGGTGCCAAGGTCCTCATTTGAAAAATTTCTGCCAAGAACTGTGCAGTTGCCTAGTTATGACTCTTCGTCGGTTTGCTGCGTTTTTTTGCAGGAAATGTTTCCGAATAAGTACGAGGTATTATTAGTTTAGTTTAATCTTGCTTTCTCAATACTCAGTACTCATCAAATTTTGTTGTTCAAACACGATTTTCTTTTGAAATTTTATGAAATCTTTTTTTAAAGGATCAGCAGGACGAGTTATGTTCATCGACATCATATGACGTTGATTCTTATTGTTCCATATGTGGTGAGAATGATAAATACGGTTTTGCATTGCAATGCAAGCATTATTTTTGTGCGGATTGCTGGGGTCAGTACTCAGTTGAGAGGATTTCACTGGCTAGAGTTCCAGTATTGTGTCCCGTTAGCTTTGATAAATATCTTATGTTTCATATTATTTAACTGGTACTTGTTTGGCTTAAAATTTCGCATTATTTTTTCAAATCAAGCCATATACAAGAAATTAATTAAATTTATGCTTTTTCTAGAGATTTATGATTGTTCTTTGAATTATTCATATATAAATTGCAGAAAACATTTTGTAACGAGAAGCTGTCTTTGGGCCAAATGCGAATTTTTCTTTCCAATAAAATTTGCCAATGGTACAAAAATTTATTATTTAATAGAGGAATGATGCGCAGAGAATGGACTTACTGCCGAAAATGTTCAAAAATATTGCACATTCCCGAAAGTAGCAAAATGGAAAAGACGTGTGGAATCTGTAAATGTGGTTCATCTGTTTGTTTGCTATGTGAAAGAGAAGTTCACATTCCTTTGTCTTGCAATGAATATGAACCCTACGCTAACGTGGTAACAGCAAATGGCAAGTTTGGCAAAGTTTTTAACTTGAGTGGAATGTGAAAAATAGTTTTAAAACATTATCATCATCCTATGTATAATAATTGATTTAATATTATGGTACACCTTTCCCTTTAGAGGTAATGAATATTTTGCAGAAAATAATTTACTCCAATTGAATGTGGATAATGTTTCCGTTGCCAAATGTCCAAATTGTGGTGCTTTTTGTGAAAGGAACGGTGGTTGCGAGCATATCATGTGTATATGCAATTTTGATTTTTGCTATCAGTGTGGTGATGCTTGGTCAAACCAGCCACACTATATGTGCAAAACGAAACTTGAGGTAATTCATTTCACCAACTTCATATCACCAACTTCTAGATTGTATTTCAATAACTAAATTATAAGATAATTGCCACTGAAAATCGAAGATGGCTCCGATTTATATCAGGTCTGCTCACCACACTTTTTCGGCCATCAATTCCGCCGAATGGTTAGAATGGCTGAATAAGTTGTTGTTGTTTATTTCGGAGCATTGAGATTCTATTCTGGCAGGAATAAAGTTGCTTTTCAAAAATCGCTGTAATGTTGGTGACTTGTTCTTTTGCCAGTTGACTCATTTGTAAAATTTGTCTGATACGACAAGCCGATGAACCGAACCAGCGTGATGAGCTCTTTTAGAAAAAGTTCATCATCTTTTATGACAATAAATACATTTCGTTTCATTTCATCATTTATTTTTTAAGTTATTTGGAAATTCTCTTCAGAAAGTTAATCTCTATGATGTGCCAATCGAAATCAATGATAAAATTCCACTGCACGTGGTTGAAGAGTGTTTTAAATACCGGCGAAGTGATAAAATTTCGTTATTAACGAGGCGTTTATTTAAAATATTTAGGTCTGATTACAATATGTTTTTTGATGTTCGCTCAACATTCTTTGCTGTAAGTTCCATTTCATTAATACTGAATTATTGGCGTTTTTAAAGTATTAATCTTTGCATATATTTGTTGCAAAATGTGCATTTCGTGATATTTAATTGCATATATTTTGTTGAAAGGAATTGTTTGAAACTTTTTGAGAAAGCTTTACTGTTTAGCAGATGGATTTTACCATCAGTTTTTTTTGAAAAAAGATTCTCTGCCTTATTCTTATATAATTTCAGGTGACCAGTTTTATGGAAATGCTTTTGTTAAAAATTCATTACACCAAAAGTTATTTAAAAATGTGGAGGAAAAGAAATAAAGCAGATAATAAGGTGAATAGCAGTTCAATAAAATTGCGAATTCTCTTGAAATCGAAGAATAGACTTCGCTTTTCGTTTAATTTATTTTGCACTGCAATTGATGCACAAAATCGAATGAGGATTATTCGATCGAAAATGTTGTTGGACAATACATTGCAAGCGTGCATTAGCGAAATTATTTAGAATTTTAATGGTTCTCCATTATTTCATTATTTAAAGATTATTTAGTTAGGTAATAGTAGTATAAAAATATTTTTAATAGAATAAACAAATTTATTAAATTAGTTTAAATTAGTTGAGCTCGAAAAATTAGTTATTACATGTCAATGTATGCATATGTGCATTTTTAATTGTATAAATTGTTTAATTTTTTGAAAAATATAAATAATTTAATAATTTAATAATTTAACTGATATGATTATTTTTAATAAATAACTGCAGAAACTGCGAAATTTTTTAGCTGTTTGCTCGTCATATTTATTTTTATTTATTTTGTTTATTTTTATCTAACAATTGCCAAAGATCTAATAAAAAAATGTAATTATTTGTGTTCCATTTTTTTTTTATCATTACGCAGTTTGTTGATATGTGGTTTTTTATCTTTTTATTTGGCACGATTCCTATTATTTATATAAAAAGGTAAATTTGGCTGCTCCAGCTACATATCAGTGGCCAAATCATATTTAAATGCCTATTTACAATGTTAATGTTAAGACTCATTAGGAAATAAAATGAAAGATTTAAAGATGGGGGATTAGAAGTCATTAAATTGCAGTACTTTCTTTATAGTGTAATGTGGATTTACATTTCAATCATATAAGTTCTGAAATTTTGCGGGTGTTATAGGAGAATTCAGCTGGAGAATGGTACTCTAAATATTGCACTAGTTTTTGCATTGTCGGAAGTCTTAGGCAACGGAGCCTCATATTCTATTTTCAATTATTGTGGTGGTTTATCAATGGAAAATAAGAATTATTGAAAATTATTGAATAACAACAAAAACTGTTGAATTAGCTGTATAATTTGATAATTGTTAAAATGAATAATTTATGACGGTATATTTTACGGCCCGTGGAGCAGATAAAATATCGTATGATCGCATCCATCTTCGTTCAAATACCACCTGCATTATTATCATGTTATCATAAAGTGTCGCCTTCGCTGGTTAGGGCACTTTATGATTGAAAATAAATAAATGATAAAATAAATCGAGAATGTTTTTTGAAATGACCGCTCGCTAGTAAAATTTTTCTTCAATTTATGTATATTTTTTTGTCAATATATTTTTCCTTAGATAATTTTTTTGTCGTGATAATCATATTGATAGATAGTAGTTTTTTCTATCAGCATAATTTATAAAAAATGTGCAATTTCACTAAGTCTTCTCCTATTTTTAATTTATAAGGACATTACGAAATCATTAACCATTCATAAAAAAGGAAGCACCCATGATCCTTTTAATTAGAGACCTATTAGCATAACTTACATTGGTAGTAAAGAAAAGTACTCGAAAAGTTGGTCTGCAACAAATTGCTTACTTATCTTGATGTCAATAATTTTATATCATCTTATCAGCATGGCTTTTGTAGAAAAAAATCTACTTTTTCAAAAATATTGGCAAATCTTTCCGATTGGTTCGCATCAATTGACAATGGTAAAACAGTATCAGTTGTGTACTTAGATTCGACTTTTTTTCTACTGTTTCCCGTAGCAAATTATTGATCACTCTTAATAGTTATGGCATTACAGAGGCCCTTTTTTAACAGCTATCTGTTACATAAAAGATCGTCACCAAGCTGTACGCGTCAATAATATTCTCTCTGATGCAATACATGCTAAATCTGGTATTCAAAATTGTATTGTAATATTCTCTCTGATGCAATACATGCTAAATCTGGTATTCAAAATTGTATTGTGTCATAGCTTTTTCTATTATATATAAACACCACTGTGGTATTATTTATCTTTATGTTGATGAGTGCAAAATTTATTATTTTCATGGTAGAACAGATAGCCTATCTCCACTGTAGGAGGACCTCAACAGAATAGCCAACTGGCTATATGATAGGCAAATTACCCTTTCCTTTCAAAAATATAGCATCCTTTTTGAATTATTAATTTTTTGCCATGTTTTCTTCATTTTTTATCATTAATTCTTATTATTTGTTATTATAACTGTTGTTATTAATACAAGCACATGGCGTTTGTCGCCTTGCTTGGCTTCTTTTCAATAAAATAAATAAATATTAAATTCATAAATAAATATCAAAAATAACATAAATATCAAATATAAATATAAAAATATATATGAATTCTTCAAAAAAAGAGAATAGAGAATAGAAGAATAAAGCGACCTGACACCAAAGAGCGATATATTACATTGGTAACTCAAAATAAAACTCCAAGTTCTCGTGGTAGACATAAATTACTATTACGAAGGGAGCGAATTTTCGAAAGCTATCGATGCACAATAGCGAACACAAAAAAATATGTAAAATAAATTCCTCAAATAAATGCTGTGAATCAAAACAACTAATTTAGCGCACAAAATCTCACATCTATTAAGGTATAATCATCAAATAACTATAGTTTTTGTAATATACATCTGTTAGTTATGCGCTGCATGCCATTCACACTAAAATGCTTTTTTGCAAATGAAAATAATGTATATATATATATATATATTAATGCGTATAGAATAGACTCATCTCAAAATTGTTTAAATTTAAATTTTAACTAAAAGTAAGAAATTCTTAGTCTGCTTGGGTACAAACGACAAGCCATCAGACCAACAACTGAAAAACCGCATACCTCTCGTCTGTTCGACCTCTTATATTCTTCGACCTCTTAATTCACCATCAATGCTTTCTCCCTCGAATTTCTCCCCAACAAAATCGTCGCTTAGGAAATACAAATTGGATAAGGGAATTCGCAAGATCTCCTCTCTATGTAATTGTACTCCATTTTCATGAATCATTTGGCGTGGAGAATGATTGACACAACCAGTCCATTGCCCCATTAATTTCAGTATTTATTTCTATGATGATTCATAATTATTCTTACTAATTTTACTATTTCCTTATCCTATTTATTTATTTATTAAATCTTTATGAAATTTAATTAATTCTGCTAGGCCCAGTTTTGTAAACATATATAATTGTTTTTAGTTCCATTCGTTATTGTATATTAGTTGAAATTTCTCAAGTTTAACGTTTCAGGGTAGAAGTGACAATTTTGAATCGACTGAATGGCCTATTGTCGCTAAATGCGATATTTTAAATTGGTGGTCTCGACTTGTTCATTAATTTATTAAATACATTTTTTAACAAAAGTCAATATCAATATCTTAATATAATTTCTGGAAATTTATTGAGCTTTATTTAGAATAAGGAACAGTGGATATTAAGAAAAGGTTCCGAGCGTAAATATGATTCAGAACAAATAAATAATTATTCTTGCCGGATAATGACTTGCCGGACAAATCTAAAAACGATTTATTAAAATTGTTAAAATTGCACAAAAAAATAAAAGTGAATAAATAAATGGTAATACAAATTGTAAAACTGAAAAGTTCTTCACTAGATTTTTCGAAGAAAGCACAATGATAAAAAATGGAAGAAAAAAATTAACATCACAATTATTAAAAAATAAAAAAATAGAAAATTATGGTCAAATTGTGAAAATAGCTCATTTCTGATTTGGTTGGCACCACTAATTGCTGAAGTAAAAACCATTAGTGAGTCTGCTGAGATAGAAAATAGGTGAACCTCAACCACAGCCGGAAGAACTAATATCCATTTGATGCTCATTCGAAAAATTATGGATTGACTGATAAATTATGCGAAGTTTTCAAGGCAATGAGAAGCAATAATATAATATATAACTTGTTCAATTCATTATAATGTAGACCAAACATAGAACTTGTTCAATTACTTGCTCATTATTTGGTTTAAAAAACAAATTCGCTAAGCAAAGTGATAAAGATAAAGAAAAACGTACTAAATTCTGGTTAATTGAAAATTAGATTACAAATGAAAATCAATAAAAATCTTTAAATTTGCAAAGTACTCATTAAATAAAATTATGCTGCACTAGAATGCATAATAAAAATTTTATGCAACAATATTTACGATCGAAAAGAAAAGCGAAAAATTTAAAGCTCAGCTTTAGTCAAATTGTGGAAATAATCTGGAGATTTATGGAGATCTGCTTCAAGCTTCGCTATAACATCAGCAACAATTTTCTCTGCCACTGAATTACCTTCGATGAAAATACCTTTCATATCTTGGCGAGTATTATTCGTTCCTGGATACAAATATATTGAGAAATACGAACTATTCAAGCCGAGCGTTTCGCAGATGTAACCAGATTCCCAACAGTTGATTTCAGCCAGTTTTACTCTACCATCCAATATCTGTGTATAATAAATTGACATTATTTTCCTCGAATATTTGCAAGCAGAAATCAATCATTAATTAATTTTACAAATAAAATTTAAGAACAAATTAAAATACTCGGATGAAACTATTAATTTTTTTTGAAATTTGAATCTATAAGCTAGCAAAAAAAGGTTATAACGCTTTTCTATTAAATAAATGATTGTGATTAAGTTGAAACAGAACTAATTGATATGATCAGAATATTACATCTGCAACTGCATCAAAAACAGCCCTAAATTCTGAGCATATCGAGCCGTGACCACTGCATTGCAATCCTTTAAAGAGGATCAACCAGGACTCAGAACTAGTTAAAACAGTTTCAAAGAATTCTTCTCCCATATTCTTCCGGACTTTTGATTTCAATGTATAATTTAACCAGGATTCCATCGAATAATGATCAGTCCAATAAAAAGGATAAATTCTGAAATATATTGCTTAATGAAATTGATATAAATATTTCATAGAAAAAAAACGCTATTAAGACCTTAAAATCTTAAAAACAGATAAAATTGACCAGAAAATCGATCTATATGAAGTAAATACATATTTAAAAAAGTGGAAAAAAATCGAGAAAAATAAAGAAAAATGACTCTGGATTTTTATTAGAAAATTGTTGATACAAGTGTAAAGTCGGATAATGTTGAATGAATTTATCGAAACAAAAACGCCCATATATTTGGCAATTTATGGAAGCAAAAGAAATATCATTCCTAACTGCAAGCAAATTACGTGCCAATTTTCGAAATTCGGGTGCAAGCTATAATGAAATATTAACAATAGAAATGAGCTAATAAACGAATAAAGCCAATAAAGAAATTAAATGAGAAAAAGTTCATAAAAAAGCAAAAAAATTCTGAAATAAATCACATATTTAAGTGAATATTTAAGTTACCTGTTGGCAAGGTTGACACCATGGAGCGAAAAAATCTACCATCCAAATGGATCCAAAATCGCGATTGACCACTAAGTGCTCAAAACTCGATGGATTTAATTCATGAACAGATGGGTTGCGAATATCCTACAAAACAAGAATATTTTCGATGTAAAAAACATAATAAACTTCTCTTAAATATTACAGAACTAACTTCAATAAAATCTACAATATCGTCAGCAGTGTGGTAACCGACTTTTGTATTTGTCGTATTGGAAAAATAGACAGTAGTCGTCGGATAACTAAAAAAAATATAAATAAATACAATTATTAAAATAAAATAATTAAAAAGAAAAAAAAAGCAAAAGCAGAAATTTTAAAAGAGCAAATGAACAGTATTAAATTTTGCAAATATCTTCAATTCAGCCTATTAAATTTTTCTTTCAGAAATACTTATTTATCTGTGAAAAAAAAAGAATACTTATTTATCTGTGAACTTTGACATAATTTGAAATGCTTTACGCAATCCAGAGCACCAATTTCGATATCAAGCTTCTTTGCAATATCATAATCCAATTTTCTAAGCTCATGAAGAAATCTTAAACAAGGGGGACACCACTGAAAATACAAATGATTTTCAATTTTTATAAAAGAAATTCATTTGAAACAATAAAGAGTAGAATAAAGCTAAATTTTACCGGAGTGAAATAATCAATTAACCACATTTTACTACTACTTATCGCTTCATAATATTTATCAACAGTTAACGTTATAAGAGGAGAGTTTGAACTCTCTTGAGCGAAATATACAATATCGTGGATGGAATCAGTTTTATCTAAAAAAAAATTCCAGAGCGATAAATCAGAAAAAAATAAGATATTTGAAACCAAAAAGATATTAAAACAATATTAAATATTAGAATCGTAATAACCATAATATATTTCGTAGCCAGATTTTTTGAACATTATCCATCGAGGAAATTCATGAATTTCCAGATCCTCACAAATTGTTGGCACTGTCAAGCAGTCAGCTAAAAATAACTAAAACAACGAAAAAATCCAAATTTCAAGTGTGAACCAAAAAATAGTAAATGTCTCCAATAAAAATATAAAACCTGTATATTGCTAGACAACCTTGAAGATAACTGTTTGAATTCGCTTTTAATTTTACCAGACACGAAACCGATTAATATAGGCGAATTTCTCTCTTTGGCTGCAAAACTGTTTTAAAGTTATTCTATATGCAAGAAATGAAAGCAAGAAACAAACAATGAAAAGTACCTTCAATTAATTGTTTAAGATCTTGAAAATCAAGCACTGTCAATTCTGGAATAAATTTCAATATTATTTCCATAATTTCTTGAGTATCTCGCGTATCAATAATCTACAAAAATAATAATTGAGAAAAAGTAAATATAAGCATTCAGAGCTATCGGCATGAAAAATTGCAATAAAAATTTAAATGAATTCAAATAAAGTAAATAAATAAAAACAAATAAAAGAAAAAAAGAAACCGTTTCATGTTGCTTATCGACATTTTTGGCTGGATAAAAAATTAATCCCTCACTTCGCCCTAGATCATCGCAGATATTTTTTGTAGCAGAGTCTAAGCAATCAGCCTTCAAAACGAGTACTATGCCATGTAACAACCTTGCCAGTTTGTACCTAAAATGAAAAAAAAATATTTTAAGGTGAATTTTAAAGTCAAAACAAAATACTCTAGAAGTTTTCATAGAAATATTGTTGAACTAATAAAATACAAGAAATAAAAAGCTTACTGATTTATTTCCGAAATACATTCACCTTCTTCATCATGAAAACAAATAAGCCATCCTAACAAAGAATTACTGTGTTCATCTAACAGATTTTTAAAATTTTCTTCATTAAGATCATAAAGATCAACATCCATATATTCAATAACAAATTTTACTAAAGCATCAACTGAACGTATTCCATTATAATATATCCGCTAAAAATTTATATATATATATATAGTTTAGGTCCAGAAATGAAAAAAATAAAAAATTCACGATAATAAAAAACAGATGTTTTTTTGAAAATTAAGAAAAAATAATAGTTAAGAAACCTACTTTAGGAAAGAGAACAAGTGATGGGTAACCATTAATTCCTTGAGACTGACATAAAAATGGATCATCTGCACAATTAACAGCACCAATTCGAATGCCACCAAACATTTTACGAGCAAATTCTCTCCACTTAAAATTAACGGATAAATATGATCAAAATTAAGGTGAATTTTAAAGTCAAAATAAAATTTCTAAAAGTGCTCAGAGAAGTTTGAAAAATTGTAAAATAAAGAATGAAGATAGAATAGTGTGAGTTGTTGCTCAATTCGGAGCGGCAACGCTGAGGTTCTACTCTCTATAGGAGTAAACCTGTCCAAAAATCAGGGCGACTCAACTGTATTTCCCTGGCAACTTTGTTTAGTCCGACAAGCCAGCGGAGTCTAACAAGTGATTCTTAAAAAAAATAAAAAATAAAAAAATTTTTTGCAAAATTTTGATGATAAAAAATAATAAATTACCGTAGGTGCTAACTGATGACAAAACGAACAATATGTTGAATAAAAGTTGACAAACCAAATTTCATTAGAGTTCGACGTGACCTGATCGAAATCATTGCGCGATAATGTCGTAATTTCCAGATCATCGTCATATATGCCTTAAAATCATGTAAAAATAGCTTTTGAAATAGCATAACTGAAGTATATAAGTAATAAAAATTTATAAATATATCACTGTATTTAAAGTCAAAAAGAATTTGGTGCAGCAAGAAATTTATTAAATTTAAGCAAACCGAAGACTTCGTTGTAAAACTGCCACGATTGATAGCCTCCACCATGCTGACTATTCGCCTTAATGCCTTCTTCACCGTATATATCATACTTACTTCGTAAATCGTCATCCATTAAGACTTCATAAATATAATTAAGTTCAACGAATTCATCATGAGCATTCTTGTCACCCTGGAAAAAAATCATGAATATCCACTTTTCTAGAATTCATCACCAAAACAGATTTATCTACTATATAATCAATGTTCGAAAATATGGACGCTACTTGAAATAAAACACTCGATGAAAACATTCAAGTACTCGACTCGGTTATTCTAAAACCTACTTTAAAAATCCAACTCCTAGAAAAGGATGATACTAGGAGCGAAAGAAGACGAGGAACAACCAGGTGAATAGGTTAAGATTTTTCTTACATGCGCACCACTTGCCTAGCTTTATTGGCCATTGGCTATGGCAATCCTAAGCTTTCCGATGGTATATTCGAAATCACTGAAGCCACTCTTTTTGATTGAAGTCACCATTTAAGCCAGTGAATCGAGAGGCAGCATGTGCATGCAAAATCTCTCTTAATCGTATTGACCTAACTTTTCGACCTATTTGATACATCTTAGGCACGAAAAGCCGAAAGTAGACAGCTATGTAAGGCCTACTCTTGTCGCAGCTCTATAGTAGAAATATACATACGATATCCATATTAATTCGAAATTATCATCGGGACTAGGATTTCGTCTAATTTCTGTTATCTTGAAGAGTCAATTTTCGCGGTAGCTATTGCATTTCTGTCGTTGAATCTGTCGTTCTATTTAAGCGAATAAACAATGCATTCATCTGTGCATTCAAGAAGAGAACTATGCTTGAGACAGATTAGCATTTTCATGTGCATTTTCATAATCCATAATCCAATCTATCGTGTAAATGAAGAAAGAATGGACAATCTTGACAAATATAGGTTCACATTTCTAAAATTTATGACTATTAAGGAGGTGAAAATCGTCCTAGAAATATTGCCTCACCAATGCGCACCAATGGAGATAAAAGTAGCTAGCGACTCTTCAACGGAGATATGCTCTACCAACTTGATAAGACAGCTGAGTTGTTTCGTCCAAGACCCATTAGCCGATTCCCACTATCTATAAATCTTGCAAGTTGCATTACTCAGATATTAGAAATACTATTTTATGGTCGTTATCAGTTCCATCTGAATCCTAAATCCAAACATTGCATGGTCAAATCTTACCAATTCAAGCCACGAATTACGAGCACAGAACACAACCTTCCAGCGATGACCAACCAGAACGTAATGTCTAGCAGCATCTCTTGCATATCAGCAGCGCCCACTGTATTCATTTGCGGCAAAAATTTCATACTCTTCAGGGCAAAATGAAGAGAACGCTTTCCATCGGTTCAGCGGGCACCAACTAATACACCTTCATAGAAGCAGCACCATGAGATATTACAGGATTTGCTTTTGAAGTTGGCGTTAACCATCCGTTCACCAGTTAGATCACAGAATTCTACCAGAGAGAAGCACAAAAAAAACAAAAAAAAGGAAAAAAATCTATCAAACCGGATTTTTGTCGGGGTGCTTTTGGAGAGCCAATTTTTTAAAAGCTTTTCGTATTGTTTTACTATTCGCATTTCTATCAACACCAAGTTTTTCATAAAAATCTTTTCCACATATAAATAATAATAAATTATTAATAATTAATAACAGAAATAATGTGCGGCAATAAAAATAGAACATTTATGAAATATCTGAAAATAAAAAAAAATTACTATGAATATCATAAACGGTTAAAATAATGTCAAACTGATAAGACTGATAACAAATATGCTAATAACAATAAAGGTCAAAGGTGGTGATAAAGTACCACAAAAACCTATAGTGCGAATATAATGTATATATATTCATGTGTGTGGTGTCTGTATAGAATCAAGAAATCGAAAGAGGGCAGCGAGGAGTTTGATGCAGTTGAGAGAGATAAACGCACGAGGAATGCCGAAAGCATTCATCAACGCCAGAAGGAACACACCAGCAGGTGTGCCATGGGCTGAATTCCAACCGTCCTTAGGAGTCTTATCTTTAAGACTTTAAAAGATGAACAAAAAAAGGTCGAAAGTATCGCGGATTGTTGCAAATTTTGCAAGAAAAACATGCAAAGCGGTGCAAAGACGGTGCAAATAAGTGCAGTGCAAAGAAAGTGCATATTCACCAAATTTAAAAATCTTGAAACGAAGAAGTATTTTTAGCTGCGCCATATTATAAAATTTCTAATTCTCTTACAATTCCATGTTCTTTTCACTTAAAATTTGTTTGATGGCAATTTATTTTAGTGCAATATTTAATAAAAAAATTTTGATTTAAAATGTTTTTATTTTAGAAATTGTTTTATTTTAAAAATAGGAAAAATAATAGAAAATTGGAATAATAAAAATAAATAATATTAACGAAAAAAACATTTTTAAATAAATTTAATTTAATTTTTTGCTTTTTTTTCCAAAATAAAAATTCATAAAATAATTTGAATAATAAAAAAACTATTATTGACCTTTGACCTCAATTATTTATAATTTATAGCTTCTTTTAATTTAAAAAATATTAAAAATAATTTAAAATAATAATAAGTAATAAAAGTAATAAATAAAGCCATGCTAAGAGTAGAAATGCAAACGACTGAACGATAGTTGAACCACTAACCAGTGTCGACTTCTTGTATTTATTTAGTGATTAATTTTCTCGATTCCCTTAGTTTTTTTTAAGAGTCACCATTAGTGGTTAAACTCGCTCCGCTGGCTGGTCGCAATGGACAAATGTGCCAGGGAGTACCTTGGCGATAGAAATACAGGTAAATCGCCAGCGCTACCTGGATTTTTATACAGATTTACTCCTGCGAGGAATAGAATCTTAGCATCGGCGCTCTGAACTGCCCAGCAACAGCCCATTAAGCCATTCTGTACTTTCATAAATATTTTCAAAATTTTTTATTTATTTTCAAGCTAAATTTTATTTTAAATAAATATATTTAAAAAAACATCCAGTCGGCTATCCTATCCCTTAATAGTCAATTGAAAAGAATGGCGAACAGTCGCCAATATATTCTCGGCCACCATTCCTTTTTCCTTCTTTCTCCTTTTCCCTTCTCTTTTCACCTTTATAGATTAAAAAAATAATAGCCGAAAAACCAATAACAATAAGTACAATTTGATAATAATAATAAAGGTATTGTAAAAAAATATACTTAAAATATTTTTTAAAAAAATATTTTAAAATTTGTTTAAATATTTAACAATCATGGTACTTATTTTCAGTACAACCTTTTTCTCTTCTTCTCATCCTCCTTACCCTTTGACCTTTCGTTTAAATCTCCACTTATCAGTTTTATCAATTGGAATTGATAGAATGAAAATTGATGGAATTAACTGACATATTAGTAATAATATTAATATCAATTGTTTGGAGCGTTACGAATATTTTTATGCGAAAGGCATTAAACGGTTGGTTTTGATTGCTACATATGAATTTATTTGCATTGATTAATTTAATAAATTCATGAAAATAATTTATCAAATCTGATTTGATCAGATGAACCATCGTCTTCTTTAGATTGCTCGTATTGAATGGAAATTCATACGGTTGCTTTTAGCAGTCGTTCATCATTACTTGCTTGGCTAGTTCCACTGATTATAGGGGAGAGACCCCTTCTCCACTTGAGGAATACAAGCAGAAGTAGGTCTTGCGCACCACTTGCATTTCACTTTCAGCGAAGTGCTTGTTGTTCATTCGAAAGGAAACAAATCGAATGCACAATGTTTCAGTTCAGTTATACCACTTATTTTTAGGCATCTCATATTAAAACTAAATAATTTAATTAAAATTAAAAATAATTTAAAATTTAAACAATTTTTCATTCATTTTTTAGATTAACTTTAATATATTTAAAATCGGAACTTCGATCTTATCGGATTTGCTGCTCCTCTTTCCGTCTCATTTTCTTTCAACAATACCGTAAATTGTAAATTAATATGGTACCACATAATTTATGGATGAAATACTAAGAATATAAGAAAGAATGGAATTTCTATATTTAAATAAATTTATAATACATATATTTAAATTTATATGAATTTATACATAAGATGTGGAAAATTAAGGCAAATTCCAGTAATAATTGGAGAGCTTGGAACTCCTAAATTAGAAAAGCAGATTCGGGGAAAATCAGACATCTCCATCCAGAAGAACGCACTACTAGGAACGGCTACTACACTCTCTAAGGACCTTCAATCGCCCAGGGCTCTGGTAGACCTAAGGTTAAGGATGGTCCTTAACATTTATAGGCAGGTGAGAGGTGAGAAAGAGATTATTTGTTAGAAGAATAGCTCGCTATCGAATCTGGCCGACGTATACATTTCATCAAGCACCATTGGTGCCGAATGGCGAAGGCAAAAGGATATAGAATGTTTGAGTAGCGCGTTGGTCAATACTGCTGTTCTACGCCTGGAAGGAATAAGACTATCCTTCAAAAATCCAGGTGATGCTCACCTGTACTTCTATCGTTGGCTGTCTGGCAAAACTTGACTGATCCGACAGGTCAGCGAAGCGAATATAATTCTTAAAAAAGATTTATATAAGATATGTAAGATATAAAAAATTTATCTATATTTTTTAGATAATCGAAAAAGACAATCGTCGCCTTCAGTAAAATCGTTCTTGATTTCCTTACGGCAAAATATATGCAATTACCGATTTTCGATTCCTTTTATCATTAATCAGTCGTTTTCGGTATGTACTTATTTTTTTATAAAAATGAGCTATTTTTGATAAGCTCGCTCCGTTGACTTATCAGATCAGATAAGTTATTGCTAGAAGCCGTTTGACATATAGAAGCACAAGTGAATCGCTAACTTCGCCCGTATTTTTGAATGACAGGTTTGTTCGTGTCGTGGATAGAAAAGGAATTCAGGAATCAGATGCTTCGAAATGAGAGCGATAATTTGAATGGCTATTGAGCCATTCTGCTTCCTATTTATTAATTATTAATTTTTTAAGAAAAAGTTTAAGTTTCAAAGATCATATTTCAGGTAATATTTTTGATAATTTTGCAGCGATCATCATTAACAATTGTAATTCCAATGATTAATTCCTTAACGTTTTTATTTACAGCGATTATTGAATGCTTTTTTGGTGAAAAAATTTCACCTTATGTTATTATTGGAATTATTTTCATTATTTTTGGAATAACCATTATTAATTTATCATAAAATTTTGGTGATAAAAAGATTTCATTGATAAAAGTATCAGTCAGCTTATCAATTAATTAAGAGATTTTACCAAGGTGTATATTATTTCGTTATAATACTTCATTATTACTTTTAGTATTCACCATTTCTGGTTTAACCAACTTCATCGGTTATGAATTCAGTCCAATATGATAGTTGAAATTGACTGATGTCGTGCTTTTTTAAAAATAAAATCTCAAATCAAAGGGTCGAGTGGTGCATTGCTTAAGGCTGAAAGTCGCGAGACGGCGAAAGCAAAAGGTGGAGTTGTAATAATGGAAAATGGATTCGAACCAGCAGTTAGCTCCGTCTTGTCAACAAATCAAGGATTAATGAAGAGGAGTTCGACAAGGCTTAGGTTTTTACGAAGGTAAAAAGGCCAATGGAATATGAAAAAATAGGAAAAAGAGGACCTAGTGACGTGACCAAATGAATGACCTATATAAAAGCCTCACGACTTATAAAAGCTCAAAAGGAGTGGAAGCAGGCCGACCCCGAAGTAGCTTTTCGCCGTTTCGCGACGCTGTGCGTGATTCACGTGTTGTTGCTTTTTGACAAACGTAAACCTTTTACTAAAGGTGAAACTTGCGCGAAGTTCGTTCGACTCCGAGATTACTTTCTGGTGAACGGACCCCTTCTTTGCAGAGGTAAACAAAGCCAAAAATATGCTCCCTTGGATGATAACTAATATTCCATAAGACTTTGGTGTGACTTTTAATAAATCGTCTGAAAACTAGCAATGAAAAATTCTAAATCTCGGGCGCGGTTTTGTTTTGCGGTAAATTTGTGTTTTAGGCAAATTGTTGTTAATTAGAATGTTGTTCTTTTGGTAGTTTTGAAAGTTTTTGTATGAGTGAATATTCGAGTTGTTTGCTTCTTCTTCTTTTTCTTTCGTATTTGTATAAGGTTTCGCGTAAATCGAGTGCCTTCGTCCTTTTCTCCTTTACGCGAAAACTTTACGCGATTGCGAAAATTCTTTATAAATTTCTCTTTGCTTTTCCTCGAAAAATTCGTACTTTTTTTTAAAATAAGGATGATTTGAAATTTTGAATGGATTTTAAAAATTTCTATTTTTTTTCAAGTTTTTTTTTATAAAATATTTCTGTTAAAACTCTGAATTTCGAAATAAATCATTGACTTGCATTCATTTGAAAATGCTTTCAAAAATCGTATTTCTATATTGATTGACCTTTGACCTTGCGCTGGCCTTATTTTGATTGAACTTTGGTTGACTTCGCATCTATAATCCTAATTTCTTGAGAATTTCTGTGAATTGCAAAATCCAATTTGTCATAATTCAGTTGAAGGCAGTGAAAAGCGGTAAAATATAATAAATATTAGGAACGTCGTAGTTAGTTTTTTTTGTAGGTTAACTTTCGCAGCTTTTTTTCTTTCTTCATCGTAGTCTTAGGCGTTAGGCCTTCTACAAGATGATTTGACCAAGTTTTATCATCTGTTAAGAAATTATTATTATTATTAGATTCTTAATAGATAAGCTGATTTAAAGAGCCGTCAGTATAATGTGAAACTTTTCCTCGCTGCTTGCATAAGAGAAATTAAAAGTTTCTCAGTATCGCGTCTTCTGCGAGAGGCGTGTGAGATTGAGGGTTTCGTGCACCTTCTTAACTGTTCCAAGTAGTGCGCTCTTCTCGATGAAGGTCTCTGGTGTTGTTCCTGGAATCTGCTGAAGACTAAAAATATTGGTTTATGAAAAATTTATTTATTTTTGGAAAGAATAAGTTATTCGAGCGTATATGACTCCGTACAGTGATTTACAAATATTTAAAAAATAATTTCGTTTTTCAGAAAAAGACTTCGTTTTCGTTTACTTAATTTATGCAAAAAATATGTTAGTTCTGTTCGAAACAGCTGCGGGATGTGCGATTTTTAAGGTTTTTCATTTCTTTTTTTCCGTATTTTTTTTATAGAAAAGTTATTAAATTAAGTAACATTGAAAAAATAATTGTTATAGTTTTTTCCTTTATTTAATGTATTAAAAAAGTGTACGTTTTTTGCCAATTTTGATTGATTTTAATTGATCCTTCAAAGTCATTTATCTTTTCTGACTTGCATGACTTCTATAAGCGCTTAAATGAAGCGCTTGCCTATGGGACACTTTAGAATAGTTACAATTTTCATCTTCTTTCTCGGTTTTCAACTGATTAATAAAACGTAATTCGCCATTTCTGGTTAAATTTTAATGACACTGGTTGTTACTTATTTTCAATATAATTGCGGTATAAGATTTTTAGGAAAAAAAGCAATCCAACGAAGTTTTTTAAAATATTTTTTACCTTTTGCTTATTCGCTTTTTATAGGTTCTTGATGAAAAAAAATTGAAGAATATCGATAATATATGTGAAGAATTTTCGACAGCAAGTCAAGCCAATGATTTGTATGTGATTTTTCTTGGAATTTGAAATCTACAAGTTGTGGGAAAAAAATTTTTTTTCTTCTTGTTTATCTATATTTTTTTTTATATTTTTACAGCTTTTTCACTTAAATTCGTAATGGCTACCTGTTTAATCATTTGCATATAGTTTCGTTAGTAATTTTCCATTTATATTAAAATAGCGAGTAGTATTACTGAAGCTTGGAAATAAAGAACACTGAGATTTAATGCATTAAGAGAAAATAGCTTTGGGAGTTGTGAAGGGAGATTCCGAGAAAGTGGTTGATAAAAGATTGGGAAAAGATTGGTTTTTGGCAAGAATTGGGAAAAGTTTTTACAGAAGTTTTAGCAACTTTCGTATTAAATAGATGAGATTTTTTTTCGGGAGAACATACGAATATATTCTTATAGGTGATGAAATTATCGACTTGAGAAGGTTTGCACTCGTCTTTGACACCATCCGATTCATTTATAGCAGTATTAATATAGTTTGATTTTACTTTTATTCTATTCTCAGTACTATTTGAGCGGTCGGATAAAAAAAATTTCGATAACTTTATTATATCTGTATTTTCAAAAAAGTTTCGCAATAATATTAATCTCATGCGGAATTGAAGCTTTAAGCTAAAAGATGTACAGCATAGATGATCCAGATGAGATCCCTAAACTAGTCACATTGAATATAAAAATAATAAATATAAAATTTCATTGAAAATTAGCGTGACGTTCAAATTATTCAAAAAGATTATTGATTCGCATTTTTGGCATATTAATTTTTTTCTCGAGAATGCATGAGCAGATAGATGTGAACTATCTGGCCTTTTTTTTGTGTGATAGAGAGGAACAGCTGAAAATTTTTATTCGATCTCTTTTTTGTATACAAATAGTATACTACGGATAGACCAAAAAAATGTGAAAAAAATAAAGTCCGTATATTATTAAATTAAATTAAGATTCACGAGGACTTTCTGTTAAAGAATATTTTGTTTTTTCAGCATTAAATTGGTAAAATTTAAACGATTTGACACGCCGTTGGTTGCCCGTGATTATTACTTGCAGCAGAAAGAAGGGAACTTGGCTAAATTACTTAAAAAAGTTTTAAAAAAACAAATAAGTGAAGGTGAAGAACTCGCTGTTGGCGATACGAAGTTGGGAAATATAATCAAAGTATTTTTATTTTTCTTATGCTGGACGAATCATAAAGGATAGAATTGTAGAAAATTTTTGTCCTATTTTTTTCTGCATTTGAGGAATTGGCAGTAGTAAATTTATGGAAATAATTATTTTAGATGGTAAGAAAATTGAAAATAAGGTAAAACGTCTTTAGACTACGATTGTAAAAACGCGAGAAATCAGAATCGATGTTGATAGTTTCCTTAATGAGTATGGAGAAGAACGAAGGAAATTTGAAATTGGCCTTACGTGCTATAAAATTATATAATTTAGTGGAGATCTGTGATAATTCAGAAGATGAAATTGAATACTTTAGGAACTCAGGATAGCCCGGTGATTTATTTAAATTATAGTATAGTGAGTGTAGAGTTTGAATTCTATCTCTATGACGGTGAGGCCTACCCATCGAAGATGGTGACCTCTAACCAGATACTATTTTAGGAGAAATTAAATATACCTTGCGTTTCCAATGCAGCTACGACAGAATTAATGCGAGGAATCAGAAGTCATATCGATAGTTTGCTTGATGAGCATAAAGATGAACTAGCAAACATGAGATTGGCCTTAGCTCATTCATTAGGCCGATATCAGGTGATTTCATCATTTTTATTATTTTTGTTTACTTTTATTTATCATTGTTTGTCGTGTACTGTTTTATATTTTTCTGTTATCGTTATGAAAATTTATCTCATATTTTTTTGATTATTTAAGGTGAAGTTCAATCCTGATAAAATTGATACGATGATAATACAAGGAATTTCTCTTTTAGATGATCTTGATAAGGAATTAAACAATTATATAATGAGGTTAATTTGAATCATATTATCTTATTATTTTCTTTTCCATAGGTTCAAGCACTGCAGCATATTTTTTACTACGTTTAAATTTAATAGATTTATTTCTTAGGCGTTGTTTTGGTACTTACGATGAATTCGCATTGATTCATTTGACTTTCTGGTTGGCTAAATTTAATACCCTCAAAAACTGATTTTACTCGCTGATATATTGGCAGCATATATACGTTAACAATTATTTATAATTATGTTTTTGCTATTATTTATTATTTTAGATGTCGGGAGTGGTATGGCTGGCATTTTCCTGAGCTTAGCAAAATAATTTCAGATCCTATTCTATATGTGAAAGTATGATTTATATAGTTTGGCATTGAATTGCAATATTTTTTTGAAATTTTTGTTCTCCGACTATTTTTTTGTTTTTTTAGACAGTACGAGCAATTGGTATAAAACAAAACGCTATTAATATTGATATGAGTGAATTTTTGTCGCCTGATTTGGAAGCGAAGATTAAATCGGAAGCAGAAATTAGTATGGGTACAATGATTTCGGATTCAGATATGAATTGCATTCAGTATTTATGTGAACAAGTAAAATATTTTTAATCTTAACATAATTTATAAAAATAATGGAATGATAAGTTATCAATACTTCAAATAATCTTTAAGAAATTGTTTTTTTCAATGCTATGATTCATGCAGATTTTGGATTTATCTGATTATCGAGCGCAACTTTCACAATATTTAAAAGAACGTATGGCTACGTTAGCACCGAATTTAACTGCACTTCTTGGTGAATTGGTTGGTGCGCGTTTAATTTCACACGCTGGATCATTGGTAACGTTAGCGAAGTACCCTGCTTCAACTGTACAGATTTTGGGTGCAGAGAAAGCTTTATTTCGAGCTCTTAAGACCAAAAAAGATACTCCAAAATATGGCCTAATTTACCATGCTCAAATTGTTGGTCAAGCCAGTACTAAAATGAAAGGAAAGGTATATCTTTTATATATATATATATATATATATATATAATATTTATTGTTTTTGCTGGTAATTAGTTGATATAAATATCTACGAATTATCGATTTAATTCACAGCTCTAAAGCATTAATTTCATTAATCACAGATGGCTCGCAAGTTGTCAGCAAAAGTTTCATTAGCTTCCCGAATTGATGCTTTGGCAGATGAGTCAAAGGGTGCAAGTATGGGGATCGAGGCTCGGGCGTACTTGGAGCGTGTTAGTAGACAAGGTCAAGAACCTCGAAGAATTTCTGGCGTATCTACGAAGCACGATAAATATAGGTTTAAAAGGTTCGCCGCTCATGATAAAAAATTCGCTTTTTACTCTTGGATAATTTCTAATTGATTAGGATAAAATCACTGGGTAGTTTATTGCTCGATTGGGAGCGCCGATGCTGAGGTTCGATTCCCCGCAGGACTAAACCTGTAAAAAAATCTGGGTGATGCTGGCGACTTACCTGTATTTCTCTCACCAGACTCCTTGGCGTATTGCCCAATATGATAAACCAGTGGAACGAGTTAAACCAGTAATGATGTGGATTTAAAAAAAATTATTAGGATAAATTTATAGAATAGTGGATTTTCGATTTTTTGCTCTTACTTAAGGCTTAAATTTTTAAATTGTTTATTGTGGATGAGCTCTGAAGTTTTATATAAGCACTTTCAATAGTTACAACATAAGAAATTATAAGAAGTGATGAATGGAGGGTTCTTGAAATATTTTATTTGTTCATTTAGTCCTTAATCATTTAATAACACCAATATGAAACTCGTTAACTATTGATTTCTTCTTCTAACAGCTCTCACCAACTCCAACGGCTACAAGGGTAAGGAATTTCCAAGCGGCACGGTCTCATGCCATCGTTGACAGTAATAGAAGCCATTCCTTTTTCCATCTTCTAAGTCCATATATTGCTGGTCCACCTTTGCGTTCAAAATCTTTTCTGACCGTATCAGTCCAGGTCTTGATTATCCCTTGCTTTTGACGCCATCTATCACACAGTAGAGAAAGTAAGGAAATATGCGTCAACTCCTGTGGTAGACGACGGAGAACGTGTCTTAATCAGCGAAGGCAACATTTTGTGATAACGTTAATGCAGGTAGTATTTGAACGAAGGTGGATACGATCATATATTTTATCCGCCCCACGGGCCATAAAATGTACCTTGGACAAGAGTAACTTCTTAATATCCTCCACTCTCATTGGCCATGTCTCGGAACTAGATGGCAAGATCGAACGAATCACGGCTATATAGATGCGGACTTTTATTTTTATGGTTCACGACGGCTCCATAAAGATTTCGTCAACCGGAAAATCGAATTTCTAGCTGTCGTGATCCAGGTTGCAATATCGTCTTTTGCCTGGCCATTTGGTATTAGAGTGGACCCAAGGTATTAGCTTTTAGTAAAAAATTTTATGGGATTCGCCACATTTTTTTGAATCCTATACGGGAAGTCAGCAAAAGAAAAAACATACAAAACGCAGCTTGTCGATCTGAAATGCTTCTGGGAACCATAAACTGGCCAAATCTTGAGAGAAAACAGCTTATATAGGAAAATTTTCAAGGATCTTGATTAAGAAAAAATTTTTTCATGCTTTATTATTTACGTTTAAAAATGATTTCAGCGAGAATTTCGAATACGATGCAAGTGTAGACTCAACAGTTAAAAAAGCAGTCTCAAAGAAATTTGCTGATGATGATGATGATGATGATGTTGATGATATGAAAGAGACAATCAAAGAAGAGCCAGATGTGGAAGATGTTGAATCTCAATCTAAGAAAAAACATAAAAAGAAGAAACATGCGGAAATGCATCAAGAGATTGAAATCTCTTCTCCAACTAAAGATAGAAAACGAAAGTTAAATGAAGATGAGGGAGGGCAATCTGCAAGTGGTGGAGAAGAGAATGTTGAAGCACCTAGGAAAAAACATAAAAAGCACAAAGATATATCTCAAGAAAAACAAAATGAGGAAGCACATGAGGATGAAACGGAAAAAGATACGAGCCATTCCGAATCTTTCAGGAAAAAAAAGAAAAAGGTTATCGCTTTTTCAAAACTTTTTCAGAGGCATTGTTGATTCAGGTGGATTAAACTCGTCTGTAAAAATAAATATTTCGCTTTCTTTCAAGAAAAAGTCTTTTTGGTGATCCAGTCCAATCTTTTTTCAATATACCACTAAACGAGTGTAATTCAAGCTTTGGATTGTGAGATTGGATTGGATTGGATTGAGAGACCAAAAATTGCGAAAATTAATACGAGGAATTTCTGTTGTTTTTAAAGGGCAGATAAGCACAGATTAATTCGATATATTTTTCAGGCAAAAAAGAATATTGAATAAAAAAAAATGGTCAGATTTTTTGGAAGTTTGATGATGATGATTGATTTGTTATAGAAATGAATTAAGTGATTTTACAAGCAAAGGTAATTTTTCTTTTACTGCTGTTTAAATAAGTTCTTATTTTGGCTGGTCAGAGTTAATATTGTCCTAATTTAGTGTTCTCATTAGAATTAGCCGTTATTCTATAGCCGATCATTCGTCATTTTTTGAATATAATTTACTGCCCTTAAAATTTTTTGTTTTGTCGTTTATATTGTAAATATGCGCGAATTTCACGCACACCACTTTGTTATGGAATAAAAGTTACTATGTTTGCGAATTGTTTTGCGAGACTTCACTAGAAAATTATTAGCACATCGTTTATAAATATTTTTTTGAACCAATATTTGAGGAGAAAATATTATTTGTTCTTTTTCGCACAGCCGATCTCATTCCTGGTTCCATTGATTAGATTTGTAAAGATAAATTGTAAAGAACAATATTTTTTGATAAAAGAATACGGTTGTGGTTCATTTAAGAATAATCAGCTATCTGCAGATACATTAATGACAGCCTCACTAAGCCGGCGGTGCCATACAATCTCTAAAATAATCCATATCGCGTTTAATGTTGGTGAATATCCTATTTCATTAGGAATACTGCCTTACGGCGATAGTTGGGTTTTACGAAAGAGTTTTCTCTGAATATTCGAACAGCTTCGGTCTGCGCATGAGGGAAAGAGATTTTAGGAGTGCAACCAGGTTTGTTGCGATAGAGGGCCGGGACCGCGCTTTTCCCTATGCCATTTTGAATATTCGAATTAATAAATTTAATAGGAACCGAGCGGAACGATTTTTATGTTTTGACGGATTTTTGCCTTTGTTTGTTTTATATTTCGAAAACTGTCGATTCGCTGAAATATTCTAAAATATTTTATTTAAAATATGCAATAAAATATTGAAAATAAAAAACAACAAAAGAAAAAAAATATTGAAAAAATATTGAAAAATGTTGGAATATTTAATAAATATTTAAAGTAATAAAAATTAGCTAATAAGTGTTGCAAATAATAAAAATAATTAGCAAATAGCGATAATTGCGATAAATCTTTTTTTAATATTAACAAACGAATAAATATTGAAAAGAATAAAAATAATAAATGTCGGAGATTATTTATGAAAAACTTATTAAGATTTATTGAAAATTTATTTAAATTTATTTAATAAGTAAATGAATATTAAATATGAAAAAAAGATTTGAGAAATATTTATTATTATTATTTATTTTCATTGCTTTGTTATTATTGTTATTATTATTATTTTCATTATTATTTTATTATTTATTACTATTATTTATTATTTATTTATTATTATTATTATTAATTATTATTATCTTACAAATATTATCACTAACACGTGGAAATGTTGGCCATTATTTCATCGCTATTATTGTTTATTTATTCTTCTATTGTGTTAAAAAAGATTTCTCTTATCCCGCTGCGAGGTGATTAGGATTACGAGTTCTCAATTTCGAGTTCTCTGCCAGAGACCTGCGAGGTCGCCGCTTCTGCGCAGTGCTCCTTGTTATGCACTTTCTCCAGTCCTTGTTATGCACTTTCTGGATAGAGGTCTCTGATGTTGTTTTCTAGAGTCTGCTGAAATCATTTTTCTAGATTACACAGTTCCAAGTACTTCAATTATCACTGGAATTATTTTATTTTCCACGTCTTCCTTAGTTCCTCTTTCAGCCTTTGGTATTTCTCTAACTTTTCATAGTCTTTCTTCCTGACTTTGGTTTCGGTTGGTATTATTATATCAATCACCATTGCTGATTTCTGATTCTTGTCCACTGCCATGATATCTGGCTGGTTGACCAGTGCTTATTTGCCTGTGTGGTCTTCAGGGTCTTCTACGATTATCTACGATTTTTTGAGGAATGTCACCCATTTAGTCTTGTGAGAGTTTAAGCCACTTACAGAGTCTGAGATGTCCGTGTAGATAATACCAGTCACTTGGTTATGCCTTTCAGTGTATGTTGCTCCTTCTTCCATTTTATATGTTGGATTGTTTCTGGAGCGTTTTTGCACAGTCCACATCTAGAGTCCTGTCTGGTTTGGCTCCTCTGCTGCTATAATCAATGCATTAGTATTGCCTTTTAGTCCAGCTTTCTCCAGCTACTGGTGGGATTTCACAGTATCGGCTATCTGTCGATGGTGCAATCCGCGGAGAGTCTTGCTTTTCCATGGTATTTCCTATGCTCTATCGTTTTCCAGTGTCTGTTATTTATCTGTATATTCTTCAGATTCTCTCAGCAATTCATCCTTTGGCGCCATCTTGCTGATATAGTTCTGAATACTTTGAGTTTCCTTCATGGAAAATGATTTTGACAATCATCAAGTCCCGTTCGCCTTTTTCCCAACTAAGGTGCGTTGTTGGATTTGGGGGAAATTTTTTGGTCAGCATTTTGGTCTTTCTTTGATTATCTCAACTATGAGAGCTTGGTATCTGATGACTGGCAAGGCGTATATTTGTGGCATGGATTTTGTTCTTCCCATCGAGTTGGCTCTTGCTTTATCCTTTGGTTACTTAGATATTAGATATTGCAGTCCTCCTTGCCTTGGTTACCATGTGACTGTGAAATACTAAGGTACTTGTAGCTAGTCTGTGTCTCTGCTATATGTTCTGGTGGCAGGTCCATCCTATTAGTTGTTGCTACTTTCCCTCTTTAAAACCATCCGGCCACGTTTCTCTATTACAGATAACATCCTAGTCTCCTCGCTGTAGATCCGAATTAGATGGATGAGCGAGTCAATATCTCGTTCGCCTTTTGCATATATCTTGATGTCATCCATGTAGAGAAGATGGCGGCTAATCCCACTCTTGAATTTGTATCTATATCTATTTTTTCTGGTGATTATCTGATTGAGGGGGTTTAGACCTCTGCAGAACGATAAGGGAGAACAGTGATAACTGTTTGTGCAAGCACTTTCGAGCTGATATCACGTGTCGTCTTCCACAGCCCCATTGAGTTCTCAATGAACGTCTTCAAGTCCCTGTTAACTTTGCACCAGACATTCACAGATCCATGTATGCGGCATTGAGTCATAGGCTTTCTTATAGCCAGACTGATGTTGTGCGCAGATATTATTTTAAAATACTAAAAAAACTTTCATCCCCTGTGGTTGGTCATGATCATCTTCAACACTATTTGTTCATTTTATTATTATTTATGTTATTATTTGTTTCATTGCTTTATTTTATCATTATTTATTTTACATTTGCATTTTTATTATTAATTATTATTGGGGGTAGAATGTCTCAGTGGGTTGTTGCTCAGTTGTGAGCGCTGATGCTGAGGTTCGATTCTTCGTAGGAGTAAATCTGCAAAAAAAAATCTGGGAGATGCTGGCGACTCACTGCTGTATTTCTTTCGCCAAGGAACTCTCTAGCATTACTCAGTGCGACTAGCCAGTGGGGCGAGTTTAATCAGTAATGGTGAGGATTCTTTAAAAAAAGAAATTATTATTGAAATTAATTATTTTTATTTGTTTTTAAATCATTTTTGAAATCCCATTAATTTGTTCATTTTAAGGTTCTTTAATTTATTTAATTTTATCCAATTCTAATTCATTTTTTTTTCGAAATTATTCGAAATTTGAATTACGATATTTTTATTTAAATTTCTTTTAAAAAATTTTAAATTTTTAATTTTAAAAATTAAGGTGAAGGAAAAGATTCAATGAAATTTTTAGTTATAAATGTATGTATATTTATTATAATTTTTTTAATGATCGAAATAATTTATTGTAATTTTTTAAATATTTCAAAGAATTCAATTTGTTTCGGTTCATTAAATTTCGATTTACCACTTCGTTATTTGCATATACAATTAGTAAATCAAGAAAATTCTATAAATTTGACGCATTCAATTGGACGTTTAAATGTTTTTATTACAAATGAAAGATGTCGATTCAAGTTTGCTAATTTCTTTTATTTTCTTTTTTTATTCTTTTTATTTTCACTATTTTTTTATTAATTTTATTTATAAAAAAGAGATGGACGAATGTTGATGCATGTAGCATGTGGCACGTCCAGATGAGTTTGTGTTTGTGTTTCGTGTATAATTGTATGTATGGGTGCATCGATTTATGCGAACTTTTATATGGAAAGCCTAAGTTGAGGCGCAACGCGAGCTTAGGCCTACGGTTTCATGTATAGGCGAAGGAGAGCAAAAACTGTGGCGCTAGCAGGGCTCGAATGTGTTAGAACAGTCTTTCTTCACTCTTTCCATTCACATTGCGTTATTCATTTAGCAGGCAGTTTGCATAAGTGGCACAAACCACTTAAACTTATGAAGTTGTTGCGATTAGGCATCGAAGTGTGCATTGCTGCAACATTTTGCAGAACTTGCCCACCCTAAAGGTTCAACGAAATCGACGATGATATTGCTCACTATAGATATTATCAAAATGCGATATTATCAATTAACAATTTTATTTTTTCTAAGAGCGACTGCCGATTATGCCCACCCGCTTGCCATTGCCACACAAATTTTATCAGGCAGTCACTTGGCGATAGAAGTACGAGTGAGTCACCTGCGTCACCTAAGCCATTTAATATCCATTTAATATTACTATTTGATTATTTAAATGCAGGCAAATTATGAATTAAAAGTAGTCGCTTTGTTTCAACAACTGATCAGTTATCAACTGATAATGCTTTTTTGCTTAAAAAAATTTTCTTTATAGAATTCAGTTAATTGACAATTTCGATGGGTCATACGTGTTACGTATTCGTTTATGGGAATCGTGTCCGCAATTAACGATTTCAATTCAATCACCAAATGGCGATTTTCTTTGTAATTCACCATTTATTATCAAAAAAAGTTAATATTTTTTGAATTTGTGGATAAAATTTAAAATTTAACTACTGCCAGTTAAGTGCAAATAAGAAGTAATAGCGAGAGAGAACAAATATATTTAGCCGGGAATTTTTAAAACCAAAGATTTGTGATGGTTTGATGGTCAATTATCGCTGTTGTTTCAGCTAATGGCAATGATTTATATCCGGAAGAATGCGACTGTCCCGAGTATAATCTAACAGAATGGATCAGTGAAGCAAATTGCTCTCCTCAAATGCAATTAATCACTGATCTCAATCAGTGGAATATCATAGATTTCGATAATATGATTGATATTGCAGAAAAATCGTGGGGAAGCGTGGAACAAAAGCATACTGCAGCCTTTTGTCATTATCAAATTATTGACAATGAGGTTTTATTCAGTCATTTCAATTTTATTATTATATTTATTAAGCGTTTTTGTTTCATCGAAAAATAAATGGAGAGTTAAGAAAGGAAAGGTAATCCGTTACTAGCAGATTTAGCAAACCATCTGTTCCGTATGGTTTTCGATCTTTTGAATCAGCTAAATTCATCTCTATCACAGTTACACACATTTTCATTTGCATAATATTTTTAATAATATTGTAATTATTATGTTATTACATAATAATATTTATAAATTTTAATAATTAAAACATATGGCCCGATGAAGATTAGAGATATCAATTATTTTGTTATATTTAATTCTCATTCATGAAATTTTATTAATTTTAGTTATATCGGCATTGTTACGGAGAACATACTGGATTTCGCATATTTACAGATTCTATTTTAACTTCACTGATGAGAAAAATGTTCTTACCGAATACGCAATTTTTTTTCAATCTTGGGGATTGGCCTCTTCAAGAAAAGCAGAAGAGTAATACCGTAGCATTTGTTAGTTGGTGCGGCTCCGAAGGTTTGCTTTTTAATGCGATATATTCTTTTGATCGTATTCCGTTTTTATTTTATATTTTTTTATTTTTTTCTCATATATCCTTAATAATTTTAAGCCAAAATTTCCATTTTCCATGAATTTTCCTGTCGAAAAATTTGACAGTAAAATAAATAGAATTGAAGATACAATGGACATTGTTGTTCCAACTTATGAATTGATGAATTCTGTAATCGATTCGATGCATTCTGTTACGCTTGATATTCACACAGCAAGAGGCGATATTCATATACCATGGACAGAAAAAAAGAACACTGCTATATTTAGAGGACGCGATTCTAATAAAGTCATTGTATTTTGTTTTTTTTTTACGGTTTTGCAGAATACCTTTTTTCAGTATTATTATAAAATTTAGTGATGATAATAGTCGTGAATCAATTTCCCATTGGTTAATGGATCAATTGTTTTCCTTTTTAGTTACGTTTGGAAATTGCGAGATTATCCAACGTTCGACCAGATATAATTGATGCTGGTATAACCCGTTACTTCTTTCATGAAGAAAACAAAAATCCTGCAGTTGTCGAACAAATACCATTCTCGGATTTCTTTAAAGTTAGTCCATTTTTCCATTAGCATGCACTATTTTGGCTCGCTGCGATGACTACCAGGATAAGTTGCTTTTAAGTTCCCCGATCCATTCAGAAACATTTTTTAATTTAATTAACTTTATTTATGAATCAAAATTCGTTTATAAATGCTCGGTTAATTCGGAACGACGTTAATTCATTTTTAATTTTAGCACAAATTTGTACTTTGCGTTGATGGTACCGTCGCTGCTTATCGGTTTCCTTTTTTGCTTGCGGGGGACAGCGTTATTATAAAATCTAATTCCCATTATTATGAATATTTTTACTCGATGCTTGAACCAAATCTTCATTATATTCCATTTAATAAAAGTTCTGATCTCAGCTTTATAATCGAATCGGCAAGGAAACAGGATTTCAATAAGGTTCGTTAATATTCTAAATGAATATCCGAATCATCCGAAATAATTTTAAAATCCCTTCCTCTCTTTAAATAATATTATTTTATGTTGATATAATGGTGATCTATTGTTTGCTTTCAGACAATCGCAAACATGCGACAGTTTGTTTTCGATCATTTACAGCCAAGAGATTTATATTGTTATTATGCAAATTTTATTCATGTGAGCAAATATTTAATATTTGTTTTATTTTAGCAAACATAATAATGAAAGCGACAATTGTCTAGAAACGATTATTATTATTGTTAACTATTTGTACTATTTTTAGATATTAGCATTCAAAATAAACAAGAAAATAAATAAGCAATGTTTGCAAAAGTAATGATATTTATTTTCGCAAAACAGATGAAATAAACATAAATAAACAAGGCATAATCTATGTAAGACAACTACAAAAATATCTAAAAAAATAAATTTATTCAAGAACCCTTAGAGATCTCCACTGAATGTTTTTAAAAAGTTCTATAAGAATATTAAATATTAAAACTTTCAGGAATATACCAAAAAACTGAAAGATCTTCCAACAAATATTGCCAAAAATATGGAAAATATTTCACGAACGCCAAATAAAAAAGCATGTAGATGCCATAAAATAAAGCAAAAAACACATAAAACAAATAAACAAGATGAACTGTAAACTTTAATCGCAACAATTTAAAAAGCAGTTCGCTTCTCTGTGAAAAACGATCGCAGTAAGTATACCTTAAAATTTCGACAATTTTTATTTTCTCAAATCTTTTTCCTATATATGTCTCGAAAATTTATATTTTTAGATTTGAAAAATTTAAGCATTAGAAAAAATCGCTTAAATAAATTGTGATAAACTTGAAAAATATATGAAAGAATGTATAAACCTGAGCAACACCAATAAATATGATAATACTCGCTTGTCCAAAAGACCAGAGCATAACTCTTTCATTTAAATCTTCGGCTCGTTTACGTCCTGTTGCTTCCCTAAGACGGTGATGTGTTTGATAATCGTCGATAATTTTTAAGCGATCGCTGATCCCGACCGCTGACGATTCTAATTGATTCATTGCAGTTAGTTTAGTAACAGCGTTAAACTGTTCTGCAAAGCAAACTGATATTTAATATAATATTTAACTAATATAACTAATGTTTCGAAAACTGAAAATTTTAATGAAAAAACATTAAAATTTTGAATAACTTAGGGTTAATAATAACAGATCAAAATTCATCCATTTAATACAATAAGATAATAAAAACGAAAGGTTAAAAAATAAATAGGAATGGGAATAAATAAATCAAAATCAAGAAATGAAGAAAAAACATATATACCATCTCCAGTTTGCCAATCCATATAAACTATTTTATGGCTGAATGTAGAAAATTCATTTGAGAAACAAACCTATAAGTTTAATCGATAAAAAAATGCTATCTATTTCACATCTGCACTTTTAGAAGATTCGTTCGATTTGTTCCTTTGAAGGAAAAAAAGCGATAGTAAACTTGGAAAAATAAAATATTTGTGCGTAAAAATACTTTATAAGGTCCTTCAACATCTGTTTTCCATGAATGGCTATCGTATTGTTTTTTTATTCCTTTATAAAGGACTCTTTCATGAGGGTCTTCCAGTGTTACATCCACATCATATTTCCCACCAGTTACAACCTAAAATTTTCATATTACTAATATAAATTTTTATAAAAAATTTTCATAATATTAAAAGTACTTAGGAGTACCTAAATAATATAAAAGTAACAAATAAAGCTGTAAAAAATTGGTGTTATAACAAAACATCATTTATCATCATATTTTTCGCAGATTGACTTGGCCCGGTTCATTTTAGCAAAAAAGGCCAATGGAAGGCTATGTTTGAAATGATAAAATGATAAAGGAATCCATGTTTAAAAGATAAGACATATAAAGTTATTTTTATTTTTATTTTAAGTTATTTTTTTCCAATTTTTTCCAACCGAGGTGGCTGATCAAGATAGGCAATTTATTCGAGCTGGCGACAGAATGGCTCAGTGGGTTGTTGCTCAATTGGGAGCGGGGTTCGGTTCCCCGCAGGAGTAAACCTGCACAAAAATCTGGGTAGTGCTGGCGGCTCACCTAATCGGTATTTCTATCGCCAAGGGACTCCTCTGTGGACAAGGACAAGGCGTATCGCCCAATGCGACAAGTCAGTGGATAATGGTGAGAACTCTTTAAAAAAAAAAATTCATTCGAGTTCTGTTCAATTATGGCAACCGGAGACAGACAAAAAATAAAGATATCCCAGATATGCCAAATGCTCTCTGACCTTTCACGATCTTTACTTTTTTTCTTGCTGCATTATGTGTTTTAAAAATTTATGCAAAAAAGGGAACAACCTGGAATTCGAGAACTGAGTCAATTCCAACTTTCATCTCCTCATAGAAGCATTGGTTCGCATTATCGGGAAGTTCGAAGGTCAACTCAATCCCCAGTCCGAGCCTAGCAACAATCACCAAAAATAATATAATCATCTTCAGATTAATACAGTTATATAAAAGTAGAGGTGGCCATTGAGTATGTCGGAACATTGTTCATGTTTCCACTTTGAGACCGAGATCTAATCTATTTAACAGCATAAAATCACCATTTTTAATAGAACAGCACAAAAATAAAATCTGCTATTTAAGATAAACTACACCAATATTTTCGTGAAAGCCAATTTAAAAAAGTTAATTAAATATTAAATATTTGGCAATAATTGTATAAAAAAATATATATAAATCCTTTCTAATTTTCCAAATTTTAAAAATTTTAACTTTAATATCCATCTTTTTCATGAAAAAAAATTAGAGAAAATACGAAATGAATCGGATTGATATTTTTTAATGAACGAAATCCGATCTAATTAAAGACATACAACATTCAGAGCAAGCAGGCCGATCGGCAATCAATTTTTCTTCTTCTTCTAACAGCTTTCACCATTACTCACCATTAGGTTGTCTCCGCTAGTTGCGAGGGTAAGACGTTTCCAAGCGGCGTGGTCCGATGCCATCGTCGACAGTAATAGAAGCCATTCCTTTTTCCATCGTCTAAGTCCATATATTGCTGGTCCACCTATACGTTCAAAATCTTTTCTGACGTATCAGTCCAGGTCTTGATTGTCACATCTCGCTTTTGATGCCATCAATCACACAGTTTAGCAAGTAACGAAATATGTGTCAGTTTAGCAAGTAACGAAATATGTGTCTCTTGTGGGGGACAAAAAAAACGTGAACGTATCCTAACCATCGAAAAGGCGACGCCCTGCGACGGTACTATCAATGCAAATATTATTTGAGCGAAAGTGCACGATCATGTGAGAATTTCTACATTCAGCGAACCCGTAAAATTATCATGAATGGTAGATAGTTAACTTCCTCCACTCTCGTTGGCTATGTCTCGTAGCCATGTAGCAAGATCGAGTGAATCGCAGTATGCTTAACATTCCTTGACATCATGTCGACAAAATTTTATTTCAGATTTATTTATATTAATTAACTGTTGTGAGCTGACCTTATTAATCCAATAATTAATATTACGAATTATGCCGTTTTTGTATTTTTAAATTTCACAGACTGGTTTGCGTACTTTCTCTCCATTTTCTACTAAATTCTCCACTAAAATTTAAGCCTATATCCTAATACAATCTATATTAAGAAAGCCAAATAAGCTTTTTTTATTCTTAAAGAATCTTAAATTAATTCTTAAAGATTTCTTAAAGAATCTTATTGAAGATTTAGATTTTAAATAGCGGAAAATTAGTTATCTTTATATATTCTCGATTTATTTTTCTTGTCCTAATTCTAATTTATTCCAAGTTTTGCTTGTATAATATGACAGCTGTGGGAATCATACAAACGGGAGTCGGGAGGGGTTTATTCAGAAGTTTCGAAATATTGAAAAATATTTTAAAACTTGAGTTCATGAAATTGATCAACTATTATCCATTTACTATCTAAGCCAACCTAGAATCGAAATCGATATAATTTTTTCGAATTTCAAGTTCTATAAAATTTTATCCGCAAAATAAACATAACAATTATGAGCAATTATCGTGAGAATCACTCAATTTAGTTAGTCGTTAATTTAAACTATTTGATAAATAAAAGCTCGCAGATTGGTCAGAAATCTATTAATAGATTGCAAGTAATAATAGTCTTATTAGTATTAATATGGTACCATGTCAAAAACTGTAGTTAATTAAGACATAACAGTAGAAATAGTCTGACTACTGATTGGGTGATAAAGATCAACCATTAAGTGATTTTTTTTCTTCAGAAATAATACTGATGAATAGAAATTATTCAAGATATTGGAATTTTATTGCTTATGAAAAACTGATAAAATGATAATTAATCGCAATATCCCTACCAACTTGAGGAAAACTCGACACAATATATTTCTAAAGCTTTACTAAAAATGTTAACATGGACCGGCGCATGAGTAAAAGCTAAAAAAGTTTTCCTCAAATTTACCATTCTCAGACATTTATTCAGCTATAGGTAAGGTAAAGCCGCTGCTCTATGAACATATAAGCCTAGGTAATTCAACAGATTCAAATTCAACAGATTAGTGGAATTTAGAGCAAACTTGCCATTGATGGTGATATAAAGGATAGCAATCTTTTCGTCTTTTATGCAGCAAGCTGATAAAATACCTCTTTTTATAAAGTCGGCTGAAAACCGATTTTAGATACCTTGAATCCACTCTAACACCGAGTGGCCAGGCGAAAAACGAAATTACAATCCGGATAACAGTATTTGCAAATGCATTCTTCTGCTTGAACAAATCTTTATGGAGTCGTCGCAAAAAAAACACAAAAACGAAAATTTATACATTAATAATACATATATATATTAAAAAATTATAATAAAAAATCATCCCTTTCATTGTTGTAATTGAGTACGTGTGTACGAATTTTCGAGTTTTTAGTCCAGGTAACCGTATCCTGCATTGCTCTCGTCACCAAAAAAGCAGGATCTGTAACCAATTCCACACCAACGCGAACATGTCCTTGTTCGACGAAATCGCTAGCAGAACGAACCGTTTCGGCCATCTCTAACCGTTTCATTACTACCTAATTTAATTAGGAAAATTTTAATATTGGAAGTATTGGAAGTATTTAATAGGAATTTATTTCAATTCTATAAAAAAAATTTTTTATAGAAAACAAGTAAATGAATTCGATCAAAAAAAAATTTACAGGTAATCGACGTCGACAAAATGAAGATGCAGTAACTTTACTAGCACGTTCTAACGAATCTGCTGTTGGAATAAGCCCAATGTTATAAAGTTTCTCGAGAAGTTCTCGAGTTTTTTTTTTCCGAAATACGTCGTTCACTGGCAATTCTGATAATTTTTTCGCTATTTCTCGAACCTTAAAATTTAAAAATGAAAAATAAGCGAAATTTTAATGCTTTTTCACAATTATTATTTAGAAAGTAATCTTTTTTAGAAATTAAATTGAAAACTAATCGGCAAATTTTTTTTCTAGAAAAATTTCTTTCTGCCTAAATTTTCATAAACCAATCTAACATGCTGAAGAGGAGCGAACTCCATACTTTCGATATGATAAAAAAAAATAACAGAAACTAAAAAATGTGAATTATTGAGCAATGAAAATTATTACAGTTGGTAGAATATCATTAAAAAATCTTGGAATAGATTAGATTTTTTCCAGAAATCCTAACAGGATTTAGCTGGTTTTCCCATTCTAGAAGTTTATTTATTTATTTATTGATAACCAGCCAAGCAGGACGACAACGCCATGTGCTTGTATTAATAATAACAGTTAAAATAACAAAACAAAACAAAATAAAACAATATGACAAAAATTTAACAATTTAACAATTTAAAGAGGAAATTACAGATCAATATAATATAGTACAATTAGAAGTAACATATATAACCTGAAGATAAAATCGAGATTTCTCACTTCCTGCAGTTCTTGTCTGGTGTAAACTCTTCTCTTTTTTTTAAATAATATGATAAATAATATTAGAAGTTATTTTGAAAGGGAACAAGAAGAAAGAAAGGGAGAGGAGGCGAGACAAGTGTATCATCGGCAAAATGAAATAGTCAATGAATTTTTTTAGAAACATAAACTAATACAATAGAACGACAATTTAATCGACAAATTAATCGTTTTTTCACCTGAGGAAAGCGACAAGTGATGAAAAAAACTTACTTCAGCCGCCAAAGTATTATAAAGTGAATAGTGCTGCCGATTTTTGATATGATAACGTCGAAGAATCTTTCCTTCATGCAAATTATTATCGATAGTCCATGAAATGAAATCGACCTTTTTCAACAATTTCTTCTCGTGATATTTTAATTTTCTCACCATTTTTGTACCATTATTCTTTATAAGCGAATTTCAAACGAATCTAAAGCGAATATATAAATCAAAATAAAGCCTGTTTTCAGTGTTACTGAATCTAAGCGGCTCATAAGGACTTATTAAATCGCACACTGGAAAAACGCGATATATTTCTGGAACACGAATGACGCGTGAAGACTGCGTCCTTTCAAAATTTTCAATAATGCACCGGACTGGGATAAGCACACCGCGTAACGGCAAAACATGTCACCACACTGCTTGAATAATCCGATTCATTTGCCCTTTGCCAGCTACCGATATTGCAATGATTATTGTACACTTATACTGTAGTGAAATCGGCCTTTAAATTGATGTATACTTATATGGTAAACATCTATTTAGCACATTGTACGGCTTTGTAAGAACTACTAAAAGGACACGGAGGGACTTCGATATAGCATGCAGTCCTACCATAATGGGATTAATTTAGTATCGTATAAAGTAAGACAGTTTAAGAAAGTGTTTCAGTGCTTTATTAACTGATGTAAAGAAAAAACGCTGTGCGGGTTGACGGTGTGTTTAACTAGATTAAGAGGATTTCGGTGGTATGAAGGACGACTATAATAGGGTCCGAAGAATTTACTAGTCCAGGAATTATAATACCGCTGACGATCATGCAAGTTCAAAAAAAAGAATCTGATGGAGCAATAAGGAAAAAGAAAGGAATTCCCAGAAATGGTGAGCATTACGAGCGCGATAAATTGAAGGCTTCTAGAGGAGAGTAATCAGATTCAGCGGGGAGCAGAAAGCGCTGTTAAATATGGATCCCGAAAAACCTTAATAGGACCTGGCCAGTTCTGGAGCAGATCAGCTTATCTTCAAGCAACATAAACACCACGGTGCGCAGAAAAACATACCATTCAAAGGTATCAAAAACTTCCTTTCTTTTCCGCCTACTTCCCAGTCGTTCTTAGTTGCTAAAAAATTAGCTCAGTGAGCTGCATTTTTGAGCTGATAAAAAACAGTCGCGGATTCTCAAATTTAAATTTTAGTGACGAAGTTTTAACTTTTCCGGCGGTTGGAAGTAATTTTCCGTATTTTCTCTAATTTTTAATATTATTTTACGATTTTACGTGAAATAATGCAAAGAATAGAGCGAACTTCAATAAATCAAAAGCGGGCTAAGGCGATCGAAGTGAAATTGAAAATGCCGAATGAATCGAAATTTAAATCCTTTTTTAACCTGGTTTGACATTTTACTTATTAATAATGAGTGAATGTTATAAATTATAAAAGTAATAATAAAAATAACAATAAATAACGATAAAAATAATAACACATTGTCAACCAAATAGATATATACTAATCGCTTGCGATTGACATTTGAGAATGGAATGGCAAATTAGAAACTGAACTGTATGCAAAAGATTTTAGTTTAACTTGTTACAGCCATGCTTTTGCCGTATAATTTCAAATAATAAATTTTGTCGCCAGCTTTTCGAAATCTATGTATTTATATCTATGTATTTATAGTCATCATTCATTCTAACCGCCTGGAAAAAATTTTTGGTTATCTAATAATATCTAATTTTTATGACCGCTGTTATTTATATTATTTTATATTTTTGGAAATAATAAAAGTAAAAAATAATAAATAATAATAAAATAATAATAACAAAAATAATTGAATAAAAATAATAAAAATAATTGAAATAATAGCAATAATATGAATATTATATTTGTATTTATTTTTATTCTATAAAAGAGTGCATGGTTTTCTATGTAAGGAATGGCCTCTATTATTACTAGCGATGGCGTGGACCGAGCAGCTGGGAGACGTCTTACTCTTGTAACCAGCGGAGCCAACCAATAATGGTGATAGCTGTTAGAAGAGACGAAGAAGTCTTTTGCTATTATTATTTCACCTTAAGCTTACTTTAGCATCCATACTCTTACCAGCTTCTATGGCATTCCATTAGCTACTTTCCCCATCCATTCCTTTATGGCAGTGGGTACAAATTGTAAGATCAGAAGGACGCGACGGGACATTGCCCGAGGATATTAAAGCACTGCAGCGTAAAAAAGGAGTGGGAGGAATGGAGCAAGGATAATACTGACAAATAATGATGACTTGTTAATGGTAATTCGAAAGGGTTTTAACGGATTAACGACGAGCTTTGAAAGGATATTAGACGGGAGTTTCTAGCTTTAAAGATGATTTTTTCCATATGTAAGATTGGTCTTTAAATAATTTATTTAAGTAATTTATTAAAAATTATATTTAAGTAATTTATTAAAAATTTGAATTAAGCTCCTGTTTTATATTTTCATTTTTTATTTCATATTTATTTTTCAACATATATTTAGATTTTTCCAATTAATCTCCACTTTACGAAGTTATAGCGTATATTTTCCCTTATATTGTTATTATAATAATTTAAATCATTTTCAAGCAATTTTTCGTAATTCATATTTTCGATAAGTTAAAATACCTTTTTTAGTTGCCTCGACAGCAGAAACTTTTAATCAATGGTGGAGAAACAATTGAGCAAATGGAAGAGGAACGAGCAAGAGGTGAAAGGAGATTTTAAGGTTATAAATAGATAGATGAAGTAAGGTGATTTAAATCGTTGGTAATATGCCGGCTAGAGAGAAAGCCATCACATACCTTATTGATAAAGCAATTATTGTTGGAAAAATAGCGATCATGAAAAAAGATAGAATAAATGCAGAAGAAGTGTATATGATTATTGACCTCTCACTGGCGATAATCTTTTGATTGAAAAGTTTCAATTGTGATTTTTCAATTTTATGGTAGAAGATCCTTTTTCTTTTTAAATGGGATCTGTATTTAATACAGATGCAAGTGTGATGAAACTGTTTTCGTCTTATATGCCAGATGCTGAAAATATTTTTATAAATTCGTCACCTATTGTAGAAGTACCAGATGATATCCATCGTTATCTCGTTTTTCTTAGATTATTAAACCAAATAGTTGAACGACTGCATGGATAGACGGTTAGAAATGCCATTTTTTCCATTTAGTGAAATCTCTGTGGAATCATCAATAAAATAGTATGAGAACTTCTAACTGAAGTTTCTTGATAGGAAATCGAGAAACATAGTCGGTGAGCACATATTTAAAATGTGTTATATGCTTTTGACCATTTTTTGTCTAAGGTGCATCTACACAGTAGTCGAGCGAATAGAATTTCTCATAATCTTGTTAGAATATGGTCTTCGTTAAGTTATTTTTTTATTTATGTAGAATATAGAATTTTATTTAGAATATTCTTCGTCGTCCATCTCAAAAATTGGCGCATATCTCGTTATATACCTAGCCTTATAGGGTGGAACGCAGAGACAACTATAATGATGAAATATAATCAAGTGAGGTTTTGAAAGCTTAGGTAGGTCAGCGATATAGTACCCAGACGATGAAAATGGAATGGCTATTGTTTCAGATAGATATCAGATTGGGAGGTTTGGAAAAGCCTCAATTTTGTAGCCAGTAGGGTCAGCTTTAATTGGCAGTAGTGCAACTATTAGAAAAAGATGAATTAAATCATGTTAGGAAATTTAAATTTTTTAGATATGAATGTTGAAAATTCGGAAATCATGAAGAAAGAATTTTCGTATAGCAACGAAAGAAATCAAAAGGAGGAAAACGAAATTTTAGCTATGAAATTATTATTTGATAAGAAAAATGTGCCAAATTTGGACCTTGCTTTATCATCTAATGATAACAACATGCCAGAATATGTGAATGAAGGATATCTGCAGTCTCCTAAGAAAATGATCTATGTTCAGAGTCGCTTCACTCGAAAAGTTGGCTCATTGATTGATCTTGATCTTGATACTTCTGACCATAAATTTAAGGTATTTTAATCTTATTTTCCATTTTTTTTATGATTTCAAATTTTTAAGAGACTTTCGAATGTCGAGTGGAAAAGAATTTATTTTTGTAATTTTCACTTTTGTTTTTTTTATTTGCAGACGATTGAAAAAAATGATGAGAATTGCTGCGTTAATAAATTCAATTATATGAATGAAATGACTTGTAAAGAATCGATTAAAGCGAGAAAACGAAAAACTTTTCGCAATACGAGTAATGAAAATTTTGTTCGGCTTCGAATTGATCGAAAGAAATTAACATTCAAAAAATTTTCAAAATATAGAAAGAAAAGGATTTGCGCTCAAAAAATTAGGTGAACTGTAGTGTTTTTTAGTTTTTAAAATTCTTCTGTATCCATAATTGGAAATATAGGTTAATCGCTTGTGGTTTGCTTTCTCTTGAGCTATTGTGCCATATTTCCTCGTCGATTCATATCATTTAATTGACGATAACAATACGGTTTTTAATAATAATAACAATAATAATGATAAAATAATAATTAATAATAATAGTAATAATAGTAAATAATGAATTAAAAAATTTGTTTTAGGAATTTCTTCAGTTTTTGTTCTTAGTCATTTTGTTTGTTGGACAATTATGTGCTTGTATCACCTTCATTATATATTTAAACAATATAGTAGTAATTTTATAATTAGATTGTGAAAATTTTTGATTAAATCAATTGATTTGGATCATATTTTTTTGTTCCATCGTTGTACCATGCGGATTTTAATGAACATACCTTTTGCATAAAGTGCATTTTTTCTTTAATATCCTTCGTATCAGTAATGTATCTTTCATTCCTATTCATTTTTCATTTGATTTGATTAATACTGCCATTGCCATTAACTTATATTTATGTAATTTGCTTATGCTTTCGGGTGATGCTGGCGATTCACCTGCGCTTCTATCGCTAAGGGGCTTTGACTCCCTGGCATTTTTTTTCAAGTGCGACAAGTCAGCAGAGCTAATAATCAGTAATATTCTAAAAAAAAATATTTTTAATATAATATATTATAATATAAAATATTCAATATTTTTTTTACTTTTTCGATCTTTATTTCGATTTTTATAGATTTTACGTTATCATCGCAAAATAATTTATGATTCATAATTATTTTCTATTTTTTGGTGGCGTTTTCGTTAAAAGTAATGTTATTATGAAATTGTGATAATTTTTGATAAAAATAAGACAAAACTTCGGAAAGCTAAATTTATTAATTTTTTTTCATAATGCAAAAATTATGAATTAAAGGTGTTGATAAGATCGACACCAAACGAGATTCGTATTAATGACCGTTATGAAATATAAAAATCTATCGCGACTTTTCGATTTAAGGAAGACTGTGGTACTTACAATTGTTTTATTTTTATTTTGTTTTATTTTGTTTTATTATTTAGCAACAATATTTGACGGATCAAATGTTTAACTAAAATGAAAGAAAATTCTTTTTTTTTTAATTTCCTTAAATTTAGTATTTTGTGGATCATTTTTCCTTCTAAATATTAACATTAAGATTTGAATCGCTTAGAATTCGAAGTATGAATAATCGAATTTTACCCCATATAAAATGAAAATAACGAAGAGTTCTTTAAAAAAATATACATAAAGATTAATTGATAGAAGTACAAAAGAGAAATGTGGCAGTGTTGAGGTAAAAATATTATCGAAAAAGAATTTTCTCGGAGTTCGATTCAGTGCAAAATTGATAAGGAAGGGGGTCAAAGATGTATTATCTCTAAAATACAACGAGATTAGGTGAAATTTTGATTATCAGGATTAAAATGATTATTTTCATCGTCAAATTTAGGTGCATTTCCGATTAATGAAGGTCGATGCGCTTGACGATTTTTTTCATCCTCTAAATACATCTTCCATAACGCTGCAACAATATCTGTCGTTATCAAATCACCTGCATTTGAAGAAACTATTCGAAGAATGAAAACACCATCATTACGAAGAGTTCGTTGTACGAATTTATCTACTGCTCCTCGACCTGAAATAACCATTTTCAAAAATTATTTTATATAGTAATGGCAGGCCGTATATTATTTAGATTATCATTCAATCATATTTTGTTTGGTTTCTTTTGAGCCTTTGGCATTTAGGTGATATTGGGCCGCATGTTGACTTCCTAATAATTGTTCTAGCCTAACCAGGGAAGGTAAATGTTAATCACTAATTAACCTAATCAGATTGATAAAAATCTTGTTGAATATATATATATATATATATATAAACGAAGTTATAGCATCGAAAAAATTTCTACGTTTTTATTCTACATTATTGGAATAGAGCATTTAACAGTGATGTTGGAAGCTAAGAGGGATTCATTCATCTCTTCCGACTGTCGTTAAAATAAATCTCACTGGATAATACTAGCGATACTAGCGACCCGCCTGTACTTCTATCGCCAAGTGCTTCATTTCACATGGTGAAAATTTCTAATCGTACTAGCAGCCAACGAATATATACATCGAGAATTCTAACAATTTAGTTCACTTAATACGGCTTCTATTCTAAATTTTATTTTCATCATTCTAAGTAACATCTTAATAAAGTGAAGGCTTTCTTTTCAAGTGCGCTCACCATTACTGTTAGACTCGTTCCACTGACTTATCGGACTAGACAAATATGCCAGGGGAATCCCTTGGCGATATACATCACCGGGATTTTTGGGTAGATTCGCTCGGGAATAGAACGCCAGCACTCCGAGCTTCGGCTTCCAGCTGAATAGCAACCAATCCATCCAGCCAGTCTACTTTTCTTTCTCCTTTAGGTGCCGCTCTACGAAAAGCGGTGCGTCGGCGGATCTCGATTCTCGATGGCAAAATCTGATCCACCAACGCATTTATAAAAATCCTAATATATAATAAATAAAACATTTTTACCCAATTCTTAGTTTAATTTTAACTTTAATTTTAATTGCTATAAAGTTATGTATGGAATTTACTTTCATCGTCCAACAAATCGTAAACACGTAAATACTGCGAAATAAATGACCGTTGTTGAGCTTTCGATAATCCGACAATAATCCAGTAGAACAATGAGCCAATTGTTGCAATAAGGACTAATAAAATCCACCACCACAAAAAAAGATAAACCTGTAAATTAGGTGCTTTGAATATTTCAATTTGAATTTTAAGTTACACAATAATCACATTTTTTTGTGTTTTTTGGAATTTTAATTTTTAAAATAAAATAATTAAAAGATTTTAAAAAATTATTTATTTGATTTTAGACAAAATTTTTAAAATTTGGCCTTATGCATATATGGCTGCTTTTAGAATTGAGAATGGTACTATCAATTAAAATGGTACCTTCTCATTAAACATATTTATCATGAGAACACATTGCACTGTATGCCTATGCTTATTGCCAAGTACACGGACATCGAAATCGCACATTGTTACGCTGAAATTATATCAAGTTTGTATTGTTTAAGTTCATGCGTGTTGCTAATCTGAAATCATTCTTGGCCAATTTGTCGACAAACTAAGATGTTGGATTGTAGCCTAGGAAGGAAAAATTTTTTATTATAAATGAAATAAAATGAAACGATGCTAAAACTAAAATGGCTTAACTGCTTCTTATTTCATCATCTTCTATTTCTCATAGATAAATCTTTCATGAAAAATCCCATGAAATAGCTTTATGAAAGGTGGACCGTGGAAAATGTCCAGATTCCTGCCATTCTCGTCCATGTGCTAAATCTCTCAAAATTTCGAAACCCCAAAACGTATAATTTGTTCCCAAAAAATTGTTTAGTATTATGAACTGCATAATCGCTTGTAATATATAAACAAGCTTGATGAACAAATAAAGAATTGTCAAATAAGATCCCTGAAAATTTTTTTTATTAAATTTTTTCTTTCATAAAAAAAATTTATTTAAAATTAGAAAATTTATCTAAGATCACGTTGAAATATCCTTGGGGCAAACCTACAGTTCTAAGATTTTTTTGATAAAACATTATAAAGAATTCATTTCTTCATTAGTTGTGGATTTATTCTGAACAAATTTCTGAAATTAACTCAGTTATTTAAATTTTTTTAAACGGGCAAATGGATTATGTTCAACTCTACGATCTGTTCTAAGAGCTTATCATTAAAAATTAAATTCGAGCCGCTGAGGATTCACAGGTAATTCCATCTATCCCCAAGTGGCTCCAAAGAACCTCACTTAAACAAACTAAAAGTGGTAAGTTATGTTTGAAGAAGAAGTTTTGATAACCATCCGGATTTTTGACAACAGTTAGCATTATTTAACTTTTCTCGTTGATATCTTTTATACGAACTAAGCTTTTGATAAATTTATGCTTACTTTTTGTAATATGGCCGCAATTAAGCCGCGTCTAGAAAGTTTTTGCTGAGTTTTGAGCGAATCATATATATGACTTGAAACAACCGCAACCGAATCATTTCGTTTCTCAGTTTGCATATTGCTTACGTCTTGTGACATCGTAACAATTCCCTTCACGGCTATTCCTTAAGTGGATCAAAAAATGCAAATAACTGATCTGATCTGATCGCTTCGCTCAGTTTATATTCCTCAAATATTTCTTAATTAAAAGAGAATCATATTTAAAAATTTTCTAGGTTATATCGAAATCGCTAAAACTAATGAAACCGAAACTGCTTGGAATTATCGCAATTGTAAAGAAGAATAATACCTGATTGCCAGTTGAAAAGCTTCCATATAAGATTCGGTAAATAGAACAAAATGCCTTGAAGACCAAGGATAAATGGTACCCATTGATAATAACCTGAAAATGTCCATTTACTATAACTCTAATAATTTATCGATCTTCGCTGAAGGATTTCTATTTTATCTTAGAAATATAATTCAAATAAAAATTGGCGTTGTCATGAAAATCTTATAAATACTTATAAAAATAATAATGAAGGCAATAACGGTTCATTTTGTTTCTAATTAGCTTTATTTTTTAAAAAATGAAATATTTTATATTTTGCTTTAAGCGTTAGTAAATGTGTATTATATTTTTTCTTAAAAAAAATGTACCAATTTCTCGACTTTCTCGTTCCTCCAAATCTCGTGGTATATAATGATTTAAAGGAAGGAAATAAGTATTTTGAATGAAACAATAATTTTCACTATATTGCTCCCAAGCTCCTTAAAATTAAGCCAAAATTAAAATTTCAAATTTCTAATAAAAAAATTTATTCGATAAATTACATGATAAGTAGTGATAAGAAAGTATAAGAATGCAGAAAAAAACAAAAATTATGGCAAATTATGGAAGCGAATTTAATTAAAAAATTATCTCAAAGATTAAAAAAAATTTGCATGAAATTTTTAAATAGTTAATTAAGTGATTACATCGTAAAAATTAACCTGTAAATTGCGCAGGAATCCAACATTGAATTGGTTGGCCAACATATCTGAAATTAATTCAGTAATGTGGAATTAGTATAGAAAAGGAAATACAATAGATTTAAAGGCATAAAATGGTAAGGCCTATTTATCAAATATTACTTACTGTTTAGCACTTAAAGTTAAAGCAAAAATAACGAAAAGCATTGGAGTATAATAATAATTCAAGCGATCAATCGCATCATCGTCAAATTCTGGCTTGAGCCCTTTCAAAAATACATCCAAGAATATCATTCTGGAAGCAAATCTGATAAAATTGATAAGAATGAAATTAAATTTGTTAGCTTACGAGTAACACGAGTATTAACTAAATGCTTTTAAATCAAAACGAGAGCAAAAGTTTAGAAGCAATCGGGTATTTCAACATCGCTTTCATAGGTTTAAACTAATTAAGATCGAATCGAGGCTACGTGTTATGCAACAATATAACTGCAAGAGCAATAATATCATAATTTTTTTTTTTTTTTTTAAGAGTCCTCACCATTATTAGTTAAACTCGCTCCACTGGCTTGTCGCATTGTGCAATATGCCATGGAGTTCCTTGGCGATAGAAATACAGGTGAGTTGCCAGAACCACCCGGATTTTTGTACAGTTCACTCCTGCGGGGAATCGAACCTCAGCGTCGGCGCTCCAAATTGAGCAACAACCCACTGAGCCATCCTATCCCCCACAATATCTTAATAGTAATATTCGAACCTAATCGCATAAATTGGGTGAATGACTGAAGATGCCGACAATTAATTTTGATTTTAAATTTCTAGACACTGGAAAGTTTTGAATCTCGTTGATGCAAAACGTAATTGGTACTATCATTACAAAAAAAAGATCTGCCGTAAAGCTTTAAACAAGTTAATTAAGCTTTTGGATGGGAAACACGGGAAACGCTATGTTATGGTAAACAAATATGTTTGAAAATTATACCCTAACTATGCATTTCGTTAAAACATGTTTCCTTGAAAATAACTCAGTAACTCACGAAATATTGCATAAATGTAGGGAAAGGGATGCAAATATATTGGATAAATGTAGGGAAAGGAATGCAAAAAAAAATGTTAGAAAAAAAATATTCATTTTTCGAATTCTCAAATATTCACAAAATAAAAAATTTGCAAAACGGAAAAAAATGAACGAGTAATGCTCAAATTAATTTTATAATTATTACCCTAAATTTTTGATAGTTTTAAAAATCTGAGTCCTTTCGATTTCCTTCAGATTAGGAATATATAAATGATTATAGCTTATCGCTTCTTATTAAATACAAATATCCGCTGGCTATTTTTTTAAGAGAGCCCTCACTATTCCTGGTTAGACTCGCTCGGTTGGCCAATCGCAGTAGACGAATATGCCAGGAAGTCCCTTGGCGATAGAACTACAGGTGATTCGCTCGGATTTTTGGACAGATTTACTCTTACGGGGAACAGAACCTCAGCATCAGTGCTCCGAATTCAGCAACAACCCACTGAGCCATTCTACTTTGCTTGCTATTACTATTGGAAATTTTTGAGTCATTTGAGGCATCACTCGGATAAATATGATTGTTAAAAGCTTAATGAAGCTTAAACAATTGATGGTGGTGATGATTGAATGCATTCCATTTTATTAATAATTATAATGGTAATAATACGAAAAATAATTGTACGAAATGATTGTATATGAAAAACGTTATGAAATAAAATAAAATTGTTAAAAAAAAAAAAAAAAATCGAGGAAACTGTATAAAATGCGCTACTGAAATAGTAATTCGGAGAAGACCTCTTGTCACCGTACATTACGAATTGTGCACGCCAAAACCGGATTGTTCCATTTTAGCACATTTCATTTTATTGCTAGACATTTCCCACTACCATTTCTCTATTGGCCGAGCACATTCATAACGATAATCATCTATAATTCTGCACTTTTTCACTGATTCTCTAAACATGACCATAATGTTCGCATATCAAAGAATTTCTATCGAGTTCATACAAAATTCTTCATTTCAGGCTACTTAAATTATAACTTAGTAATGATGATTTTCATTCCCTTAATCCTTCCTGTATATAAAATGATAATAATAATTTTCGCATTTCACATTATAGCTCTTTCCTTGTATAATTTAGTAAAATGATAATAATTTCCATGATATTCCTTTCATGGTTTATTCTCCATGCAAATACTTGTAATTTCCCAATAATTGCGATTTCTATTTATTTATTTTTATTGCCTGAAGATCAATGGAACCAAGAAAATGGATTTTTGCCGTTATGAATTATGAAAAGAAAGAATTTGGAAAAAAAGAATTTTTGTAAGGTTGAATAAAATTTATGAAAAAACTATTTCGATAGAATGACTAAATTTTCCATAAAGTGAAGTGAAGAAAAGTGAAAAACATTTAACAATAAGTGAAAAATGTTTTCTTCCATTTTCACGAAATTTCTGAAGAAAAATTTTCCTTTTTAAATTTTTTAAAATTTTATTCGCTTTTTCTAAATATTTTACTATTTTTTATTGAAATTAATTGAAACTCACCACATGCAATTTGATAAAATAAATTTATTATATTAAATATTGTTGCAAATCATTTTTTGCGATGGTTTGGCCATTGTTTTTCCACCACAACTTTGAAAAACGGATACTCCAATGATTTTGAAATATGCAAAAAGCGCAAGTACCAATGGCTGTTATACAAATCGCGAATAATCCTATTTTGAATAAAATAGGTTATTTATCTATTTGATCAATTGATTAAATATAGTCCATTAATTAATGAAGCATAATTTATAATAGGAAAAATTCATTGGCTTTTTATTTGTTTGAAATTTCTTTTCCCAAAGAGGACAATAAGTTCTGTGCCTCTTACCTCTCTATGTATTTTTGTTTTTCTGCTTGCAATAAAAATCCTGGTTATACGAGATCCACTGGTTATTAGGATAAGATCTTTTCATTTGAGATTTTTTCTTTTTCTAAAAGCTTTTCGGTTAGGACTGTTCTATTATAAACTATTCAATTACTTTTGAACTTATTTTAAACAAACTTTTTTCACTCGGCAATAGAGGTAAAAATGAATCGTCAGCATTAGTCGAATTTTTGAAAACATTTTTACCTCCTTCTATATTTGTCGGTATATAATTTTATGTGGACGATTAGATTATCGATGTATCACATATAAGTGGAACTCATGGAACTTATAAAGGTATTAGCTAAAAAATATGAAGAAGGGATGACCATTATAAATCTTAGAAGTGTTAATTTTATGCGCAAATAACATCAATCAAATGATGTAGTTTTGATGAACAAAGATGTTGTCTTCCTTCATCTTCACAACATTCTTAAATAAATAACTTTCGTTATATAAATTAAAAATATTTAAAGCAATTTTTTTCAAAAAAATGACTTTTAAAATATTTAAATATTTTTAATTAATAATATTTAATATTTAATTAATCGGAATATTTCGGTACAAACTGTTCAATTAGTTTTTTCTATCGTTAAAACTCTTTTCTCTTTGGTATTTATTTTCATTATAATGTAATTTTTTTCTAAATTTTTATAATTTTTTAACTTTAATAATATCGAAAAAATTATAATTTTTAATAAATTTTTGTATAACAAAACATTTTAATTAAATAATAAGAAAAAATAAGAATGAATTTTATTTTTTCAATCAAATAAATAAAAAACCAATTAAATAAATAATAAATAACTAATAATAAATCCAATAAAATTTATTTATTTAATTATCGTTGTTAACATAATTAAATTTCGATTATTTCGATTTATTTTTTTTTTAATTTTTTCAGTTCAATTTTTAAAAAATTTCAATTTTTAAGAAATTTAAATTTAAAAATTTATGAATGCATAATTGAAAAAACTAAAATTTTTCAGTCAATTTTTTTTAAAATTTAAATTAATAAAAAACTATAAATAAATAAATATAAATAAAATATGTAAAATTTTGTAAAATAATAAATTTTGCAAAATTTTTATTATAAAGAAATTCATTCAAATCGACGTTAAGGCCATTTAAATATCTTTTAGATCTAACGTATTTTATGACTTGAATTTAGCAATAAATCAAATTCAAGAGGAAAGATGTGACATTTCGAGACTGACTGACTGGTATCATGTTGTTCCACGATACATACGATTCATATGCAGCTTTATTTCTTTTTCTAACTGACCATTTGCAATCTAGCTGATTTTATTGGTTAACATTAGTTCAGATCTTTTTTGCCAGAGACAGGCGACGCCATCCTGATTCTTCAAAAAAACTTTATTAAGAGATTTTTTATGCTTTCATTAGGAGATTCGATACTTGAATTCGTCGTGTCGAATTTTCAAAAAACATTATTTTCGCGATTTTATAGAATTGTGATCTAAGGAATCAATGATAGATGATAGACTCAAAACTAGATTAGCTTTAACCATAGAACCAAAAGAATATTTGCGTTTAAAGGGCTAAATAAAAATTATTTTTGGAAGCATTATCTCTCATAGCTGCAGCCTCGAAAAGTGAAAAGTGATTGTGCATTATTGCATGATATATTGCAACATGCACACGTCTACTGCAACGTAGTTGCGCCTCAGCGTGTACTGTCGAAAAGTATGCGTGTTCAACAATTTTGTATTTTTGATTTTCGTAATTTGAAAGCAAAACATTCAACAATTATGAAAATAAATGAAATGAAATATAGGTTTCACAGTTCGATTCACAAAAACGCGTATATCTCTATTTATATACTTAATGTGCAGATAAACAATGCAATAAATACAATGGCAGCATTATTATAAATGTTATTATGTAACGTATAATCTTTGGGATTTTTAGGCATTTTTAATTCGAAAAGAAATTTAGTAAAAAAGCACTCAGAGAAGAATCAATAAAAAAAAAGAGGAAAATAGTTTATTATTATTATTGAATATTTTATTAATATTTTTTCCTTTTTCCCTAATTTGGGAAATGTTTGGAAGAATATCTGCGCATTTTTTTAGAAATAAAATAGTTATAATTATAATTTACTTAAAGATCATCTCGATTACCCTTTTCAGGTAAAAGGGGTTCTAAATATGGTGGAGGATTAAGTCGATTCGAAGTGAATTTTTGCCAAAGTTTTATAATAAGTTCATAAGTTACGATATCACCAGAGTTCATTCGAATCAAGCGAAGAAGAAATATGCCATCCGCTCGGAGATTTTCGCCAATAAATTCATCAACGAGTGAATGCTTACGACGATCACGCACTATTGTTTCATCATGCTAAAATCAAATATTTTGCTCAAAATATTATTGATGTAATTGTAATAATTAATTAATTGTAAAATATTTTGTGAATGTAAGGGTGATGAATTTTCTAAAATATTCTATAAAAGACGATAATTATAATGAATAATAACGATAATAATAATGAATTATGAAAATAAAATTTGATCATAAAAATTAAAAATATGTATACGAATCGAATAGTTTCAATGAGCGTCATAAATAAACGGAAATAAATAAATTTATTAGCTTTTCCTTAAGATAAAACTATTATTATAATAAAAATATTATTGAAGAGTTGAAAACCTTTTCAAGAAAACTGTAAATAATAGCACGACCACTACGACTCGATAAACTTATTACTGACCAATATATTAGACTAGCGATGCTGAAAAAGAGATTTTTTATATTTATCATTTTTTAAATAATTTCTATTATTATTATAATAAAAGGAAAAAATGAATAGATTTTCTATTACTGAAATTTAATTAACTAAATACCTGATTGAAGCTACAAAAAACATCCAAAACCATAGAAAAATAAAAATTTTCTCGTTAAACATGTTAATCATGAGGACACATTGAACGGTATGTCGGTGAAGATTACCGAGAACGCGCACCTAAATTACTGATTTGATAAATACTTTCGACATCCGGAAATTTCATAACTTGTAAAGGTGTGTAACAATAAAGGTGTGAAAAAATTGAAAGAAATCGAATAAAAGCTACCGAAAAGTCACATAAAGTGACTCTTGGAAAATTTCCGGTTTCAGGCCATTCAATTCCTTTGATAAGATCGGAAAAAACTTCATAACCCCACCAAACGCTATTAACACCGAGCATTTTTTTAATTAAAAGAAATTGTAGAAGTGCATTCGCTGCATATAGAAATTTTATTACCTGAAATAATACAATTTTTATATTTAAATTTATTTTATATTGAATTTATATTAAATTTTTACATTATTTTATTTCACATTATATATTTTTACATTATATCAAATTTTAACGTTTTTATTTAAAAATTTTACATATATTTTTTTTTAGAAATTTTATAAGAAATCAATATTTTATAAGAAATTATTTAAAATAAATTTAAATAATGCCGAAAATAAAATTGCATTTTATATTTTTTAAATATTTATTCTTAATATTTTTTTATACAAATTAATATCATCAATTCATTCAAATTGATAACGATATAATGTTAAATTGTTAATCAAATTAATATATGTAATACGTAATAAATTATAATATTTTAAATAATTATTTATTTTAATATTCCAATTAATGTAAACATTTGAAATTTTATAAGAGAACAATAATTCTAAGTCATTCATTATCAATCGGACAAATTTTATTGCATTTCCCATAAATCTTATTAGTTCATTCAAACTGATAAATCGATTTATATTAATCAACTTTACACCAAAATAGAAAAAGAAGAACCAGATAAGTGGATACGAGAAAATGACCACTCGTAGCGTGACGTAACCAACCACCAAGAGAATCGTCAACCTTACGCTCGCAAGCGATGAAACTCGCAATTTTATCCATATTTTTTGCGCGATCATCAGCCACCATATTTGATTTAATGCTACATGTTTCACAGATTGCTCGCACTTTTATTCCTCAAGAAAAATATAGTCAGTTGAACTATGATAAGAACTCTATTAGTACCAATTCAGTGCCAATTTGATGAGAATAAATGAGTTAATCGTGAGAAACCAGAATTATGCGAATGCATCGATAATGTTCAGATAACCTCATAAATAAAACTATTTTTAATACTCAATGAAATTTTTTATTTGAATCATCATACCGTGACTAGAATAAACTGATCTCCACAAGATAACAGGAATATAAAAGAGAATAGCTTGTAATGCTAAAATGAATGGTACCCATTGGTAATAGCCTGAAATTACTTGATGTTATAGTTCACTGGAAAAAAAAACAAGTTTCACCAAATTAGTTAAAAAGCAGATTAGAAATCTGAAAACTTTTTTTATTTTTGCAGTTATGATAACCATATTTTAATTTCGACAAGTTTTGTGATAAAAAGCCGACATGCCAAGCCGAAAAATGTTCCATTACAATCTTTATCACGAAATAGATATTTCATATTGGAATTAGAAAATAAGCTTTCTTTTTTAGGACAACTCAAAAAAAAAAGATTGCTTCTTCAAACCAATTTCTCCAATAGGTTTTTTTTTCAAAGAGTTACTTAAAAAAAATAATATTATCTATCAGTGCCAATAATTAAAATAAGACAAATACCTATCAAACGATTCTCTCTTTCTGTAATATTTTTTGGAATGGGTATAATATGTTCCGTGATATCCCAAAAGTTGGCCGGTTTGATTTCGGTGAACGGTAGAAAATAAGTATTTTGAACATAGCAATAATCAAGCGCATATTCAATCCACCATCCTAAATTAAATTGCTGAAATTAAAGATAAACTTATATAAAGAGATTTCATTATGAAAAAAATGTAGAAGAAATTTAAAATTCAGAAAATCGAAAAATTTAATCATGCAAAGTTATGGAGGAGGAGAGGGAGGTTAGTGAAAGGGAAGGAAGAGAGGGTGAATTTAAGGGAAGGGGATTTCGATTTTGATTTTAAAAAATTACCCTTATAATATGCTGGGAACCAACACTGTATTGGACTTCCAATGAAACTGAAAACGATTCAAAGAATATTTCATTTGAATTTGATTCAAAGAATATTTGCTAAGAATTTGGGAATTATTTAAATTTATTTAAATTTTTATTTAAATATTTATTTATTTAAATTTTTAGGCATTGAATATGAAATTAAGTAAAGTGAATTATACGTAACAGTTACGATAACTAACGATTAGTTTTATAGTAAATCTTAAACTTCTAAAGACTATTAAATGCAATAATTATGGTACCTTAGAGTCAGTTTCATTAGCAATTGTTAGACTTCTAAAATTAGATAAGCATTTTCATGGATAAATTAATTCTACTCGGCTCGACTTTACTGACTTTATTGTGTTCAATAATTCTTTATTTTTAGGTTGAATTTTAATGAATTTGTCGCATTTAAAAAAAAAAAAAAAAAAAATCCATTAGGAAAATCTTTCTCTTCTTTAAACCCAATGAATAATTTATGAAGCGAATCGCTCGACGGGGTGCCACTAATATTCCAATAAATAAAGTGGATCATTACAAATAGAAAGATGAAAGGCAATGAGAATTTTTATAAAAATCGCCTAAAAAGGAAATTTCCATTTAAGCCGAAGGTCATATTCAAAGAAAAATTTTATCTGCCAAATAACCTTTTATCTAATCTACAAATATCGACCTTTTTATTTAGATTTATAAATAAGATTTCTTCGCTAAAATAATTAAAATAAATAATATTTCTAAAGAAATATGAAAAAAAATTTAAAAAAATTATTGTCACATTTATCAAATTATCACAATTATCAAAATAAAAAAAAATCACCTCCAACCGGATATAAAAGCAGACAACACGATTAATATGGTTGACGTATAGCAATAACTTGTACGATCAGCAAAATCGCCATCTGGTAGCGGTGTTATAGCACGTATAATATTACGTACGAGATCCATCGGCAATAATTTTTAGCCTTCAACGAATTCTGGTTTTCCGAATCTATTCATCGTTTTTATTATTATTACCCTGCAAGAAGGGAGGCCGAAATAATTTTTTACCATCTCCAATACACGAATACTATTCACTATTTTTATGCGACGATCAACGTTCTTCACTCTCAGTATAATTTCATGAAATTTTCTCCGTTTTTCGTTCAATTCTTTTGACGCTATTCACAGTATATTCTATTTTAAAACTGTACATTTCTTTCGTAGTATCGTAGCCAATTTCAACGATTATTCGCCCGCGTCCTTCCATTAAAATAGATAAATATGTATTTGCTGCTGCAATTCACATTTAGAATTTCGAGGGAGGCAATCTTACAATATCGATAAATATCGATGTTTACTATGAATATAGGCATATCTGCAAGTAGATGATGCTAGCCCATCTGTATTTCTATCGCCAAATGACTTCTCTTGACGAAATTTGTCCGATGCGGCAAGCTGGAGTGAGCCTGAGGCTGGGAACCAGAAAATGGAGGGCGATCTTTGGAGAAATATATATGCATATAATAGAAGAATTTTTTTTAAAGAACACTTCTTTACTGATTAGACTCGCTCATCTGGCTTTTCGCACCACACTAGACAAATGTGCTAGAGAATCCATTGGCGCTCCGAACTGAGCAGTAGTCCACTGATCCACTCCACATATTATATAGTATATAATATAATCAATAAATATTATAATAAATTATATATTAAATATAATTTTATACTTTTTATGTTTTGATTTTTATTTTAATTATATTTTGTTATTTAATTTTGTTATTATTTAATTTTACTTTCATTTATAATTAAATTCGTTGTTAATTTAAAATTTAAATTTAAAACATAAGTTTTTAATTTTAAATTTTATTTATAATTACATAAATAAATTAGTCCTGTTTTAATTAATTATTTAAATATAATAGTTAATTTAAGTAAATTAAGATATTATTTATATTATTTGAATATATTATTTAATATTTCAAATATTATTTAAGCTTTATTTAAATCCTTCACATGGTGATAACCTTTTGGCTTTTTATTGTAGTTTCTCAATTCTAAGGATGAGAATTGAGTAGTGTTGGATTTAAAATCCACAAAGGTTCCACAAATTCTTGTATGTAGTAAAAAATTGCACTGCACTTTAATGATGTGCATTCTTTTTCTCATCAAACTGTTGTTCTAATTGAAGAAAACTTTGACTTATTTTGTTTCAACGAAATTCATTCAAGTTTCTTTGAGTTTTTAAGTTTCTTAAATTTATTTATTATTTATTTATTACCTTCAATATTTATTTATCTTTGCAATCTTAGCTGTCTTTGCAATTCCAATTTCGACTTTTTTTTCTAGGAGTGCTCATCAATTCTGATTAGGCTCGTGGCACTGTCAATATCTTTTTGGCGCAAACAAATTTCGCCAAGGAGTGAAGTGGGCTAGAAGTGCAAGTGGGTCACCCGCATTTTTCTTCTTCTAACAGCTCTCACCATTGCTGGTTAGGCTGGTTTCGCTGGCTACAAGAGTAAGACATCTCCAAGCCGCCCGGTTCGGCGCCATCGCTAGTAGTAATAGAAGCCATTCCTTTTTCCATCGTCTACCCGCATTCTTCGACGCTTAAGCGATTCACTGATTAGTTATAGTAATTTTTTTTTTAAATTTTTTTCCTTCGATCTTCTTTTTTAATGCTATATTTCATGCACTATTGCAATGAATAAAATTTTTTTCATGTTTTCACTCAAAGTGACAAGTACATTTAAAGCTGATTCGCCTGATTAATTAATTTTATTAATTAATGAAAATTTTGATTCAGTCATCTCAATTAATAATAGCGGGGAATCAAAAATCCGAACGGCATTGCCAATCAACCTATCGCCATGTGATTCTCTAGCAAAATTGCACCGCGACCAGGTGGTTAATACTCAAGATTATCGGCTAGAAATTTTTATCATCTGGCCACAAGTGCCATAGACATTTGCTATCATTATCACTTCAATTTTTTATTGATAAATTTGTTAATTCCTTTAGAAAAAAGAGCCAAAGTCTTACTTTGTCTTTCAATATGATAATCTAATGAATTCTTCGATATTAAATAAATTTGATGAAATTTTTGAAAAAAACATTTGCACAGCAAAAATTTATCTTAACAACAATGAACTTTTATAATTACGTTAACTAAAGATTTTTCGGGGAAATTTTTCATAATGGTTGAATGAACACATTTATTTGCCATTAAAATGGAAACTATTAGGAGGGACTTTAAAAAACATTAATTTTTTCTTATCAACCTCATTTCTTTAGCAAACTGGATAAAAACATAAACATAAAGAATGGTACCATTCTTGGTTAGGCTTACTACACTAACTACCAGGATGAGATGAGATCTATTCTCCATAAGACATAGTCAGTTTAAATCATATACAGGTGAGTCACCGAATCATGAAATGAAATGTCTAATCAAAGCGATCTATCATTGAATCATATTGCTTCTTTTATCAGTTTATATAATCAGTTATACGACTGAAAATTTTTAAAATAAATAAATTTGGTTTATTAATTTCGAATAATTTCATGCTATTGTAAATAAATGTTTATGCATGTCTTGATTTCAATTCAAAAAGGCTCAGAAATTTTATTGTACTAATGCAAAAATCCAGCCGAAGCAATCACTGCTTTTACTGCATTAGCTGTAGTTTTTGGTTAGGCTTGCTCCGCTATCAGACAAATCTTACCAGGCAGTAACTAATAACGAAAACGAAAAAATGTCAGTCGCCAGCATCATTCACATTTACTCATGCCAAGAGTACATCAACCCCCACTGAACCATTCTACCATTAGCTGTCCTGAAATTGACTAATTTTTGAGTCAAATCATCGCAATGCTCTAATTTAACTTATCATTCCATTATCAATATTACATTACTATTTTACTTTACAAAGACCTTAGGATAATATATAATATGGCATAATCATAGAATTACATAGTAACTTAGCCTAAAAAAGATTCATATCCAAATGGTTTTTAAAGTTTTACTTTTTTGACAACAGTACCATAGGTAACTGGTTAGGGTTCGTTCCGCCGGCTCATCGCACTGGATAAATATGTTAATATGTCTTGGCGATAGAAATGCAGATAAGTCGCTGGCATCATTCGACAGATTTACTCCAGAAAAGAGAGCCTCAGTATTGGCGCTCCGAATTGAACGACTGGACCATTCTATTTTCACCGTAGCTGACAGGAAAATCGGAAAAAGTGATTAACCAGAAAAAGAAGGAAAAAATCTCAATAAAGGAAGGAAGTGAAAACTGTGGGAAGAAAATATTAGTTTCTACAATTCTACGAGGGAAATACAACGTAAAACTAAAAGAAACGAGGAGAATTTCGACTTTTAACTCGAAAAATGTCCTCCTCCTCGTGACAAAGTTTTACCCATTTTGCCCCTTTGTCACTTCCTCTTGCTCTTTTAGCTTTGCTGGTAAATTAACTACCTCCACTAATGCTAATAAGGTGTTTATCATGCACGATAAATAAATATCTAATTTATCAGCAGCCATGAATTATATTATTTCCACTGAGGCCAAGCATCATGGCCTCGACTGCCTCGAACTTACTCATTTCTAATCGTCCCCCTCCGTTCCCCCCTCCTCTCGATAAAAGTGGAAATAAATACAATGATGCACGCAGTTCACCTATATTTCTACGCCACGTGATATTCAAAATTCCTTAATAATAGTTCCAATAGTGACGAATTTTTCGTTTAGTACGAAGTTTATTATTAGCTTACTAAACCGAATATTGCCATAACTTTTAGATGGTCTCATTTCTTTTATAAATTTAATTGGTGGTGAGACGTAAAATGCTGTCAAATTGGCAGGTCGGGTCACCGCTGGGTCATCCTTGGTGCTGTCTAATGAATGGTTTGAATAGTTCAGATTTATCTAATTTCGAGGTGCAATATTTCGTTCTATAATAATTTGTGATTTGCACTGTGAAAGAAACCTGAAATTGTTTTTTTTCTTTTTTTAACTTGTTTTTGCTTATTTTTTTCTTTTAATTTTTCGAAAATTTTTCTTTAAAAATTTGAATTTTCAATCGAAACTTGATCAATTCTTTTGACAAATCAATTTAATGACGTTAAGACGCTTTTTTTGCCTTTTGCCTTCTTTGCATTCTTTGCATTCCTTCGCAAAGTATCTCTTATAGCTTTAATTGTGCGGGGCTCAGGCGGATGCTACTTGCTGATTGGGATCGAGAACTGCGAGATTAATTGTGCTTTGAGACGGGGGATGAGATGAGAAGTTGTGATCTGAGGTCAGGTCGGACGGAATACGAGTTCGAAATAGGAAATTATGAAATACGCATCTTAAAAATTTTTCAGTCTATTCTAATTTTTCAGTTTTTTTTGAATGGCAAAACGACAATACGATTTGCTCTTTAAATTACTTTTAATTGGTGACAGTGGAGTTGGCAAAACGTGTATTCTATACAGATTTAGTGATGATGCCTTTAATACAACATTCATTTCTACTATAGGTTTGCCATCATTTATTTATTTCTTTAAAATAATTTTCGTCGATTTTAATAAATTTATATGTAAAATAGAATTATCCTAATAGATGAAGATTTGTAAAGTCAATTTTTTTCTAGAAATTCTGGAAAATTCCTTTTAAAATTTCAGCTATAAAATTAAATATAATCATATTTTAATATAATTTTAATTTAATTTAATGAAAGAATTATATTTTAATGCATTTTTTTTAATTAAACAATTTTTGAAAATTTAAATTAGTTTTTGGGCTTAATGGATTAATTTGCAGTACTGTTTATTTTTAATTATTTTCTATTTAATTTCTTTTCATTTAAGGAATCGATTTTAAAATCAAAACGATTGAATTGAGAGGAAAGAAAATTAAGCTTCAAATATGGTTTGTTTATTTCAATTTTTTTGCTTCAAATGTTTATTCTCTCTATCTTGATTATCCATTTTATATTTTAATGGAATTTTGTTCCATTTTTATATCTCTGCTATAGATGTTGTAGGATTAATACATTGATGATTCGCAATTATGATTCAATCGATTGGCATTTCCCTTTCCTTTTAACTTTTAACTTTTAGCTTTCAGTTTTTATTTTTAATTTTGTGTAATTTTGTTTGCTAATTTTTATTTGACTTTAATTTAGCTAATTTATTTATTATTTTTGGAGTAAATAAATAAAATAAATGCAAAATATGAAAATAGAATAAAAATTTCTTAATTTTATTTTTTACTAATTATCAGTTATCTTATTATTACCTCGATTATCTTATCTAATAAAAGAAATTTTTTTCTAAATATCTTGCTTAATATATTAATTAATATAATTGCGAAATTGTTTTCTTGTTTGCCAGGAGTGAAGCTGTAAGTTGAAATCTGATCCTAAGTAAGTATGGCGAATGGCTCGAGGAAATATCAGCTGGCATCCGCGCATGATTTGCCTGATCACCTACGACATGCGAATTGGGCTCGAATATAGTGATAGTAATATACAGCCATATAAGGACTGAGAGAACTGCTTGTTAAAGAAACCGAGCAAATATCAGTTGGCTCTTATGCTCGAAGGAAAATCTTGGCCATTCCTATTGGATGTTGGAAGCCTCATGGATTTAAGTCAGGTGGTAATCGTTCACAATTTATCCAAATATCGTGTGGATAATGCTTTTCTGTTAGAAGTTTTTTAATTCTGGTTCTATAATCATGGTTCTAACCATGCTTGATTCGGACAAGTACCACCGACTGCATCATGATAGTATTTCGGATAATGTTATTCATACAACGGGGGTAATATTATTGTCGTGTGCGAAAGAGAACGGTCGGCTCTAATCATATGGAATTCTATAAATGAGACTACACGTGTTTTAAAGGTGAAACTTTGCAATATCTTTTTCATTGATGTTTGTGCACCTACGCTTTGCATATGATCTGGATAAGATAGTTTCCATGAGGAGCTAAACTTTTTAGCAGCATCTATCTCAAAAAGCGATATAATCGTGGTCGCTGGAGAATGCACGAATGGGATGGAAGGTTGTATCACCATCTTCTGTGGCCGATAAATATGTTGTCAGGTAGCCAAAGAAGAGTACCTACTTGGCTTCGCTAAGAAATATTCAAAAAATAAATATTTTTTGTCACCTATACTTGTTTTCAACATTGCGAAAAACAGAAAAAATTACATGGAATTCTATATATAATCAACACTCCAATCTAGATAGCCACGAATATCGCTGATTGGTAAAAAAACCCCTACAAGTTATCTTATTAATGGTCCAAAACCAGAATGAAATTGTCATTGTGCAAAGTACAAAATTTTGACTATCTCAAGAAACATTCAGAGAGGTAGTTGACACAGGCTAAGATACCGATATATCTAAAGGATACTCGATATCATCAGTTTCATAGATTCGTAATTTGGCAAAGCTTGGCAAAATCGATACTGGAATGATGTGCCTTTGATCTGTGGAGATAGCAATTCGATTAGATAGTATTGAGAATCCTCTTTCAGAAAGCAACTGTGGTTCGTGAAACAATCCGATATAAGGATGGAAACCTCGTAAGGACCATCAATGATCGTTTCTTCCTGTGGAGAAAATTCTTTAAATCTTTGAATCTAAACATGACTATGGTGGACCATCCGACTTCCAATCAAGCTCGAGATCATTTCCGTAATTCCCAAGCTTACATTCAACCGAATATCTTGAGAAGGTGATTCGTGAGCTGAATTCAAATTTGTTCTTTACACACAAAATTAACTGATGACTCGAAAAAGACAGTTCTTAGTATTCAAGAAAGGAGGTAAGGAGCACTGCGACAGCTATCGAATAATCAGCTTGTCAGATTTTTTTTGAGAAAATTTTTATTTCCTTTTTGCTGAATAGAAGTGTGTGAAAGTGTATGTGTGCACGTCCTAAACCAAGGGTTTAGGCTTGGGAGTAGCTCTATAGCAGTCGTGGTACTCTACTCTCTGACCAAATTTTTACGTTGAGAATGGTATGGAAATGTCATTTTAAGTATCGATAACTTGCATGTTTCGACATTGTCGCAATTTTTGATTCGATCAATAGGGCGATGCTCTGATGAGTCATACAACACTGCGGTCATCCAGAAAAATTAATGTCGGCCAGATTTTTGTGTATGATGAATGAACGCAACTTTTTGAAATACATACAGGAAATACATACATCAAGATTGCGTTCTCTTTTCTGTATTTTGTAATAATAGCATCAAGTGGAGTAATAAAAAGTGGAGTTCAAATCACTCCACTGCATAGACGTACCTTGAATATTTTCCTCTTCAGACCAATCTGAATCTAAATATTTCCTTCAGCAATTAAAGATGTATTATTTTTCAAATATTTCAAGTTCATTCTCATATTCTCATTCTCATTCTCTGACCAAGTGATAAAAATTATTCCAGATAATTGCAGTTAGGGATAACTTCTTCGTTTGTTAAAGCCTCTTGCGAATCGCCAAATCAGCCTTAAAAAGAAAGTCGATCTATCTGGCCATAGTATGATCTTGCTTACGCAAAATTAACCATGAGAGTGGAAGAAACTATCCGTCTAACCATTCTTGGCCAAAGCTGTTGGTCTTCGCATAACGTACATTTCTTCTCGTTAAGTGGATGGAGTGTCGTATGATTGCTTCCAAGTCTACTCGAATGCGTTAAGAATATAACAAAATCTCCCCTTCGCTAGTTTGGCCATGTTCTTTCACCACAGGATTTTACTTCTTGCTACTTGCGAAATCGTGTGATGAATTAAAAGCGAGGGTGACCAATTAAAATCTGGACTGATGCGGTTAGAAGAGTCTTTGAACACAAGATACCCAGCGATATACTGGTTTAGACGATAGGTAAAAGAATGATTTCATTTGCTTTGTCATTAGAAGGCTTGAAAGGTCGCCTAAAAAAGTTAGCAGTAATAGAAGAAAGCAGTAGTAGTAGTAATTAGCAGTAGCATCTGTCAGAAAGAAAATTGGTTGATCAACATAAATTATTAATTTTATATTGGATCTTTTTTTGTGAATTAGGTAAATTAAATTTAATCACTTGAAATCTTAGAGATTATTGATATTCCTTTTATTCCTTCTCTGTTTATTATCATTAATCATTTTGGTAAAAAGTTATTTCGAGTCTTTTAGGGATACAGCTGGTCAAGAACGATTTCATACAATAACTACATCATATTACCGTGGTGCTATGGGCATAATGCTAGTGTATGATATAACAAATGCAAAAAGCTTTGATAATATAGCGAAATGGTTGCGGAATATCGATGAGGTAATTTTATTCTAGCATATTATCATTCTTAGTCTTTTATGCATTTTTTGTGGTCAGATTAATTCTCTTCTGACTTTGTTTGAATTTGTTTGATTACGGAATTTAGTGGCATGAGTAATTTAGCTTTCCTATCAATTTTTATGTTTTTAGGTAACTAAGTTTAATTTCTAAAAACATTCCTTTTTCGCGAGTAATTTTACTTTTTTTCGTTTTATTTCGTAAATTCTTTTATTATTGCAGCATGCATCTGAAGATGTTGAAAAGATGCTCTTAGGTAATAAATGTGATATGGCTGATCGTCGAGTTGTCTCACGTGAGCGAGGTGAAAAAATAGCCAGTGATCATGGAATAAGATTTCTGGAAACATCAGCCAAAGCAAATATACAAATTGATAAAGCATTTTACGATCTCGCTGAAGCCATTCTCGACAAAGTGCTTAATAATCTTAATAATTTTTTTTCTCTAGAACCAATTTTTCTCACCAAGATGGTAGTTTTTTTTAAAAAAAGTCAATTTTAAAAATCGATTTTTTAAAAATTTTTTAAAAAAATTTGTTTTTACTAGTGTTTGCTTATATTCTGCATCAAAACTGGTTTAACAGTTAATTGAACAGTGAATTATAAAAACTGTTCAGATGCCCAATAAGGAAGAAAATTCAAGACAGCCGACTATTCGACCAATTGATTCGACCGCTGCATCTCAAAGAAGTGGTTGCTGCTAAGTCATTTGTCTTCATTTTTTATTTTTTTTACCACTATTTAAGCTATGCCATTTATATAACTTAAGCTGCATATCGCACTAATTAAAATAAAGAAAGCAATATTTTCACAGTTAATACTGTATTTAGATATTTCTTGGTTTAAATTTACGTCTTATTTGGATTATAAGGACTCATATGTAAACTTTAACTCTGATAGAATAGAATAGAAGAGAAAATTATTCTGTGAAATTTCGCTTTTGAAAGATTATCACCGTGATTGTTGCCGTTAAGCGGTTTGAAAATCGCATATATCAAATATTTTTATTGAAATGTTTGAGTTAAGCCTATTTTTGCATTTCAAAATATTTTCAGTGAATTCCACTTCATCAATATTTATTAAATATTTTATGAAATATTATCAATGCTCATAGTGTCGCTAAATATTCAGTTAATTTCTACATTTTTTTAGCTTTGTATATATTTTTCGCTTATAGTTTTATCTCAAATTTTTCGCCTACAATTTTTTTTGAAATTTTCTAGATCCTTCCTTATTCGCATTTTTACTGCTTTTCAGTACGATTAATAGTTCAAAGATGAAAGGATTCGTGAATGATCTTATCCAAATTTTTCACATAATTATATTGTAGCTTCCTTTCATCCTCTTCAATTCCGCTCTTTAAAATACTTTTATTCTTTTATTCAAAATGAAAGTCTTATTATTATTTATATTCTCGCTTTTTGTGATAGCTATATTTAAATGATTAAAAGTATAGAGATGTTAAATTCTCGTTGAATTCTATTCATTTAAATCCAGGAGAGTATATGATGAAGGGAAAGCTTGTAATTTTCGCTAATGGTTCGTCAAGATTTGAAAAACCAATCTAAAGTCGTTTGGCCTTTTTTCCTTAGGGAACTCTTACTTGGTCTCATTGTTCTGCCAAATTCTGCTGTAATTTTCTTTCTCCAGATGCTTTTGTTGAGAAGTACTGGTAAAATTGCCAAGGTATTCAAAGAATGCGATGCCAAAAGTTGAATAAGTCACTGTTGTTATAAAGCATCCAATGAATATATTCAATGACAATGCAATTGATTGCCACAAACTTATGAAATTCAGATATATCCATTCAGGTGCCACTGAAATTGTTATTTTGTGATTTTTATCAAAAATTCATAATTGATTTAGTCAGATATCAATTTTTTCAAAGAAGTCATTTGGTGATAGAAATTTTAGTGGATCGTTGGCACTATTCGTATCTTCGAAGGAGGAGAAGTATAATGCTGCCGGAAAAAGAAGTCCAGCAATGGCTTTCCAAAATGCTAGCAAAAATCCACTTTGCCATTTTCCTTATCACATTAAACATGATATTTTTAGAAAAAACGCGTTTAATATACCTTCAAATATTTGAAATTTTGGAACGCCAAACGAATGAACTTAATTTATTCATAGAAACATAAGTCTAAATCTAAGAATTATTTATTATTCTATGTTGGTATTTCGTTTTTCTCTAACCAAATAACACTCGAAATGAGCATAATTAATGCAAAAACTTACTTGTAGTTGTGATAAGATAGAAATTTGAAAAAATAAATGATATAAGTTTCTCCTTCTGTAGTATTTCAACTAATAGAATCGAGCTAAACAAATGATAAAGAAGGAATACGAGAAAAGTTGCAGATGCCGGTTGAATAGGAGTAATCACGGTTCGTGAAAATTCACTAAATATTTCCAATTTATTTCCACCAAAAATTATCTAAATCGATTTATTTTATCATATATCATATCATTTTATACATTGATTATGATATATATACATATGTTGCTGCTGATGCAGTTATTTCCAAATTACTCAAAATTATTCATAATTATCGCCAAATGAAGTGATATTTCTCAAATAGTCCTCTGATAAACAGTGAAAAAGTTTTATTAACTTGATTACTAACATTATCATCAGTACCATATTTCTTTAGTCGTTTTCTTTTAAGGTGATAATAAAGGTATTCATCACTGATATCAGGTGTATCTTCTTCACATTCATCAAAATGCAATTTTGTTGCTAAAAGACTATTTGCATAAATTTTAGAATTTATGCTGTACTATTCTTTCAGATTTTTAAATAATAATGTTAATAATTATAATATTATAATAAATAATAAACAGCTAACCAAATAACATCGCAAAATGTTTATTAAATTTATATACGAGTAGTGCAATTAATAATAAAAACAATATGGTACCAAAAAACGAGAACAATATATAAAAAATGGCGATAGAAACGTCGATACGATTGTCACCTTAATTAAATTTGATTCTGTATCATTTTTGGTTTGGCTTACTTAATATTTTTTGGTAAAATTTTTTGTCCGAGAATCTTTGAGGTGACTGAGGTAATAAGAGGAAGTGTTTGGTTTTATTTTGTTGTACTATTGATGATGAGACAGAACCTATGTACCTATTATATGGTGTTTGTCTCCAGCCTAAGTACCCCTTTGATTTCATGAAGTAGTGAATTAAATCTAGCATAAATCAAAATGAAAATAATAATAATAATTTGTGGTTGAAATGCCTTTTATTTCAACCTGTTGTAGTTAAAATTGCTAAAGAAAGGTAGAATGAAGAATAATAGTTGCTGGAAGTGTTTGTCGTGCTTGGATGTGCTTCAATAAGAAACTTCGTATAGTTCGTGATCTCTTGCATTATTTCTTTCACCAGATTCACCTAAAATCTTCAATTATGAATTTCCTCTCAGCGATTCCTTATTAATTAATTATAGTTCGAATTTTTAAATTGTTTTTTGTATTTTTAGCGAAAAAACTCAAACGTTAAACTCTTAAACGTCACATTATTACTCGGTTTTTTTTATAAAAGAAATAGTTATGCAAATTTCTGACAAAAAAATTAAGAAAAATAATGAATAGGTGAAACTAACATCATTTTGCGCTTGAAAAAGTGAATTCGTCATATGTATAGCAACTTCATCGATAATATTGTCAAGATTCAAATCGTTTCCTTGGTATGCAGTTAGTTTCGTGGTACCAATGAAGACGATGGTTATAGCAGCCATGATAACGATAGAAACTGATATCAGCTCCGATATCTTCATTTTCTTCTGCAACTTAACCTCATTACTTTTCGCTTTATTAAAATATTGCATCGTGAATCGCTGAGAAAAGCATAATATTATAATTTTGCGCTAAAAAAGAACTAAGCAATGTACCTATTTTCAATCTTTAGGAAAACTTTCTAAAGTATTGCCTAAAATACTATAATTTTGCTTACTGTTTTGTTTAGTTGCCAGGAGACAAAAAGCAATGGTTTTTAATGGCGATATTGGATAAATGAATGTAAGGAAATCTTTTGCACATCTCAACTTTCATTTTTTTGATAACAACACAAATTATTTTCTGGTTAAGTTCACACCACTAGATTGTCGAGCCAAAAATTCAATTAGCAGATAGAAATACAGGTGGGTCACCAGCATCATCAGGAACATCAACTTTGATGCGCTGAATGCCATCATTGTTTTTTTAATTTGAAATTATTTTTGCAGATTTCATATGTTTGCTAAATATATGTATATATATTAATTGTAAACTATGTATGTTTTCCCTTAAAAACATTGAAAAATAATATTTTTGCATGAAAAAATATTTTATAGTATTTTATAATATAAAATAATAAAATGATACTATGAAATGAAACTCTTAAAAAAATAGCGATTTTTTTTAAACAGCGCGCATAATAGTTTGATTTGCCTCCTAAACTACTACAATTTCCAGGTATTTCGGATTCAAGCCTTGCAATCAACCACTTCTACAGTGGTTGTATTTCCTTCATGCGCCTTTGACTAATCACACCTTTCAGTCTCTATGTACAATTATACAAAAATATTAATTTTTTTGCCGTATATTCGTCACAAATCCAATGGAAACCACACAAAGCAACGAAGTATCTGGCGAAGTTTGGGAAGTAGAATGGCTCAGTGGGTTGCTGCTTAATTTGGAGCACCGATACTGAGGTTCGATTCCCCGCAGGAGTGAACCTATACAAAAATCCGGGTGATTTTGGCGATTCACCTGTACTTCTATGAAGGGTCTCCCTCGCATATTTGTCCAATGCGACAAGCCAGCGGAGCGAGTTTAATGAGTAATGGTGAGGGCTCTTGAAAAAAAAATTAATTTAGTGATTAAAGTGGTTATCTATTTCAAAGCCATTTGTTAAAGGACCAAATTGTAGTTAAGTTGTTTGATTGATGAAGAAATATTTGAATCTGTCGATCAATCAATTTATTATATCGGTCAAAACATCGCTTGATCTACATTTGGTTTTTTGTTGTTAAAACTAATTAGAATGATTTATTTCATTATTATTTTGTTATTATTGTTATTACTAATTTATTTTATTATTATTACTAATTATAACAATTATTGATATGCTTTGATTATCATTTTTCTTTCATTCTTTTCTAAGAAATTCCAATATTACTGGTTATATTAGTTCCTCTGGCTTCTTGGGTCGAAGAAATTAAGGGAATCATTTTGCAATAGCTCTCACCATTACTGGTTAGCTGGCTCCATTGGCTACAAGGGTAAGACATCTCCAAGCTTCTCGGTCCAACGCCATCGCTAGTAGTAATAGAAGCCATTCCTTTTTCCATCGTCTAAGTTTATATATCGCTGGTCCCCCTATATGTTCAAAATCTTTCCTGACTATATCAGTCCAGGTCTTGACTGGCCCTCCACGCTTTTGATCCCAACCATCACAGGGTTTAGTAACGAAATATCCGTCAACTGGACGATGTAGAACGTGCTCTAAACCAGCGAAGATGATGCTCTGTGGTAACATTATTAGTACAGGTGGTATTTGAGCGAAGATGGATATAATCACGTGCGATTTTATCCGCTCGACGGTTCCGTAAAATGTACCTTATATGAATGGTCAAAGGCTAATAGCTTTTTAATATTTTCGACTCTTATTGTCCATGTTTCGTAGCCATAAAGCAAGATCGAACGAATTGCAGCTATTTGGATGCGGATTTTCGCCTTTATGGTGATTTCATCTTCATGGTCTATCGTCTTTTGCGACGGTTCCATAAAGGTATAATCAACTGGAAAAGATTTTCAAGCTATCGTTGTTCGGATTTCAGTTTCATCCTTTGCCGGGCCATTCGGGATTAGAGTGGATCCAATGTATTTAAAATCATTTCCTCAATCGGTGATGAATTGATAAAATAAGTATTTTATCTGCATCTTGTAAAACGCTTTCCTTTTATTTACATTTATTTACATTGATTTTGAATCCAATTCTCACTGCAGTTGTTGGCACATTGTCTAACATTATTTGCATTTTTTAATTACTATCAGCAAAAAGAACTATATCATCAGCATTCAAGGTCTGCGATGCTATGCTCTGGACTGATTTGCAACCTCTTGAATGGCGGCAAGCAATGCCCATTATCTATCGCATAGTTGAATATTATAGGAGAAGCCCTGATGGAGACTTTTTATTTCGAAACTGTCAGCTCCCCATATATACAAACTTGTGCCAGGGTATGCTGATAAAATAGAGCCGAATGATCGTCTCTGGAACACCGTCACATTCCATCATTTTCAAGAGCGTTCGCTACTCTATCATGCGAATCAAAGGCGCTGCAAAATCGATAAAGCAAATGACGATGGTTTGCTAATTCTTGTGTTGTCATGAATCTAGTTAGCAGAAGGGAAGTGAAAATTTTTCCGGAGATGTCCACTAAGCTGACTCCTCAGTCGCAGTATATCCTGGGAAATGGTTCACCTTAAGTTCCCGGATAACGGAAATTGATTCTTTTTCAGTTGGCGGTTCGTAATTGCGAACATATGGCTGGGTGAACGAATCAGTTATATCAAGGGAAACAGATGGCACTTCATGGTTCAGGCCTTAAAGAATTCTTTCTATCTTAATGACACGATCCTTAATACTCTTGATCGGCACGCCAATGCTATCCCTTACCATTTCACTGATCGTTTCCCGAATCATAGTTGTTTTAGAAATACAAATGAATCGTTAACATAGTTGAAGGCGGAATAGTTTCCTATTATCGTCTAATCAAGCCGCAGTCTCCATTTTCAAGGCTATATCATTCCAATAGCGATTTTTGTCCTGTAGTGCTTCTGTCTATCTTAATGACACTGCCTGTGTTCTTCGAAACACCCGATAACCAGGATCTGCTAATATTCAGGCTTTGGCTTTTTCAGTTGGACAGCTACTTCCAACACCTAACGCATTAGTCTACTAGTATACTCTAGTGTGAGGTGGCTAATTTTTGCGATAGAAATACAAATGAATCGTTAACATCACTTCGATTTTTGAAGGGCAGATTTATTCTCATCGGGATCACTAATATCGACGGTTCGAAATAAGGATAATAACCATTCTACCTTTACATTTTCATTTCGACTACACTGGAATCTAACAAGTGATGTCGGACTCGATTATCAATATTTTTATGAGTTGCCATTAATATTTTAATGTATCGTTCGGAAAATAACTTGCTCTAATTTTACAAATTATTCTTTAGTATATTATTTAAATCTAAGATTTAATTATATTAAGATTATTATTATTAAGATTATTAAGATTTAATTATATTTGAGACTGAGGCGTGGAAAAATATTCGACGCTTCCATTATTTTTTAATTAATAAAGTGTTTGCTTAAAATCTCAACGGTCATTCATTAATCAAACAAGTCCTTCTGGTATAATAAAAAATTTTGGAAGATCTTTAGGAAATGTCTCAATCAACAACGTATAATTTAATGGAAAAAATTGAAAAATCTTTATTGTCTCAATTGCTTACTGTCTTTTTTATTTTATAGGAAAAAATTAAATTAACCTTTAAGATTTAAAAATCAAATTTGAATATAATAATAATAATAATAAATAGATAATAATAATAATAAATAGAATATAATAATAATAATAATAAATTCAATCGTCAATGAAAATATATTCTATAAATTAGGCGAATTTAAAATTATCAAATAATTCGAAAAGCAATATAAAAATATTATTCAATATAAAAAATTTTTTTTTATACATAAAATCTTAAAATCTTAATAAAAATAAATTTTTTTTAATATTCATAAATTTCACTACATTTTATTTATTTATTTAGATAGCCAAGTCATATGTGTTTATAACACAATAAAATAGCAAAAATAATAGATAGATCGGTTATTGTTATTATTAGCCCGAAAAAAATAAAAATATTAAATTATTTCATGACAATGTAAATCTTTATTTCGCCGATTTGTGATCCGTGGTTAAGCTCTCATGTCATTACTGTAAGTTATGTTGACAATAATATTGTATAATCTTCATTTAAAACTAGGCAGAGATGGTGCAAAGACCATGAATCGTGAGGTAACAATTCCAGTAGTCAATAGTATGAATAAAGAACTTTTGACTTCTTAGCCTAGTTCTGCAAATAGATCTTGGGAATTTCACCATATTCACCATACTACATTTAGTTTTTTCAGATTTAGATTAAATTTATAGTACTGGACGATTTAGCTTAGTACAACAATATTGTTAATAAAGTGTTTGCTTAAAATCGCAACGGTCATTCATTAATCAAACAAGTCCTTCCTGGTATAATAAAGAATTTTGGAAGATGTCTACTGTCTCTCTATCAAATCCTATTTAATTCATTTAAGAGTCTGAGCTAAATAATTTCAGATCTTCTTCATAGTTAATAGCGCTACTAGGGTAGATACGATGTACAATATATTTTTGTAGTATATTGCTCTGTTCAGGAAGAATAACCCAGTGATTGATGTCGTGTTGAGAAACGGTGCGAATCTCGCATCCAACTGAAGTAGAGAAATTCGGGTGGTGTCTGCGACTCACTTCTATCGCCAATTAATTCAATGCCAGAAATTTCTAATCGGACTAAGAGTTAGCCTAATCAGAAATGATAAACTTTATCCATTTATTTATTTATTTTATATTTACATTCATTTTTCCAAATATTTACAAATTTGCCTTGCAACTTTGCATTCGGCGAGTTGTTTATTTTTTCTTTTATTTTTTTCTGAAATCATTTTTTAAATTTTAAATTTCAAATTATTTTCATTATTTTTTTTATAAAAAAACTCTATTGTAGCTTTATACTGATTGTATTATTTTTCAATAAATAATGGCACTCTGAGAAAAACATTCATTCCATCAAACACTAAATCTATATTCTAATATTGGAAAACCGATTTATTTTTTTTTTCATTTTTTAGTTTTAAATTTTAAATTTTTTAGTCGAATATCCTGTTTTTTTCTCTAATGAATACTATTTATTATTATTGTTATTATTATTTATTTTTATTAAAATTAAAATTAAAATTTAAATATTAAAATTTTTGGATGTCAATTATTTTTATTATTATTTATTATTATTGCCATTGCTATTATTTAAAGAATTTTTATTATTTTAAAGAACTTTATTATTATTATTAATTAATATTTTTATTGTTATAAAATTATTACATTGCTTATTATTATTTATTTACTAATTTATTAATTTATTAATTAATTTTTGGTAGGTTTGATATACCAAAAATGTTTGAGATATTTTTTTTTCGTTTTTCCTACATACTTTTAAACCTATTATTCTATAAATTTTCGATCAAATTTTCTAAAATATTTTTTGAAAAATAGTTTTAAATTCTTGAAAACAATAATAAAATAATAAAGTTATTATTGTTACAATCTCTGAATGAACAAAAATTTTTGGATGCCAATCAAGCAACCTTTTCGCCTATTTTTGCAAAATTTTTTTTTATGAGATGATTTCTCCATATACTTGAATGCAGTCAACGCAAATTGTAATAATTCTATTCATTTTTTTTTTTTTTTCACTGTCTCTTCTTTCCTTATCATTTGCTTATTTATCAAACTATATGGTTTCATCACCACATAACTAGTATTATCATTTTCAACATAAAAAATTCATTTATAATCGATCGTCATTTAAATTTTATCACTCGTATCATTATCGTTGTTATCATTGATATTTATCAAAATATTTTTTCTAACATTTTCTGCGTGTTATTTTATCTAGAAAATGCTTGAAAATATAGTTAAACTGAGAGAATAATCTTTTTCATTGCTTATATAACAAATTAATTCGTAATAAAAATTCCGGTTGTCACAAAATAATTTTCTGAATTCAGTTGAGAGATGAATTAACTATTGAATTCTTTAAGTCATCGGGCTAGTTCTCTCGTACCAACGATCAACGTGAACCATATGACCGCTTCGTTTTTCATGACTGTCTCTCATATTTATATTTTTATTTTATTTTATTTTAAATTTAAAAATTTATTTAAATATTTATATTTTATTTCTTTCACCTTTAGCGAGGAGCAATTTCCTCGCTAGGTCCCTTATATTAAATTATCGTACTCGACCATTTTTGCTAGAGATTTATTTAATAATAGATGGATCGCCAACATCAAGCGGATTTGAAAGGCAAATTTGATAGTGTAAGCTTTTTTTTGTTTGGAAATAGAACCCTAACATAGGCCCTGAAATGAGAATAGCAGCAACATACAGTTCTATTCTTAATATTAGTGTATTTTAAAAAGATTTAAATTCTATTATAAGAAACAACCAACGACTAGCAACGATAAGGCATTTAAAAGATTCAAAAAATTCGTGAAAATTCCGGATTCTAATTTGAGAAGTAACCAAAGTCATAAATAAATAATTTCTTCTCTTATATTCACAACTGTGCCTAAAAGTAATCTCCAAATATAAAATCCTTTTAATACAAAAAATCTAAAATAATGGAATATGAAGCCTTTGTGTAGATTTTTTGAATTACTGCAGATTGTGCAAAATCATTCAGAAAACTACAGTTTCCACTTCAGATCAGTTGGATGAAATTGCAGCATGGAAATTGAATGGAAATTCTCTTTAAAATTGGAAGAATAGAAAAAATGGATAAGAATTTTCATAACTAATAGTTTTTTTGCTGCAACAATAATATCAATATTAACAATAATATTATAATAATAACAATAATAATGTTAATTACAATAACAATAATATTAATAATAATGATATAATATAAAGAAAAATATTAGTTAAAATATTAGTCATGATAAGTTTTATCATATTATGATAAAGCTGATGAAAATAATAATATGATAAAATAATGTGATAAAATAACAATAATTGGTACAATATTATAATGATATTATAATAATGATACTAATTATTATAATAAAACGAAAAATTAAAAGTCTAGGTATGAGAGCAGTATTTTGTTTACAATTGGTTATCGAATTCGCTCTATTTTAGATTATTAAATATTTGATAACCAATTTATAATAAGGCATATATAAGGCATTCTCGTAATTTTTAAAATTTTAGGAATTTCTTAGAAAAAAATAAATGAAAAAATTAATATTAAAAGGCCTTAAGGATCCTATGAACGACCAGAGACTATGAATATTAATTACAATAATATATAATAATATAAAAATATAATATATAATAATATAATATAAAACCAACCAAAACAAATTCATCAAATTTATAGCTTTAATATCCATCATAAACACGGATAATATATTTTATTTATAACTATAAATAATTATGTAAAATTTTTTTTCGATATCCAGTGTTTTCAATAATATTTTGTGTAATTTTAATTTTCTATTTCTCGTTTTTTCGCTTCTATTTCTTCTTTTTTTCACTTCAATTCTGCTTATTCTTAATCTTTCTAAATATTTTTTGATTAATTAGTACTGGTTTCTTTTAAAAATACTTGTTTTCATTTGAATGCTCTCATTTTCAAATGAGATAAATTTGTTCATAAGCGTATCATTATAAAAATATTAATAATGGAACGTTGTTGATTGTTAAAATCGACAATTTATGAAAACGACAAGCAATTTGAACCTTCCATAGTTCCATTGTCATCTACTTTTATCAATCTTAATTGTTTACTTTGCTCCTCTCGTCCGCACCACAACAGATTGACCCACTTTCTCGAGGATAATATTTTTTTGAAAAAGATGATAAAAATTACATGAATGATTAGAAGAAAATATTTAAGAGAAATAACCAGAATTTTTTTGTTAAGCATATAAAAAGGAAGATCCAACCGAATTGTTCACAAGATTTATTTTATTTTGGTTCAGTTGAACCATTCTCGCTTAAATATTACCTTAAATTTCAAAGTTTCAAAGTCATAACCTTATATCGATAATTTTAAGAGTTATAGTGCCATTCATAAGGTATGCATAGAATGCATTGAAACCACTGAGTTTGAATTTTAAGTTTTGTAGATCCTAAAAAGCTTTTTAGTTGTTTTCTAATAACAAACTTTATGAATAATAGAAATCATTAAAAGCGACGATATAGTATCTTGATGATTGTGTAAAAAATTATTTGTGTGAAGGAAAATATGCAAAAGAATCTAAAGGATTTTATTTATCGATAATACGAAGAAAATCATGAAAGAACTCAGCGAAACAACGGATAGCGATAATCAACTATGCGTTCAAAAGTTAACTTTAAACGTACCCCGAAATTCGCTTAATGAACAACAATTTTCGCCTATTCATATAAATCGTGAAACTGAAATATTTCATGAAACAACCTGGAAAAAAGAGCAAAAACACAGTGAAACACCTGAAACATTTGCTCGAGTCTTGGTTAGTTCATCTATCTATTAAAAATCATTTCAATTCAGTTAATTTTCATTTACCTTTCTTGTTTGCTAGCGGTCGTTTCAACAAATTATTCTTTATTTATTCTGCATTATTAGATATATTTATTTTTTTATTTTCCAATTCGTTTTTTCATTTTTTTGTTTTCGTCTTTGACAGGAGTAAACCTGTTATGGTATCGAAAACCCGAGTAGCTAGTGGGGAACCACCTGTAATACTATCCCCAAATGATTCTTTGGTGAAAGGATTAGGTCTCTTTGGCGGGCTTCCACGTCTTCCGATGCACTTCTAACTCGGTGGTACACGCGGTAAATATCCGATCCGTAACATAGGTAGATAATAATAATAAAATAACTCCAAGTCTTGAGCGTGAAATATGCTCGAGAACTGAGATAATTATTCAGAACAAAGGGAGATAAGAACATATCCATTAACACTTTATAAGAGTCGCGAGATGCTGGCTGTAACTGCTTATGGAACGTTAGAACGCTTATGGATATCGCAAACCAAGCGATCACTGTCCATGTTTTTTCTAAATAAATACCACGTGAATGTGGCTTGCCGGGTGTATATGGCGTGGATGTGTATGTTTCATCGTGCCGACTCTCGAGTTATTGAATCTGGTTCCGAGCAAAGATATTGACTATATCATTGTGATGTCTTGGATAATTCGGGGTAAAATGGCGTATTGTCATATCTGAAAAGGCTCGATCCGCTTCAATCATCACTTTATATGTTCCAACTTTATGTGTAGATGATCGCAATAAGGATAAGAATAGGTTTTATGCGGAGCTTTAACTATTGACATCTCTACCGAGAGGTGACATGGTCATAATCAGGGAAAATTGGAATGCGCTCATAGGTGTCATGAGGCCCTTACGAGGAATTTGGCAATTGCAAACATGTCCAGTGTACCAAGGAGAAGGCCTTCTTCATTTGGACGAATAGCATGAGCTCCTTGTGAGTACTAATACATGAGTATAGGAAGCAATTGTTCTACTATTTGAAAACGCTACCAAAGAACGAATCTTGACTATCGGATGCTTCGAAGACTTGCAATGATAGCAGCACGACGGGACAAGAATCACTATTGGAGCGACTTGGACTTGGAAATGGAGACGGCTGCTCGATTAGGCGATAACTGGAAATTATTTCATCTTCTTCATAAAGCCATACTTCGAAAAGAAATCGATGAAATAATACTGGATATTAATGGGACGGCTGTTAAGGCCATTAAGAATCGCATAAGATGAAAATATTGTTTTTTTTTTGAGGCCAAGCTTAACCAAGCGCCATCTGTTCTTCCTTATATAATTGTAGAATCACCACAATTTGCAACTGCGAACTGAAGATAAAATAATTTCTTAATCCATAAACTTAAGGCCAACAAAACTCCTGAAGAAAATGGTTTTCGTGCCGAACTCTTTTAATCTTATCCATCATCATTTATAATTCACCTTCAACAAAGGTACTCTCTTGTATACTCTCTTGTATAACAAAAGGAAATAATACCAGAAGACTGGAGCAAAACAATTTTGCTTCCAATTCCTAAGAAAGATGACAGGAAATATTGCGACAATGACCGAGGAAACAGCTTACCAGACATTTTCGCTTCCTTTCTGCTAAATCTAATCAGTCCAGAGTATAGTATCACCTTAAATACGCTGATAATATAGTTTTTTTTGTTGACAATAATTAAGAAATGCAAATAATGTTAAACAATGTGTCAACAAGTGCAGTGAGAATTGGATTTAGAATGTAAATAAAACGAAAATGTTTTCGCCTTATATTAAACTGATAAAATATCTATTTTTATCAATTTATTATCAGTTGAAGAAATGCCAACTTTAAATATAATGGATCCAAGTGGCCAAGTGGAAGACGAGGTTGCAATCCGGATAATGGTAGCAAGAAGTGCTTTCTTTCGGTTGATGAATTCTTTGTGGGCTTGTCGCGAAATTATTGTAAAAACGAAAATCGGCGTCCATGTAGCTGCAATTCGTTCGATCTTGCTATATTGCTGCGAGATATAGCCATTGAGAATGGAAGATATTAGGAAGCTACTCGCCTTTGACCATTCCTGTAAGATGCGGCTTTACCGAATCTCACATGATTGTATTATTCATCTTCGCTTAAATACAACTTGTATTAATAGTACCATCACAGAATATCGTCTTCGATGGTTAGAATACGTTCTTTGTTGTCCACCACAAAAGTTGACATATATTTCATTACTTGCTAAGCCATATGATGAATGGCGTCAAAAGAGAAGAGGACCAATCAAGACCTGGATTAATACAGTCAGAAAAGATTTTGAACATATATGCGGACCAGCGATATATGGGCTTAGACGATGTAAATGGCTTCTATTACTATTAGCGATGGCGTCGCACCGAGCAGCTTGGAGATATCTTATCCTTGTAGCCAGTGGAATCAGCCTAACTAATAATAATGAGAGCTGTTAATGGCAGATAGAAAATGAAAATTTTCATTTATCAAAAATTTGAAAGAAACATCGAGAAAAAAATTCGAAAAATAGAGAGAAAAATAAAAAAAAAAATAAATAGAAAAATTGACAAATTCGGGCCAATATTTTACCAAAAGGTGAATAATTGAAGCACTGAAATAGGAATTGAAAGATTCAGAATGCAGTTGCTTGTCTTCTGTAAAACTTTTGATTTTTTTTAAAATCTATCGTATTTAATTCAAATTACCATTCGCCTAACGAACATGAGCGTACAAAAATCAAATATTTATATTGATAAATATTTACCTAGCATTGATAATATTTGAATAGAAAAATACATGAAAAAATTTCGTTTACGAAATTCTTTTCCTAATTTTTCCATAAATCTTTTGTTCAAATATAAAATATCTATATAATATGTCTATAAAAGTGAATTTAATATTAAAAATTTTTATTAAAAAAGAGAATATACTCCAAAGATTCAAAATATATACTAAAAATCCTGCGACTAGCAAATTTGTTATATCCATGGATATTTCCATGGATCCATGAACATGAAATAAGAGTTTTTTGACGAAACATAAGAAAAGCCACAGAAAAAATTCAAAATCCAAAATTTTCGATTACATTTACGAAATGAATTTATTAATTTTTTTAGTATGAAAAATTGAAATATCCATGGATCGAACAAGTTTTTTTAAAGCGAGAATGTGTCAAATTCATACCAAACAAAAAATCAGAAAGGTATGTTTTATGATTTACAAACCATAAAGTAAATCAATGTGCTGAATAATGAAATATTATTTATAGTGATTTGAATTTCTTTTTCTTTTAGCAGCTCTCACCATTACTCACCATTACTGATTAGGCTATCTCAACTGGTTACAAGGGTAAGACGTTTCCAAACTGCACGACCTGATGCCATCATTAACAGTCATAGAAGCCACTTCTTTCCCTAGGTCCATATATTGCTTGTCCACCAAAATCTCTCCTGATTGTCCTGTCCAGTTCTTGATTGCTCCACTTCGTTTTTGATCCAACCCATCACAGGATTTAGCATATATTGAAATATGTCAATTGTTGTGGTGGACGACGAAGATCGTGTCCTAACTAGCGAAGGTTCTGTGATGGCACTGCTAATGCCAGTGGTATTTAATCGAAGGTGGATGTAATCATGTGAGACTTTATTTGCTTAGGCATGAGTGGTCAAATGCAGGTAACTTTTAATATCATCCACTCTCATTGGCCATGTCTTACAGCCATATAACGAACGCAAACCTTCGTTTTTATGGTGATTTCGTGACGTTTCCATAAAGATTTTGTCAAGGATTCTAGCTGCCGTTATCAGAGCTATAATTTCCTTTGCCTGGCCATTAGAGTGGATCCAAAATATTTTAAAAATCGGATATTTCATCAACCGGTAATGATTTATAAAAAAAAATGAAATTTCATCACCTTCTTGTAAATAAAACGAAAAAACTCGTTTTGTTTACATTGATCTTGAGTCAGATTCTTGCTGCAGTTGCTGATAGGTTATTTAACATTATTTGCAATTCCTTATAATTCCTTATAATTCTCAGCAAACGTACTACATCATCAGCGTATTCAAGGTGTGCGCTGCTATGCTCTGGACTAGTTTGCACCTCTTGGATGCCGACAAGCAATGCCCATTATTTAGTTTATCATATAGTTGAATATTTCAGGGGAAGCCTTGAGGGGGCTCTTTATTTCGATGGAGTCTATTAGTTCCCTCATGTACACAGGCCTACACCGTTGACAAAATGTCTTTACAAGTCGAATGGTCAATAAATTCTGCAATATTTCGCTCGGTTATATATATGCTCTAACCTTATGCGATGATCGAAGAATTCCGTGTCAAATCGCTGAAATGGGGAATCTTTATGGATTTGACTAAGCCAAGATTCGTATAAAATTGACCGCTCGCAATAAAATAGTATTCTTCAAAAGCATTTAACTATCTCAAACTAAAGAATTCTAGGAGAATGAGCAGATTTCAAACCGAACTATTGAAGCACCTTAATGGTACAAATATCATTGGCATCTCTGGAACGGCGGATGAATACTGGTCCCACTAAAGAGATGTTTATAAGAGTCAGCCACTTCCACACTATGGTGTAGGAAATGTGTTAGTTGGATATCGGGATCATTTGTCCAACTATCTGAAAGCGCTACCAAAGCACGAATGTCAGGAGATTGTGACTTTGGAGTGCTTCGAAGAATTATAACGACAACAACACAGCGAGAGAGAAATCGCTATTAGAGCGACCTTTAGAATGGAGACGGCGGCTCGATTAGTAGGAAATTATTCCGCCTTCTTCATAAAGCAACAATAACTCGAAGAATGATCAGCGAAATGGTAAGAGATGACAATAGTATGCCTGTTAAGAGTATTACATCTCACCTCGTATTAAGATAGAAAGAATCCTTTGAAACCAAACTTGACCATGATGCATCGTCATCCGTTGCCCCGGACATGGCTGATATTCGTCGAGCCATACGTTCACAATTGCAAACCACCAACAAAAGATGAATTAATTTTTATCCTTAATGGTATAGAAAAAAGAACATTACCAGAACAATACCAGATGTCTGGAATTCTGGAAAAAAGCAATTCTGCTCCCAATTCCTGGAGAAGTGACAAGCAATTACCAGCCTATTAGACGTCTCAGTAAAAATTTTTGTTTCCCTTTTACTCAATAGACTAATGGCAGTACGGGACAGCAGGATGCGCCGTAACCAAATTGGATTTAAGTTGCGGGACGCGATTATGCTGGCTAGATATTCTTCTTGAAAAGCATGTTGGAACATTTCTTCAAATATTTGCAACCCACCGTCATGTGTTTTATAGAATTTTTCTTCGATTCAATTAATAGAACGGCTTTCGAGGAACGCGATAGATTTCCAGTGAAGTGATTTGACCTTAGCCAAAGCAATATGCCACTCGACCATCCGAAAATTATATCATTTTATATCTTTTGCATATTTATTGTTTTAAATAAATTTTAGGTCAAATTTTAGAGCCGTCAAATGACTGCTCTAAATTTTCTTTAATCGTCAATAATTAATAAAATTCAGACAAAATGATAAAATGTTTAAATAATTAAATTTTAAAAGAGGAAAATAAATTTTAAAAAATAAATTTTGTTTCAAAAAAAATTAAGATGTGGTTGCGGTCGTCCAGCAAATGCTCACGATGCTGTTGCATTTTCTCCATTTTCAACTGCTTTATCAACTTCTAAGGAAAGTGTTAATTGCTCTAGACGATGGAATATTATTGACCACACCGTTGCTTCTCATACTGACGCTTTCGGCACTCTCGAATTTTTGGTATTTTTTCAGTATCTGAACCTCCATTTAACTCATTTATTGTCCATATTTATTCAGTTTAATTATTATAAAATTTTTTTTTGATAGGGTGGGACACATGCACATAAAGCTCACTACATTCGCTTGGGTTACGATTCGGATCCAGTTGATATTATGTATTTAATGGAAAAAGTTTGGCAGCTAACTTCACCTCGGCTTGTCATTACAGTACAAGGTGGAATGACGAATTTCGAGTAAGCGATCTATAATTCAATTATTAGTACTACTTCTTTTTTTCCGTCTCCGAGTTCGCTCAACTATTTATAACTACTATATAACTATAATGGCTCTTATCAGATTGGCTCAAAAGGCTATAGAAGGAAGAATTCTTGAACCTCAAAGTCATGAATGCCATATCCGAAAATCCCTTCTTCTTTGAATGCTTAAAGTTTTGATTCTTCTTCTTCACCACTTTTGTGTCATAGAGTTTAATAAGTTGATATTTGTCAAATAAGTTGATATTTGTCAATTCTGTGATAGACGTGAAGAACAAGGCTTATCATTTCTAACGGTTACCAACAATTTATCTAGGCGAAAACGGTCGAAAACGTAAATACGTGCCTATTCCACTCGTTGGTCATGTTTTATAGTTTTAGCGTTTATTTAAACAAATAAGATGAATTCTTCGTTCATTTTCGAATAAACTCAGATATCTGCTACAATGGCATTCGTAAGGAATGCCAGAAAAGTATACATGTTCGAGATTCTTAATTCGTGAAGCATCAAAACTTTTCGCACTTATTTTTATCATTACTATATCACTCCTCTTTCTGCATCCTCTTAAATCGATAATATAGTATTTTAGAGAGATAGAAATACTAATAGAAGATTTAAGATATTTAAGATAAGATTTAAGATTTAGATTTAAGAAAAGCATGAGAATAAAGTGTCACTTCTTCTTATAAACTACAAACTTCATTTATATATAATTTCGATTTAAGGGTTCAAGAAGGGCTTGGTCGAGTTTTTAGAGAAGGACTATTGAAAGCTGCACAAACAACTGGGGCCTGGATTATTACAGCTGGTACAGATTCCGGAGTAGTACGGCATGTCGCTGCAGCTCTGGATGAAGCTGGTATATCAGCGAGGTTAGTTCCCGTTGCACTTTTTTCAAGCCCATAACGATTCTAGCGTATATTCAATAAACTGGTGATATTTGTTGAACAAATGAATCAACAAAAGAAAAGTAGTTCGTCGATTGAACATAAATTCATTAATTCAAGAATGCGGTCGAAGATAACATTAATTGGTATTGCTCCTTGGGGCATTTTAAAGCGTCGTGAAAAGCTCATCGGCAAAGATGTGGTTGTACCGTATGATTCTCATACGTTCTCTTCTAAAAATCGGCATGCTATGCTGAATGATCGCCATTCTTATTTTCTTTTGGTAGATAATGGAACATCTGGCAGGTACGAAATTATAATTACGAATTATTTTAAATAAATTAAATCGGATGAACCTTTATTAGCTCTAAGATTCGCGTAAACTAGAAATTATTAACGAAAGACAAACAAAATTTTTTTTACAAAAACTAGTTATTGACGTTCTCTAACTAAAAGATATGGTGCCGATATCGTACTGCGGAGACGTTTTGAACAATATATCACACGAAAAAAAGCTTTGTGGTCGGAAACACGTAGCGTACCTGTTGTTTGTGTTGCACTTGAAGGTGGAACTAGTACCATACAGGCTATGCTACATTATCTAACAAGGTTGCATCATTTTATATTATCTAAACTATTAATCAATTTTCTATAAGGCCTAGGGCTATTTAAGAATAAAAATACGGAAGGTTCCTCGACGCAACATTCTTATTGGTGTATATTTATTCACTTTTCGATTAGCTGAATAAAATATGACTTTGGATTTATACAAATTATATATGTTAATATTTACAGTAATCCTCCAATACCAGTAATTGTCTGCGATGGTAGTGGCCGAGCGGCTGATCTAATTTCATTTGCTCATCGACACATTCAAGATAATGGGTAGATTGTTGAGCATTTTTATAGTTTTATGCATTTATGCAATTCTAGTGACGATGGCATAGTAGCATTACTGGCTGTCGTAGCAGCCATATCCAAGTTTTAATTAGTTTTTAAATTTAGAATGTAGAAAAATTTTACTGATAAATTTTTGAAAATTAAAATTTGCCTTATTCATATTTATTGTCTTAGGACTCTACCGGCCGAGTTGTACACACAGATGCAATCGCTTATTGCGAAGATTTTCTCATATTCAGCTCTACCCAGTCAGAAAATTTTAGACGATATTATTCAATGTGCGCAATATCAAGAACTTGTTCGCTTTTAAATTTCTTTTCTTATTGAAACTAATAAGTACCATTTAATTTGCGCAAAATAAAATTGATTTATGAAGAGGTTCCAAATTTTAAATCGATTTCAGTTGGAATTTTTAAAGGAAATTTGCCTACCGTAATACTTTTAATATATAGGTAACAATTTTTCGGCTCGGCGAAAATAAGGATGAAGATATGGATCGAGCAATATTAATGGCATTAATTAAAGGACAAAGCCTTTCATCGGCTGATCAAGTAAAAATGCTCTTCTTTTTTTAAAAGCACTCACCATTACTGGTTAGATTGGTTACTTGTCGCACTGAACAAATAAGCCAGGGAATCTCTTGGTGAGTCGCTAGCATCACTCGGGAATCATATTAAATAATCACATCTTATTTGTAAAACTTTTTGATGAAAATTCTCAGTTATCTCTGGCATTATCATGGAATCGAGTGGATATCGCAAGATCAAATATATTTATGGCTGGGCAAGATTGGACAACAGACCTTCTCTACAGTGCAATGATGGATGCCTTGGCTTATGATCGTGTTGATTTTGTTAAATTATTACTTGAAAATGGTGTTTCTATGAAAAAATTTTTAACAATTTATCGCTTGGAGCAACTTTATAATTCGGTATTACATTATTATTTTGCGCAATTAAGGCAAATAAGATTTGGTTTTTGCCATATGCATTTGATGAACGAAAAATAGAATAATTATTATTATTTTTTTATTTTGCAATAAAATTCAAGGAGATTACCAAAGAGCTTATAGTTTAATCTTAATGTTACCAATAATAAATTGAAAATAATTTCAGGAACAATTTTCTCGTAGAGTGCTTTTAGGTCTAATTAAAAAGACCTTATATGATTCAGATGACAACTTAATTCTTCCAGAAATTGGGATCATTATTGAGAAATGGATGGGTGGTGCATATAAATGTTCGTATAGATCAAGACAATTCAAGAGCAAATACGAAAAATATAGAAGCAAACCACAAGTAATTTCTTTTTCTTAGGATAGTTATATAATATAATATAATATAGTCAAATGAGGTGAATTCAAATCCTCAAAATAAACAAATAATTGAGCGGAAATAGTTTGCTTAATTTTTAGTTATTCGTTTAACTTTAAGCCTAAGCCAATTAGAATATTCTACTCTACTCGAATTAGAGTATTCTACTTCTTTAATATAAAAATTTTTCAATCGGAATTCAACAAATATTCCTATTCAAAATTAAAAGAAATAAAATAGGCGAAGAAAAAAAGCCAATTTTTACTTTGCAGGCAGTACGAATATCGAGTCTTCGAAGCTTCCGAAATTCAAAGGTAAGCAAGAATAATATCCACCCAATACGCAAACCCCATTTTGTATTTCTCAGAGGCTTTCTTGGAAGGTTTTTCATAAAGGGTTGAAAATTTGATGCATAAATAAGGTTGCTAATTGATAGGTTCATACTGAAGATATGGTCCATTAACAGTGCTTTTTTAGAATCTGAGAAAGCAAACCAAATCAAAGATACGCGATCGCAGTGAAGGTTTCTTTTATATACTGAAACTGGATTTTAAAAATTATCATCCATTTATTTATTTATTTTATTATTTGTTTTTTTTATTTAATTAGTTCATTAAATACCTATAAAAAGAACAGGAGAAATGGAATAGCTCAGTGGGTTGTTGCTCATTTCGGAACACCGACGCTAAGATTCTACTTCTCGCAAGAGCAAACTTATTAAAAAATCCTAATGATGCTGGCCATCATCTATATTGCTATCACCAAGGGATTCCCTGGCATATTCTTTTTTAAGAGCCTTCACCATTATTGTGCGATAAGCTAGCAGAATGAGTTTAACCAGTTGAGGGCTGAAAAAAAACAGAAAATTTGCAAAAATTCAGATGATGATGACGATTTCGAATATCCATTCAATGAATTAATGCTATGGGCGATATTAACACAGCGTCAGGAAATGGCTTATTTTTTATGGTTATATGGCGAAGAAGCAATGGCAAAAGCACTCGCTGCTGTTCGACTGTATAAATGTTTCAGCAAGGAAATCGCTAATGAATTTTTGGAGTTGGAAGTTTCCAGACAACTTGGAGAATGTGCCGAGTAAGTTTTTCGCCAATAATATCATTATCATTATCATTCTTCAAAAAAGAATTAGCAATATGTGATGAAATATTCCCTAAAATCTTTAATGGACAATATCTGCAATCAGCACTTTGTATACTTAAAAATAAGCTAAAAAAATTCAATTAGGTATTTCAAACGAAAAAGTCTGGATCTACTCGACTATTGTTATCAACAAGATGATGCACAAACTATACGTCTCCTAACAGCAGACTTAAAGAACTGGGGTCATCATACATGTCTTTCTTTGGCTGTTGTTGGCAATAATAAGGATTTTCTTGCTCATCCCTGGTATGTTCAATCATCATAGTGAACAATTATCTAGGGTAAAATAGATATTCGACAAAACATGGTGAGATCAATTAATTTACAACAAACCTCTCACAGTAAATAATTACTATCTATATGACTATATCCAAGTGATTTTGATCTCAATGGAACCGCTGAAGCTAGAACTGATGCATGCCTCAAGAGGGGCAAAGTATGACGAAATTTTTATAAAGTATTTTCGACAAATTAGCCATGCCAAAATATATTTATTTAATGAGTTATTGAGACAAAATATTTTACTATTATTGAGATCGTCAGATAGAATAAAAATTATCATAGTAATAGCTCAATTTAAAAAATTGCTTAGTTGATTATTTAGTGATAAAATGACTGATAAGAAGCTCCGAAGAAGCTCAGCGCAGTTTAGTACATATCTGAAATATTTAATTCATACGAAACCATAATTTTGAAAAGAAGTAATTTCATGCATTTGTATTCCTCCATATACAAATTTTTGAAATGAATTTCAGCTGTCAAATTCTTCTTGCTGATCTGTGGAATGGTAGACTTGGCATTAGAAGGTACTGTTGAAAAACTTCTAATCACGTTCCAGTCATTCAAACTTTAAAGTAATTTTAGCGCTCATCTTCCCGCCGATAATTCTCTTCTTCGATTTAAAAACTAAGACACCCAAACGCGGTTCAATTTGGTATTCCGCATGTAAAAGTTTTGACGATGGAATTGAATCAAAACCAGTAAATTTACTTTTCACATTTTAACTACTTCAGGTCAAGAGAATTTCTTGCATATAATTATCAAATTTAGGATGAAAATCTACTTTACGAATCGGAAGATAAGCAGAAACTGATGGATCAGCGTGGAAATCTTATTTCCTCATTCAATCTGGTATTTTATTTTACCATAATCGAATTTATAAAAATGGAATTCCGTTTAATTACATTAATTATTCTTAGTAAAATTATTCTTATTCTTATATTCTAACTAACAGACCTTGAATTATCAAATATATTAATCTCATTGTTGACATTATTAAAAAAAAAATTCATGAAAGTTAATTAATTAATAGTTGTTAAAGAGATAAGATATTAAAAATTTGTTAACCAACATCATTTCCTATTTTATCGTAGCTTCTTAATTTCTTTTATTCTAAAAATGATTACCATTTGTGATTGGATCTGCTTTATTGGCTCAGACTGATCAGACATATTTCATTTCATTAGGGAATTAATTAGTGGCAGAAATACGAAGTGGATCGTAAACACCATGTCGGTTTTGAAAGATGCATCAACTGCTTCTTGGAAGTAGAACTCCAGTATGGAAAACGAGAGCTGCAACCCAATTATTTATAATCATGTGCTTAGCAGCTATTTGTTAAATTTATTAGATTGAAACTATTTTTCCTTTTTTTCTAGCTATTTGGTACTAAAAAATCATCAGGAAATTGTGAATTATCATCACAAAAATTTTCGAAATATTTGAGAGGTGATGAATTCGTTGAAAATTTATTAGAGGAAGGTGATCGTCATAGATCAAAAAAACCATCAAATATGGACGAAATGAATAATGACGAGATCCTCTCAAATTTATATAATTCATCTACTGGCAGCAATCTGTTTAAAGTTTGTTTTAATTTCAGTAATTAATTATTTGTTTATCATTAAAATTAATCAGAATTTTTTGAAAATTTAATAAAATTATAAGATTTTCTTTACTAATAACAAAATATTTTAAATAATATTTCATATAATTTAAGTGAATTTTGTTTTATTTTATACGAAATAACAATAATAATTAATAATGAACAAAAAGAATTAATTAAAAGTAAAAAAATGATAAAAATAAAAGGGATTAATATAAATGAAAAACAATGTTATATAATAATATATCATATTATCGTTTATCATTAAAATTAATATTAATATACACATTAATATTTGAAAAAAACATCCATTTAAATTGCAAATTCTTGATCGAATTTTAAAAAAAAATTAATTGAAAATTAAAAGCTTTTAGCGATTTTAACCACAAGATTGATATCGAAAATTTTATTGTCTTTTATATATCCTTCTTTATATCTTTCATAATAACTATTTATTTGCCTATAAGTAAATTTCTAAAAAACTAATCGCTTCTAATTGCCTGATAAGAGCGGATTTTCATTTAATATGATATGATAGTTATTAATAATATGAAAATACATAATAATATGCATTAGAAGCACAAGTGGATCAAAAAATGTTTAAGCTTCTAAGCCTAAATAAAGGTTTAACTATCCAAGCCATTTTTTTCTGCTAATCGGATAATCTATTCATGCTGATAATCCAATTGAAAAATTTCATAATGCTTATTATATTCTTGGAAACTATAAAATTAATAATGCCTGATTTTCATAGATTCTAAAGTCCATATTTTACTTTAATACTTGGCTTACTACTGGCTCATTGTAATGAATGATTTGTAGCCTAATCGATTTGCTGTATGGTCTTCAAAAATATATGAGTTCTATTCGGCTCCTGTAACAACTTTTTGGGCATGGTTGTTGAGTTTTATGATATTTTTATTCGGCCTTACTTATGTTATGTTAATTGAATTACCGTTGGAACCAGCAAGAATTGAATGGTTCCTGTTAAGTTATGTTACCGCGCTAACTATTGAACAAATTCGCAAAGTAATTTACCTTGTTTATTATTAATTACACAAAATATAAATTTTAAAAAGGTTTTTTCTGCAAAAAAAGATATATTTCAAGTTGAAGCTAAAAAAGACTCTCAACCTCTTTCATTTGGTTATACATTCCTTCGAATTGCAGTTATTGTATCAAGAAGCCAGTTCAGTTACGGAAAAAGTTCGAGTATTCTTTAATAGATACTGGAATTACTTGACGATAATTGCAATTATAACATTTTTCGTTGGATTCGTATTCCGAATGCAACCACTTCAAAGGCATTCTTATGGACGAGTTATTCTTGCATGTAATACAGTTTTATGGTACATTAAAGTATTGGATTTCATGAGCGTTCATCATCGGCTTGGTCCTTATATCACTATGACTGGCAAAATGGTATTCTAAATATTTTTTCGATTGAAATTGCTGAAATCCGTTTCCGACTCGTATTAAAGCAAAAAATAAAAGTTGAATTAGAATTAATCTCAAGTTAAGCTAAATCTCCAAATTCAAACCTTAAATTAATCAGATAAAAGTAAACCGAAATCTTAAATTCGATTCATTTGCAGAAACTCGGAAAATTCTCGCAATTCGCGGCCTAATTCCTAGCAAAATTTGGTTTTAATAGATTGATGGTGAAAAAACAGGAATTCACAGGAGTTTTTAATAAAATTATTTAATAAAAAAAAAATTCAGATTCTCAGTATGTCTTATATAATTGCTCTACTGCTGGTAGTTCTAATGGCATTTGGAATTTCTCGCCAATCAATTATTTATCCACATGAGAAATGGAATTGGATACTTGTAAGGAATATTTTTTATAAACCATATTTCATGCTTTATGGTGAAGTTTACGCCGGTGAAATTGATACATGTGGTGATGAAGGTATTCATAGATTATTATTGGCTCATTAATTATTTAATTAATTAGAACGCGTTCTATTCTATAAAATTACAATTTAGCTATAAATCATTCAATGCCATATTCCTAAATCCAGTATTTAGTTGATTTGTTAATTATGATTATTATTGTTAGTTAGCGAGGATCGAAATCTTTATGATATGTTTCACAGATAAGCTTGAACCATAATGAAAATTTGAGCTGTTCTTGCCAAATAAATAATATTAAGGCTCAAACTGTGTGCCAGGTGGATGGATACCACCAATTCTAATGACAATATTTCTACTCATTGCAAACATCCTTTTTATAAACTTGCTCATCGCTATTTTCAAGTAAATTTTTCATTTTCATAAATATAAACTCAATTGTATATTTTAATAGTTTTAGCTGAATAAAAAATTAATAGTTTTTCCCTGATATAAAAAAAAGTTTGAAGGTAATTTTGTATGATGGTTAATTCATACAATGCTGTGGGTAAGCAGTATGAGTTCCATTAGTTTAAATATAAACATGCCGAATGGCCATTGTGCATTTGTATCGCCTCTATCGCCACGTCTCCATCTATACCATCATTACTCAGCTAATTATAAGATTCAGAAATGGGTAATTGCAAGAGAAGAATCGTATATCGGTGCAAATTGAATTTTAGGACAACTAGTACTATAAGTACCAATTAAAAAAGTCATCATAAGTACCACTGAAAAAAAAAGTTTATTTATTTAAAGTTTATTTACTATCAAAATAAGTGAATTTAATATTTATTTTTCCTCTTTTTGTATTTAAATCTTTTATGAAATTTTATATCCCAAATAATAAATTTTAGTAATATTTTCAATGAAGCGAATGCAATTTCGCAACAAGTTTGGCTTTTCCAACGTTATAAGCAAGTTATGGAATATGATAATACACCTATCATTCCACCTCCGTTCACTCCAATTGCATATATTATTTCTTTTATCAGATATCTCGTTAAGGTATTTATCATATTTTTTAACAATCATTAAGCTAGAGAGAATTCGATCGGAAAAATTGAATTTTGAAAAAAAATGCAAGTAAGAAATTCTACATTGTTAATCTCCCTTTATTATTATGGATCTATAAGGCTTACAAGGCGAATAAGACTTGAATTAATTCATATTTTCTAATTTACAAATCTTAAAAATAAGATCCATAGGGATTCCAATTTGTAGTTGCGTAGTCAAAGGAATAATGAATGGACAACAAATAGCGATGAAACAGATGCATTCAATTTTGCGATGAGTATGTGATTTTCAATAGGCCCATAACTGCTATTTAAAAAATCATAATTTTTATAATCGAATACCCTCTAAGATTTCTTACAAATTACCCAAATAATTTCCAATAAGCTTCGTTTATTTATCTGTTTTATTGAAGAATTACATCTAAGTGATGACGAAATGCGCATTGTGCATGATTTTGAAGAAGATTGCATGGATGATTTATCAAGAAAAATTATCGCTGCTAAAAATGAACATCGTGAGAGTCGATGGAATGCAACTGCTGAAAAGTATTATATTATTATTATTATTAATACTATAAGCGACAAATTTAATACTAAGAAAGTGGATAAATCGGCAACTGCCCTATTTTTAACAACAAACCAGCGGAACCAAAACAACTAACCAAAAATGGTGGACGCTTTTAGAAAGATATAGCGAAAAGAAAATTATACATGAAGTTAGATTGGAAATATTTTCTTAGCATCTAATAGAAGATATTATAATAGAAGGCATACCATAAATCAAGAAATCAATGGATCTAATGAAATTTTGTGGTTCAGCGTGATTTCTACCTTATCTCTTCCTAAAAAGGTACTCCACTTCCAGTCTGGCTAGCCGAACTGTTGGAGAAAAGGAATGTTCACTTTAATAATGACCATTTTGCAAGAGTTGGGTAGGGCCAGAGGTGCAGATGGATTTCCCAGTAACCATCTGCAGATGGCTACAACCACTAACAATATCGAGACATTCTCGGGATGGTAACGAACATTTCTATATCTTTTAACACTTCGCAGGAGCATGAATTAATAAAGACTACTTTTCTAGGATTGATTTGCTAACAATGCAATTAAAAGAAATGATTGTAAGTGAATTTTGGAATATGAGGGGAGTTGTTGGTGAACTGGAAACTCGTGTAAAGAATGTCGAACGAATGCAACAACGAATTCTTTTAACACTTGAAAATCGCCATTCCGAAAATAGAAGTTTCGATGAAAAATATCAATCACTAAAACCCTATATAAAGCGATCATGCATGAGGAAGCGACCCGACTTCCATGAAAGTGAAGAACATAGTTCAAAGAATCCAGAAATTTCAATGGAGTGTAATGAATCTTTTAAGTGAGTCAAAATAACTAGTTAACTTTTATTACGCAACTTCAAGATTACATACCATGGCAATTTCATGAAAAAAAAATACGCTATTTTTAATCCAAAAGTTAGGAATCTAATTTTAATCTAATTTTAGCCTTAGACTATTTTCATTCTATTAAGCTTAAGGCTTAAAAAAAACTTCAAATCTGCACTCAATTGAGTTTCTACTATATAAGTTATATATGTACGTTTTAAATTTTAAATTATATACGATATAAGAAGGAATAAGAATTTATATTTTATAAATTTTTACATCTCATTTCAGGAAGTTCGCAAAATTTGGAGGATACTCGTCTATAACAGACTCTATCAAGTTTTCTTCTTTAAACGTTAATGCTGGAGGGTCAGAAGAAACTCCAAAAGCAAGGCCCAGTTTTTTTTTAAGGCATCTAGATTTGCTATGCAATGATAAAGTAAGTTTATAGAATAAATTGAAAGGCTTCATGAATTCGCCTTCAAATAAAAATTTAAAATTATTTTAAGCACCAAGCGCCTCTTGTGGCAGATATAAGTAGGAAGCACTCTCGACGTAAATCAACAACGATTTCAATTTGCGACGATTTAAACGATATGAATAAAACTACAAACGAACTAGAGTCACTAACTGATACGAGCAACAATTCTGATTGAATTATTAAAGATTTTCGTGAATGAATTTTTAAAAAATTGAATAAAAAAATGATCCTTTGAAAGACATATAAAACCATTTTCATCTATAAGCAATAGTGAATCAAATGACCAGAAATATATTTTAAATAGCAAAATATTTTAAATACCAAAAAAAAGCTAATAAAAGGGAAGGCAATGCGGAAGACATTACATAAACAGTGCTTTAAAACAAATGAGAACTTATAACTCACAACAAAAATTATGTACATAAACTTATTTCTCTTCTTTTTCTTTTAATAGTTCTCATCATTACTAGGCTGATTCCAATGGCTATATTTCCAAGCTGATTCGATCCTCTACTCTATATACATTCAAAATCATAAACATATTTCGCTAGCCTTCGTACATAGCTAAACAATTGTAACGAGCATTTGCTTGAAATTCGGTTTTTTCTTAATAGCTTCCGATGGATTTTGAATATTAATAGATTCACCAAATTTATTAGCCTTTCCTTCCTTTAGAGTAGATGCATTAGTCTAAAAGCGTAATAGATTATACTGACCAAACATTCTTAATGAAAAAGTAAAAAAAAAAACACAAAATTATTGATAACATAAATAAAGAATTCAGTTTTTTTATTTTTTTGGGAAGTGCAACAATTTTATCAAAATTCTATGGTGCGAGAAAGATCAATTTAAATTTTTGATCAATTTAATTTAATTTAAATAAATTTAAATTTTAAATTTTTTAAAACAGAGATCTTTTAAAATAGAAAAAAATTATAAGTATTCCACAAAAGACCATTGAACAGAAAAATTCGGTAGAATTTTTATGATAACATGATACTTTTGTTTGTCCAGACGATGAAACCTGTCCAGGATAAGCAATAAAAATATTTTGTTCGAGTGTAGCCTTGGAAATATTATCAGTTTTAACCAAAGCAGATTGTGGTTGCGAAATAACGCGAGTAGTTGGGCGTTCCGATAAAACTTTACGTGGCTTAAAAAAAATATGGCCTCAACATTAGTAATATTTTTTATACGAAAATAAGAAAAAAATGAAATAAAAAATAAAATAAATCACCTTTTGTAGGTACTTTACAGATGGTGAATATGAATCAATCTTTTTTTCATTAAGTTTTTTCGCCTTTAACGTTGTGGAATTTAGTACCATATTTGGCTGAACATAGTTATGCGCATTTGGTAAAGATTTAGCTAAATTTAAGTTTTTGGTAAAGAGAAAAATGTCAAAAGAATGAAATAAACGCATAGAACTTATTCAATGTTTTTAAATTACCATATGATCGCAAAAAATAAAAGAACTTTTTTCCACTCTTCATTAACATATATAATAAAAATATAATTGTTATGCAGAAAATTTCCTAATTGTTCTATCGTTGCATACCACCGATATCAACTGAGATCAAAAAAAGAAAAAAAATTTTATACTGACCAAACTTCGATGCATTCCTTGGAATATTCGATATTTTTGATGAAGCTGAGTTGTTTTTCATATGAGTTGATTTATTACTGCGAGGTTGCACGATTTTCCCTTTGATAATTGAAAGATTATTCGGTTGTTGAATTCGATGTTCACCTGTATCAGCAGAAAGACCAGACTTTTCGCTTACTTCGGCAGATATATCGCATATAACAGACTCTTTTAATTCTTTCTGTTTGTTTCTACCTGATTTTTTACTAAAAGTAAAGGTAATTTTAAAAAATTTAATAATAATTTGATTTTTTTTTAAAAAATTTAATAATTTGATAATTTTATTAGCGGGAAAAGGTTGCCACAATCTTTTGCAAAGTCTAGAAGATCCAGAGATGATCATCTGAGATTTTGGGATATCAATGCTATTTGCTATAAAAAACGGAGTTAATAAAAACGGAATTAAAAAAACAAACCGTAAAGATTGAAAAGTTGCATTTTTAGTTTTATGACTTGTGACACCAATGATATTGCAATCAATAAGCAGTTGTTCAGCATGTATTTCTTGATCAACATCAATGGGAATAGCGCTATACACTGCCTCATCATCAACTTCACATTTGCTGTAGCTATCTTCACTCAAAGTATCACTTTCCTAAATAACTTAAAAATATAAATGAATTTTGTATATAACAATAACCACAATAAATTTTTTAAAAGAATTTAAATCAATTTAATTAGAGTTGAATATTACTATATGCTAGTCAAAAAAATTGATAAATCAACTTCATTAGGATGTAAACGAAGTGTAGATGCATCCCGAATTTTCTCCGATGTTTCTGGACTTTCTACCAATGAAGAATTCTGTAAAGCTGCATTTAAAATTAATGAAGAAGAGATGGATATCGAATTAGTTTCTTTTTTTGTTGGAAGAGTTCCAAGAAATGCATTTGGCATCACTCGAGCTTGTGGTATTTTTTTATTAGACGAGCATTTTGAAGTAGTAAAGGTCGCATGCGCATTTTGCTTAGGGCCTTTTGATGGACGTGCGACCTCGCCCATCATGGCCCTCCCTTTTTTTGATTGATTCCCTAAGAATAATTCTGGACCACTTCGATGATTTTGTGGTAAAACGCTGGCAATACTTTGCATTAAGAAATCATCGTCTTCTGCTGCAAATACAAAATATGAAAAAATATAAATGAAAGATTTAACCTAATAAGCAAGTTAAAATATATAAGTAAATATATAAATATATATTTGCTACAATTAAAATTCAAAAAACCTTTTGAAGATGATGAATCATAAATAGGTTTAGCAGTCGGCGCATGAGAATAATTTGGCAAACTACTTAACATTCGATTCGGTTTCGGCTGAGCTTTTTCAATCATCAATGCAAGAAAATCATCATTCGCAGGATTCCTGATGAGATATTTGATTATAAAATTGCTGTTAAAGTTACTGCATACAAGCAAGAAAATAATAACTTTTTTGGCATAGCTGCTTCAATTGATTGAATCAATAATTCCGAATCAATTTTACCACTAAAAATGCCATAATCACCACTCTCATTCACTGAACTGTTGCCAGTACCTGAATTAAATTTAACAAATTTAGATAAAAAATTATATCTTCAAATTACCAAAAACATTTAAAAAACCAAACCAGGACATCTTTTATTTCCAATCATAGAATATTTTAGTAAATCAAAATAAGTACTTTTCATTAAATTTCCTTACTTAATTTTACATTGTCCAAATTTGAAATTAACTGCTGATCTACATTCTGGTTAGTATCGCTGCCTTTCAAAATAGGGTCCACATTATCATGACCTGAATGTTGTTCTTTTTTTACCACTATTTCTGTATCATTTGAAGCTGCACACTGAGTCGGAGAGTCTGGTATATCAGTAGCACTCACTGGTGACAATCGATTACTATTAACAGCCGAATTATTAACACTTTCCCAAGCACTTTTATCAGCCTAAAAAACAATTAACATAATTAAAAAATCATTTTAAAAAACATAGACGATAGCTGACTAGATGATAGATGATCAATAATGAGGAAGATGTCAATTTGTTAAATTAAAAAAAAACGAAAAATTTTGAAATCCATTTTTGATATATAGAAAAAGAAAGCAAAAAGACGAAATAAAATAATACAGGTAATAATGACGTTAACGACTGCGTACTTGTACATCTCGTACACCTAACACTTTCGTCAATTTCATAAGACGGTTCATTCAGTTTCATTAATTCAGTATCAACTAGTTCGTTGTCAACAATAAGATTTCTTGTCTGACTGGATGATTGATTCACTTTTGTTCCAGTAGTGGATTTTAACAAATCCGCGCTATTCCTATAACGCGATCCATCAACAATAGTTTTTCAAAAATGAGTATTATCATAGATGAAAATGTTGAAATATTGTCAACTATACTTTAATACTTCAAAAATTTTTTAATAAATTTAAGAAATCTTCGATACGCTTTAATGGTATAAAAAAAATGCAATAAAAAAAATGGATAGTAAGCTGCCGTACGAATTTTCCACTAAAGGCTGATCTATTAAAGAAGATTCACAACAATTGGATGTGATACGGTAGATCTGGTGTGAGGATTCACGCGGAAGAGACGCGAAATTGTCCGCAACTTCTCGTGGTGTGAAATTTTGACTAACAGATTTATTTGGTTCCATTAGTGAAAAAATGTCATTACAATCCACCCTGTTTAGCGCCAAATTATGCAAATGTGTCTGTGCAGATCTTAGTTTTAGCAATCGTGTCGGTTCCAAGAATGGTGAAGAAGTAGTAGATCCACCATAAGAAGAAGACATTCCTAAATATTTCAATAATTTAAATCAGTAAAGGATGAAAAATGGCTGAAGAATTTGTACACACTCATTCATTACTTTTTAGATCCCCTCTTTGCAGCTTTTGTCTGCAAAGAGAGGATTATTTATAAATATAATACCTTCAACATTAAAAAATCCTGGAATTGTTGAATACTGTGCAAAAGCTTGCGCTGGATGTGGATGGCCAGCGTCCTGAGCAGAATAAGACTGCGGCACATGATGACGACATTGTTGGGAAAGATGCTGCATGGAACAGGGCTTACAATATTGATGAGCTGAATGAGGTCTATCAACCATTTCGTTTAATTCTGAGGAATTTATATAATTAAGAATAGCTTTCACTGGATTTCTAATGTCTTCGCGAGCTGAGTTTCGTAAATGATTCAAATATTGCATCGCTTTTTGATTCAATCTGAATATATACTATTGATCATTAAGATAAAAAGAGAAAGCATAAAAAGGGAAAAAAAAAGTTCTGCACGGAAAAAAATAAATTACCAAGAAAATACGAAAAAAGAAGTTTAATTACTTATAAAATATAAAATATTTTTAATTTTACTTAATTTTGCTTTAATTTTAATATTTAAAATATTTAAAAAGAAAAATTGGAATAGATCTAAAATATAAAGTTTAAATTTATTAAATATAAATTGTAATAATTGTAACTATCTACTATCTTGTTGGTCCTATACTATATGGCCATAATATACGAGTATATAAATAAATATAAATAACAAATTTTACAGGAATTAGAAGTAATTATAAGGCCAATGAAAAATTTCACCTTAAGTGCAATCTTAATTGTTGATCCTTTGCGAGAAGCTGCATCATTATTCCAAGTCCATTACCAATTATTGTAAAGGAAGGACTATTGAGCAAATTAACTAAACAAAAAACCAGCCTATATCTAAGATTAACTGATAAATATTGCTCAACACCAGCAGCTACCAGATACATTGTGGAATATTTAAAAATTCCAGTTGCTGATTCCAATAAAGCCTAGAAATATAGAAATAAAACAATTATTCTTCAGCTAGACCAATCAGATAATGAAACTGAATGAAATTGAATCACTGTGGTTGCTTCTAATATCTGAAGATGAATTCAAATAGCATGAATGAAATAATTTCTAAGAAAATAAGTACCGTCTGCTGTGAATCAGCACCCATAATTTCAATCAAAGATTCCAAAAAATCTGGTTCATCGCAGAGCGCTTTTTTGTTCTCCTTTGAATGTGATGCTAAATTCCAAAGAGCAGCTAAAGACGAACATAAACATTTCATTTCGCCAAATTTAAAAGCAGCCACTGAAGCATGTGCTAAGGGTGATACAGTTGACAGCAGAGCAGCACTCATTTCTGAATCAGCCATCCATGATAAGTTACGCAAAAGACCAGCATAAACCTGAAAATGAATATGGTTGAAATGCGATAGATAGAAAGAACCAATGAATAAATGAAAATAACAAACTTGAGCAAGATAATGTGATTCTGCGATAACTTTAATGACATTTTCGATAAAATTCGGATAAGCACAAAGTTTTCGCTTGCACATTAGATTACCATAGGTTAAATTCGTTAAACAACTGGCAACAAGCTTTCTTATAACACGATTTTCTTGATTACATTTGGTACCAAAATATTCGATGTCAAGCACCAAAGTTTCAGCAACCACGTCAAGAGCTCCTAAACTATTAATGAAAACTTTAAGCTAAAAAGCCGCAGAATGTTAGTCTTTTTTTGTATGGTTTACCATGAAATATTTGCGTCACAATAATAAAATAAAAAACCAAGAACAATCGCAGCCTTTCGACAATCTTCTTGGAACGATTCTTTCATAATAGCTGTCAATGCCACGTGCATCTTCGAAATGTATTGTGATGTTGAAACAATATTTGAAGAATGTAGGCATTTTCTCAGGAACAATAATTGTTCGCGAACGCAAATCACAGCTGGTAAAATATGTTTTAATCTTCTTCGCCTATAATAATATAAATGTTTATCAAATAAAATCGAAAGTTTTAAGCAGATTTATGATGAATTTAAAATTTCAGACTTTAAAATTGAATTTCCAAAATATTTGGTTATAGAAGATAAAAAAATAAAATCAGAACGAGTTATATACTTATAATCATCAAACTCTTCGGCAACGAGTGATTTCAAACGATGATGAAAAGCTTTCAACCTGCTACCGTCACTTTCCTGAGGTGGCCTATTTCTCATTGTACTAAACCTGAAAGCAATAAAAAATCTAGAAAAAACTTCTTAGACAACTCAGAAAAAAGAAAAAAAGTTTTTGAATTAAACTAATCTCTTAGTTGCGTATTATTACAAAGATTTTAATTGATTCTTTGCAGAAAATTATTATGAAAAAATTATTATTATGTAAATATTATTATGTAAATATTGGAACTAAAAAAATATACAGCGAAATCCTTATAAATAATTTAAAAAAAGAACTATATTTTTTTAAATTTTCTTTATTCTTAAATTTTTAAGCCCTTAAGAAAAAATACCTACCTTAATGAATTTAATAATTCATCAATTCGACTTTCCAAATCGCCAACCATATTTTTATAAAATATCTGCTTATAACATTCTTCTCAGATAAGAATTTCTAGAAAGACAAAATTTTGAGAATGGAAAAAAGATAGTTTAATCATATAGAAAAAAACTCCGACAAAATAGTAAAAATGATTGATAAACAAGAAATATAAAAATGAAACAAATAAATTATTGTTCAGTTCGATGACTTTGATGTCGAAATAGGTGATAAATATTCGCTTTCAAATAATATAAAAAATATTTTCACACAAAATATCATAAAATTTAAAAGAATTGAGATATTATATAAAGCATATTAAAGCATGTTACTTCATTTCTAGTTTGGCTGGCCCCATAAACTACTAGGATGAGACATTTCATAAGTTCGCGATCTCAAACACTAAACTACTAAATCGATCCTCCTCCGGACTCTTTAGATGATTCCTGGTTAGAATCCACCAAAACACCACACCATTTCGCCAAGCTGCCCCAGGAATCATACTAAATCATACTAAATAAATAAAAACGAAAAGAACAGTTTAAAAAACTCCGCGGCAAAATGTATCGTACTGCAAATATTCGTTTTGAAACAAATATTTTAAATATTCATTCATTTTCTAATAGCTTCCTAATTTACAAGGATTTCGAAAAACTTATTTTTGGATTTTCATAAAACTGTTTTATTTATCAGTTCATGTCAATAAGGAGTAGTAAGGGTCATATCAACGGTTTTGTTATCAATGGCATAAAATGGATTCCTTAAATTTTCAAACTTTTTTTAGCGGCATCCATCGTTTCTGGATTGGTTGACTCCATCGATTGCGAGCTGATAGAACCAAAGAGTCCTTTGAGGTTAAAAATGCAGCTGTACCACAATAGCACCTGAATTTCGCCTTCAACTATAACTTTCCTGAGGGAATTAAAGAAATCTCTGCGGTAATAGGGGAAATCTCATCGAAAATCTATTTGGCTATTTTTGATTTCATCGAACAATATCCTCGTTTAGCTGCAATATTCTATTTGAGTGAGTGAGCATTTCTAACTGAGACGAATCCCAAGCACTCTTTTTTCTTGCCTTAGGCTTGATTGAGCCGACGTCGCATCCAGAGCTGCTTTTTCTAATTGCAGCACGTCGATATTAGAGCCGATTTTCTCTGTGTTCATCAAACGATGAGAACCTCTGCCGTGGAGTTGTTACTCGGCGATAGAAGAAACGACGAGCTGCTGCAGTTATCACTCGCAGTTCTGCAAATGCAGCAAGAATTAGTTAGAACTTCGGCCTCTTCGCTCGAACTCAGTTGAGAGAGAGACAAATAACGCAGCCACTGAGCCATTCCAATTGCTTATTTCTTATAATTCGTATGAACTAATAATTTTGTATCAATAAAATTAGTTGGAAAATTTTTTAAATAAATTGTATAATAAAAAAAAAATGAATTTTTATAAGACGCATTTTCGTTTTAAAATTAGAAATAGAATTCGTTGTTATTTGAATATATTTGCAACGCTCTCTCTTCAAAGGTCAACAACAATCTTGAAAATAGTTCAAGGTGACTATAATCGTGGTTCTTTATCGGACGATGTTCAGCAATAATTCTCGGAAAGGTTGTTTTCAATTGAAGGTGAAATTACTTTTAATGGTAAGAGAGTGTTCGATTACGCAAGAAAAATTTGCCCTCGTACCGGTAGTGCGCATGGAACGGCGATAAGAAAAACGAATGAGCGAATTTCGGCTAAAATAGAACGAACATTCGTGGTTCATTGATATTTGGGAAAGGAAAACAGTAGTCATATAGCTCGGTAAATGAGATGAAGATGAAAAGTGGACGGACGCAAATATTTAGAAGAATGAAAAGAGAATTGTGTCTCAATGCCCTTATTTTGCGATGTTGGCGATTTTCGACAACGACGACGACGACATAAAACGACCTTCAAAATTTTCAGATAGGGTTTGGAGACCTCGGGCCGGGGCTAAATTGACAACAACTGGAAATAGGGGCAGCCATCGACCTTTCTCAATGACTCCGTCATTCACATACCACCCGCAGCAATTCTCTTTTCTATTCTCACTTTCCCCTTCTCAGAACATTAAATATGGATCTGTCCTGTTCTTCATCTGCCCATATTAGGAATCAGCCAAATATAAAGCTTCTATCTGATTACAATCATTCTCTATCTCAGTCTAAAACTAATATTAGTCACCTATTCGAATCTGCTTCAGCTACAACAAATCAAATCCAGCATAAATCTCAAGTTTCGAATGAGACGTCTATGACTCTTTCACAGTTACTTTCAACTGTTACACCTGTACCAAATATTCTATATCGTCCCACACCGATCCGTCCATCGCAGCAATCTCCATCTTTATTAGCACATTTATCTACAAATCCAGCAAGAACTGATCAGGAAAATGTTGAAATTCCTTTAGATCTAAGTCAAACAGCATCAAGACAATCAGTTATTCAAATAGCAGCACCTCAGCAATCCTCGTTGCTACCAACATGTGCAAATCCCAATTTAAATTCGAACTGGATCGCTCTAAAATTTGGTGCCGCTGCTGGTCCGAATCGTATGTCCTATCCAAGGGAATTTAAATTGATGGTTATTGGTTATTATTTGGCTAATGGTCAGAACAAGTATCGTACTTGCAAAGAATTCCAGATAACAAAATCGATGTTGAACGGATGGCTGCAAAAGATCGAAAAAATACGTCAATCTCGACCAGGTTCGTTAAAATCTGGTCGAAGTGGGCGAAAGCCACAATTCCCCGATATCGAAAAGCAATTATTCTCTCTATATTCTTCACATCTAGAAAGTGGGCATAAAGTAGGCAATCGATGGATTCGTGAAACCGCTCGAGCCCTTGCAAGAGAGCAATGTTCTGAACAACAATTGACTGGAATGTGCCAGTTCAGTGAGAGATGGCTTAGTAATTTCAAGAAGCGTTATCACATTAATTTAAACCGAGACTGGTCATCAAGTATGAGCAGCAATGGATCAGCAGGCTCACTTGATTCAGCTTCTTTCACAACTGGTGAGAGCGGAGACCTTTCACCAAATAAAAATGACTATGACCTGGATGTTAGTGATGCCGATGACTCTGACGAAGCAGACAGTGAGAATACGCAGAGTGGTCTTCAAATTCAGATCAACAACTCAAGTGATTTCGATATCTCAGAGTCATCGTATGGAAATGCCAAGGAAATCCTAAATAAACCTGGTCAACTACCCATACAAACATTTTACGAGCGATTTCCCTGGCTGTGTCGTAAAAATATCACTGGTGTTGAACCAGGACGACGTGGACGTAAGGTACAGTTTCCAGATGTTGAAAAAGTTCTATATGAACGCCTTCAGGCCGCTCAATTGAAAGGTGAGCGAATATCAAATCGCTGGGTTCAGGATCAAGCTCGACGACTTGCTACTGAACTTTGTCCTGGAATCCTAGAAGAAGCAACGAAGTCCGCTCGATGTTTATTTTCGGAACACTGGCTCCACAATTTCAAAAAGCGTTATGCCATAACTCTTAAACCAACCGCTGATTCACAAAAGCACTATTCCATAGTTCCAGAGAGTCGTTCGCTCTCATCAGTTTCTCCGAACGAAAATCAGCCAATTGCAGTTTCATCGTCATCTTCGTCACCGTCATCATTTTCAACATCATCACCTTCTTCAAATACAACATCGATGCTTTTTCTTCGAAATTGGTTCGCCAACCAAAAATCTGCGTCCGAATCAACGACTACTGCGCTTCAATAATTTCGATGCCAATGCCTTGTTTAATGGCTATTTAAGGTAAAAAAAAACTTTCAATTATATTTATATTTATTCTGTGCTTTTATATTCAACGGTCCAAACGTGGAGTTCCACGTTTCTTCACTCCACTAGAAATAGCATAATTTTGATTCCTTTGGCTGTCATTGGAGATGAAAGTGGCTCTGAAAACCTGTCTATAAATCTATCTCCAAATAATTCTGGCAGTAATACTCTATTAGCCAATAGAGGAACCAAACAGAAATATGCTCATTAGAACTGGTATTAGCCTATTCTCCGCATCAAGCCAGCCTAATGGGCTCCTGAAATAAGCATATTTGTCCTTTCTGGATAAATTAGATTGCCGATTCTTTTTTTTTAGATGCATTAGAAATGGAAATGGAATCGTTCATTGTACTATTTTCAATGATATGGTAAATCAGTTATAAATATAAATTGCTCGAAATGCATTCATAAAAGATCGGATGCAATTATCGAAATGCCTAAGGAAATATCAACGACTCTAAACCACTATTTTTCAAACATTGCTAGAAGTTTTTAGCTTTCATTGATCAATCTCATCATGTTTACATATGTAAATTCCATCTTGGTCGAACCTAAATCGAATTACTTGCTAAAATTAATCAGCTAATTATTGAAAGCTCTTCCATATGAACTATGACCTTTAACCCTCGATGATTTCAAAAAGAGAGGGGTGAAATATCCAAACATATCATTATCATCTATTGCACTTGTTTAAAATATTTATATCCAGCTTGTATTTCACATTCCATGAATTGTGATTTTGGATCTCGCTTTTTTTTCACTTTCCACGGGTCTTAATGATTTCTTTTGTTTTTTCTTTAAATATACTGTGATTTGAACTAAAAGAGTGATAGATATAACATATATATATATTAATATTTAATGAAAATCCATCCAATTAAAAAATTTCGAAATGCTAAAAATTTTTACGAAAAAAAGTACCGAAGAATTTCCTTTTTTTAAATGGTTTTTTAAGAGATTTTAAGGCTATTATTTCCTCATTTTGCGATAATTTACCTTAATTCTCATTTATTTTTATTTTACTTTTGTTGTATTTTTTTGTAATTTATATTTTTGTATTGTTTGTATTTGTTCCAGTTATCTTTTTTATGTAATATTTTTTTGTATATTTATTTTTAGAATGTGTAAATTTTTTTTAAATTCTTTATTTGTAACTTTCTAATTTTTTTGTGAAAAATTTTATTTTTTTTGTTTTTCTCTTTTGAATAATTATTTCATTTTAGATAATTGTTTTGGCAATTATTTTAACCAAAATCCTTGCAAACTATTTCAGGTAATTCAGGTAATTTTCATTAATTATACTCTTTCACTTCAGTTATTCGGTCATAGAATAATGATAATATATATATTAACATATTTAATCATGAATTTTCAGAAGTTAGGTTTTTTGTAGCATTTATGTTGAAACTATGTTATAATGTTTGACTGTTTTAATTTTTTTTCAATGTTAATCAATAATATTTTTATTATTACAAAATTAAAATTCAATAAATTTAATAAATTTACTAAATAAAGAATCAGTCATTTTTGTGTCTTTTTTGCTTGAATAAATTTATTATTCTGATAACGGTTATAATAAACCAATCATTTATAACATTTAATATGGATTTTACATATGAATTTTTCAAAAAATTACGTATCCTATAATACCATTTAAAAAATTTCCCTCAAAAATAAAATAATTCCAAGAAAATTTTTAGATTTTATCACTGCCATTCTTTTTTTTTCGCAAATTTTGTAGTATCGTTTAAATTATCCGAATTTTACAGCAGTTACATTGATTACATTGATTACTTCAGGTATTCAGGTAATTTTGATTAATTCGAACAATAAAACATTTAACAAAATCATCAAAAATCAAAAAGCCATTTAATTTTTTGCTAAAAAAATTTTATAAAAAATACCGATTTAAAACATTCTGAATCACTGAATATAAAATCACTTATTTTTGATGATTAATACTGATATCATTTATCATTTAATTTAGTTTTTTCTATATTTTTCTATATTAAAATATATTTGTTTTTTGTAGAAATTATTAAAATGTAATTGTATTTATGTATTTATGTAAAAGTATATAAGTAAAAGTATATGCGAAAATGCGAAAATCGCTATTAAATACCAAAAAATAAATTTTTATATTCTTTAAAAAAATTATTTTTTAATATCTTTGAAAAAAAATATAGTTAAATGATAAATTTACTCATCAAAAATAAGCAAAAAAAGGCATAAAAATGACTGATTTTTTATATAGTAAATTGTTAAATTTTATTTTATTAAATTTTATAATAATAAAAATATTATTAATTGACGTTGAAAATTAAATTAAAACAGTCGAATCGAACATTAATCGAACAAATTTTTGTATTCATTCAGCACAAATGATAAGGTGAATAACAGAATGCTTCAAAAAATTTCGGATATTCTTTATTTTTTCTTTCTTTATTATTATTATTCATAAAACTATATATTAAAAATACCAAATCATATTTTTTTAATCAATTTCTCATTAGTTTTTTCTTTCTTATTTTTTATATTTTTTTATAATCGATTTCGTCCAATATTACTTCAGTTTTTTCATAAATATTATTTCATTTTATTTCTTTTCTTTATTTAATATTGTTAATTCAATATAGCTAACATTCATGATCGTTTTTTTTATTGTTTTTTAATAAATAAATAAATAAAAAGGAGAAAATAAGGCAAATTAATTATTTACGACTATTCAATTATTATATAGGGTTTCTTAGAAATATTAAAAAGAAAATTTATTAGCAGAAACAACTGACCCAAATTCATTCGATTTTGTTTATCAACTTATAAAATGGAACCTTGAGAAATTCTATAAACAGACACGACATGGGCCTTTCTAAATTTTAAATAAAATATATAATTTTACATGCATACATACGTTATATGATTTGTTATCAGTGAATCGCAATCAAATGAACAACAAACAAATGAGACTTTATTTTAGATAATAAATGAAGAAATTTTAAAAAATAAAAATTCTTTTCCGAAAAGATCGATGGAGGAATAATGAAATCGAAAAAATAAATTTTTTAAGGATAAAATAAGAATAAAAAGAATAAATCTTAATAAATCTTGAACATATTTCATATTTTTACAAAAAACTGAAAAAATTGATATTTTTCTATAAGACTGCTTATTATTTGTGCTTTGGCTTTCTTTGCTGGACAATTAGCCTTTTGCCTGGAACGGTTACTACAGTGTTGATAGATGACCAATAGCACTCGAACCAACCAAATTGATTATCGATTTGATATCAAATCAGAAGATATTTCTGGGAAGAAATCAGAAGCATTGCTTATATTTCCTAAGAGGAATAGTATTTATATTTATTTCACTATTACTATTATTGCAGATCTTCTATACGCTTCTATACGCTAGGATGGTTATTCGAATGAAGTTTATTATGGAATATTTTTAAAGCAAAAGCAAATATTTACTTAGAAAATATATAATTATCAGAGAAATATAAATTCTTAAATATAAATGTAAATAAGCGAAGATTCTTGGGAAATTGAGCGAAATTTCAGTAAAATATATTGTCAGCTGGGAGTTATTGCGAAGTTTTCCGAAATAATTTTTATATTTCTTCGACTTGATTGAAGCCGTGTGTTTCATTCCTTCTAATGGATATTATTTGCCTCTAATGTTTTTATTTTTTCTCTATATTTATAAATACTTATAAATATAAATCTTTCTTTAATTTTAAAGTTTTGCACTAAAAAAAATATTATAATAACATTATAATAATAATGGTATTTAAAAAAACTTCCAATTAAAAATCAAAGATTGTGAAACAAATATTTTGGTATATAAAAATTCCAATTCTCACCACTATGCTGGCTCCTCTGGCTGTTAGTAAGATAGAAATATTTATTTACCAGGGGCACAACTGGAGGACCAGAAGCACAGATTTATCGTTGGTACCATCGATAATTGTAGAATGTAGAAATTATAGAAATGGAATAAAATTAAATACAATAAAGAATAAAATGGTTTTATGGCCTTTTATATATTTCTTTTCCAATAAGAAAAAACGCATAAAATATGTTTAAAATATGTTTAAAAATTATCAAAAAATGACCATCTCATAAAAAGATATTTAATTATTATTAAACTATGCGATAATCCCACAAATATTAGTACTCATATCGACAAACAACTGATTTCCTTGGTTAAATTCGATAAGGCAACGGAAGGAGATGGTTTAACCAGAAATGATGAGCGCTATTATTACAATATTATTACAATAATCAAAAGCGACGTTCTTAGTCAAATAATTTCATTTTTTATCGATAAATCAAAAAATTTTTTTTATTATATTTTATTTTTGATTTATATTTATCATTATTTCATATATTTATCATATTATATTTTATATTTGTATTTATTTTATCATCTTTTTTTTTGATTTTAAACCATTCCCGAGTTATCACAGTTGAGAATATTTGCAATGTGTTTTGTTATGAGAAAACCGATTTAACCAAACTAAAGAGTTAAAGAGATTAAAAATTCTAGAAATGCTTTTCATAATCAATGAAATAATGTCGAGAAAAAAGTTTTCGAGGAAGAGCCAACAATTATTTCGAAAAACATTAAATCTTAGTGATAACTGTGGGCGATAAAGCGAAAGAACTAGTGTTATTATAGATAGACAGAAAAATAAATAGATAGCCTCAGGCTGAAGAGGTTTTAAAAAACCTGTAGGCGTGTAACTGCTGTTGCTGTTATTACTGCTTTTGCTGACGAGGTGAGCTGGTGAGCTTCTTTAACTAAAATCAAACCCTTTCTCTTGTTGGTGTGTTGCTTCGATTGTTTTCAGAGTTCAATTAATTAAATTTCCAAATGGTAAATTTCCTTGATTTTTTTCTTTTTTATATTAAATATATATTTATTTATATTATTTACATTTATATATTTGTTTTATTTATTTAATTAATTTGTTTGTTTATTATCGTTTATTTATTTAATATTGCTTATTAATTTTATTGGTTTATACAATACTCTCGATTGAGAAATTTTCAACTTTCGTCTTTTCAGGCCGAAGATATTGAAGAAATTCTTGCCGAAATCGATGGCTCTCAAATTGAAGGTTTCATTTTCGACAACTTTCACTTCATTTCATTTTACTCTATTTAATTCCTCAAGGGCGAATCTTTCGCAAATGCATCGTAATTTATTAACTGACAAAGGACATTTTTCAATTTGCAAACGAAAGAAATTATTTGCTTATTAAAAATTATAAAAAATTATCCAATAATATATTTTATTCACTAAAATTAAAATATAAAACAAAATGCGTTTTAAAAAAATATTAAAATGTTTTTTCCGAATTATAGAAAATATGGAAAATAATAAAATTATAAAAAAGCTAAATTACTAAAAAAATTACTAAAAACTTATTTATTGAATTTAATTAAATTTATTTTGTTGAAAAAAAATTATTAAATTTTTTGATTTGTCAAAATTTAATTTTTCAAACTGAATAAATTGATTAATGAGTAGGAAAATTGCTAATCGCTAATTGTTAGAAATAGAATGGCTCAGTTGTGAGCTATTGCTCCAGAATGCTCAGCTCATTCTACTCCTCCTCTCAAAAGTAAATTTTTCTTTCAAATATCCGAGCGCTGCTTATTAATCACCATTAGTTGACTAGCAAAATTCGTCAAATCCAACATGCCAGTGGAAGATGAGTTCAGCCAGAAATGGCAATAAGAGAAACTCAACTCAATGAAGAACGATGTTAAGATATTGTTCCTTAAAATTTCCACCTTGTTTCTCATTTTTCCAATTTCCATTTATCCAATAACTTCGCTCATTGCGCATTTATACGATATATTTTCTAGAATATCAAAAATTTTTTGATATGTTTGATCGTGGAAAGCAAGGTTATATAATGGCAACACAAATTGGACAAATTATGCATGCAATGGAACAGGATTTTGACGAGAAGCAACTACGCAAATTAATTCGAAAATTTGACGCGGACGGTTCGGGCAAATTAGAATTTGATGAATTTTGTGCACTCGTTTATACAGTTGCAAATACTGTCGATAAAGAAACCCTTCAAAAAGAACTACGCGAAGCATTTCGTTTATTCGATAAAGAGGTTCAAAACTAGTGAATAATTTTTATTTCGAAAGGAGAATTATTATTTTTCGGTGAATAATCGAGCGGTTTTTTAAAGGGTAATGGTTATATTTCACGTCCAACATTAAAAGCACTATTGAAAGAAATCGCTGATGATTTAAGCGATGATCAACTCGAAGCGGCTGTCGATGAAATTGATGAAGATGGCTCGGGAAAAATTGAATTTGAAGGTAAGGTAATAGATAGCACACGAATTTCTATTATCACAAAACGAGATTTTCCAAAGGAAATTTAATTCTCAAGCAAATTTTTATGGATGCATGAGATGAGAATCGTTGACGAACGAATGACTATTATTTCTAAGCATCGAATCATAAAATGTTTGTTTATGATATTCTGAATGGAATTCAGTAATATCGTTATTCTCATTCTGAGCACCGAAGCTGGAATTCTACTCTCAGCAAAAATAAGTCTGTCCTTCAGAAATGCGGGTTATCCTGGCTTCGCCTGTGCTTGCTTGTGCTTTTATCGCCAAGTGACAACTCTCTTTTTCTCTCTCAAAATTTTTCTGGTCCACTGGAACAAACCTAACCAAAAATAGTGGGCGCTTTTAGAAAAAGAAAGCATTTAAAGAGATTTGCCTAAAAAAAAATGCGATTTTTAGAATTTTGGGAACTGATGGCAGGTGAAGCTGATTGATTTGCATCAAAGTCGATTGATATATTGCATGAAAAAGTAAATGCTCTCATGAATTTTTCCACTTAAATACTATCGTGCAATCAAAGGATCAAATTCGAAAGTCCATCATTGATAAAAAACTGATAAGATAAAATAACTTTTCATAAATTATAAGTGATTTAATCTTGCTTATTTAAAAATATCTTATAGAATTTTATGGAATTCCCTTTTTGTCGTACATTTAGAAATTTTTTTCTTGAATATTTTAGATAATTTTTCTTATTTTAATTATGTATAAATCGAGAGAAAATTTTCGTATTATAAAGAGAATTTTCCATAGTTTTCATTCCCGAAAATTTCAATCGAATTTTTTTTAAATAAATAAATCGAATTATTAAAAGATGTTTTTTTGCAATTTGAAAAATATATATTTTTATATATTCAATGGAAATTGAATAGAAATTATATAATTAAGGATGAATTGTTTAAATGAAGTGATAAGATAAATTTTTTATTGAAAGATTAAGGATTTAGTGTAAAAACCTTAATAATAATTTAGAACTAACTCTAATTTTTCTTTACTTTAATCCATTTTGATCGTTAGAAATTTCATTCGAACGTAGAGATAACTTATTCTTATTGAAATTTATTATTATTATTATTATCATTATCATTATTATTATTATTAGCTCATATATTTATTTTTTATTTTTTTTCCTTTCGAATTTCATTGTATTTATATTAGTTAAAACAGGCAAAAATTAATAAATAATCACTCATGAAACGCAATTTTCAATGACTTAAATATGGAATTTATAAGAAAATTCATTAACAATTTCATTTAAAACATAGACGACTCGTATATCTCGTAAAATAAAATTTAAATAGGAGCAAAAATAAAATAATTGGAGGTGAAATGCGGATGGTTATTAAAGAAACACAAATACATCCATCGCTATATGAAGACTATCAAACATTTCAAAATATTTCTGTTTTTTATTATTATTTATATTATTTACAAATATGGGCAAATTTTATTTTTTTTTATTTTCAATGAACGTAGACAATATTATAATAATAATAATATTGCTTGAAGGCAACCATGAAAATGTTGTTATAAATGCAACAATAAATGAATGAATTATTTAATAAATTTGAGCCAAACTAGGCTTTTAGAAAAACCAAAAATTTACTCAGCTTATATGAAAATCCACAAATTTTTTCCCACTTTTATTATTTTAATATTAAAATATTTCAAAATATTTCATTAAAGATTTCATTTAAAAAAAATTTGCATAAATAATGAAATTAAATTAAAATAGGAAAAAAAATTATGGAAAATCTAAATGGTAAATTCGTGTAAAACTATAAAAAAAATTTTGCGCCTAATTTACTTCTAAAAATTTTCATTAATTATATTAAATCTAAAAAATATTTAAACAATGGTAATTAAAAAAGAATTAAAGAATTAATTAAAAAAGAAAAACAAATATTATAAAAATTATTATTAAATTCCATACCTTTCATCATCAAATTTATCTAAATTTGATAAACGATGTACGACGGGTACAATTATTAATAAAATAATAGAAATCACTATTGTACAAATAAGAAAGACCCAAAATAAGAAGCGATCGATGATTTGAGCTACTTGTTGCCATTCATTTATTACTCTTTGAGAGCATTCCTCCAAGTATCGCTTCTTAAGTAACATCTAAAATTTCGAAGATTTATGCTAAAATATGCAAATTAGAAACCGAATTTGCAAATATAGAGATAGAATAGCCACGTGTGAGAGTGATTTCGCTCAGATTATCACACCTTGAGTCCCAATGTTCAGCTAATGTAGTAAATCTGACGTTGAAAAATTCCACTGGAGCTGGAAGGCTCATCTTTATCTCTAGTCGCGTGCAATAACCTACATCCAATGAAGTGAGCCTAACAAAAATGGTGATACTTGCTTACTTTATAAAAAAAAGAGTGTTACTATTTCAGCTCAATCTATAAATAATAAGAACTTGAGAATACAACAGAACTGAATTTCATTTTCACCAGTCTCCTTAATAATAAATATTCTTATAAAACAGCAAATTCGAAATATTGGAAGTTTAGCGTAAATTTTAAGCAACAATCAGCTTATCAGACGTAATTTGTAGGTTTAAATGCTTCGGAAAATCACGAGATAATATATTTATATAGTAACTGATAAACGATATTATTAGATAATATATCTATCGAATATGAACATTCGACTTGGCTAGAAAATTTCGCTTTAGGCTCTTAAAAAATATTTTAAAAACGCCGTAAATCATGCAATGATGCACATTCAATATCGATTTTCAACGCTAATTTTTCAATCTAATTTTCAATCTATTATTTTATTATAATAATTATTATAAATAAGTTACGCGTAAAGCCCTATAAATATGTTCATCTGGCATCGAAGTGACCGTGCAGTTATTTTCAGAATGTTTTTCGCCTACATTACGTCTTAGCAAGGCGCTTTCAGAAATAAATGGTTGATTATCGAGACCATCATACCCAGTAACACCTGAAATTTTTGTTGAAAAAAATTATAAAAACTTAAATTAGTATTAGAAAATAGAAAATATTTATATTCATAGGGTTTAGCATCAGTGCTGCTTATTTTATATATAAGAAGCCTAATTATGACAATGAAATGTGGCCATAGCAGTTAAAAAGGAAAGTATGAGAGCTATAATAATTATAATTATAAAAATTAATCCCCTTAATAGATGGTGTCATGAATTCCAAAGGCCAATAGAGAGTGAGAGGTTAGTGAAAACGAAGAACGTATAATTGGTAGGTGGTGGGACGATTGAACGTACTAAGGCCAAGCAGAATGAACATAATTTCTGGTATTTGATGGGACTGAACCTGATACAAAAAAATGAAATCCTGGCGATGGCGCTGTAGATTCAATCTATATCTATCACAAACCAATGATACAACGAAATAATTTCAGTTAGCCAAAACAGAAATAACTGGTGTTGTTGAAAGTGGAAAAGGAAAAAGAATGCGAAAAACTTTTCAATTGTCGAAAGCGAAAAGGAAAAAAAATTTAAAAAATGGAATTCTTTACCAATTGCACATTTTAAGTCGAAGTCTGTTGGATTTTCATCAGCGCTCAAAATATCATTATTATTGTTAGCATTGTGTTTTAACTGCATTTTCAAAATTTTCCGCAGTTTACCGAGAACAGAAAATCGAATCCATGGTGGCACAGTACGACAATATGGACCACGATGGTGAAAATTAAGTACCTGAAAATTAAAATTAAGCAGAAAAATGCAAGCTAACTGAGCGAATACTCGTACTCTTTTTCGTTATTTTAGTGTGCATGCAGAGATTACCGCATTCTATTGAAAATAGAAACTCACCATAACTGTCATAACCACCGATATACTTGTCATACCCATGACCATTGATAAATAAATACCAATTAAGGGCACCGAATCGCTTGTCTCAGGTATCTTTTCAGCTATTGTTAATACAAAAACCTAAAAATAGTCATGAAAAGTCTAAAAGACTGAATAAACTTTGCAAATATTTAAATTATTAAACGAAATAAACTTGTTGCTTATTCAAAAAACTTGCTCTAATGTTAATAGGCAACAAGGATCGAAGCAATTGAAAAATTTAAAAAAAGTCTTTGAAATTATTGAGATAAATATAAATATCCTTAAAAAATACCCATAGTTCAGCGCTAACAACGAATATATGAAAAAATACCAAACAACATTACCGAAAATGCTAGTAGAACTGTGATTCCAAGAGCTATTTTTTCGCCAGAATCAGGTGGAAGCAGAAATACTGAAGTGAAATTTCATTAACCAACCTAATGAGTCTTGAAATAGCTTTTGATTATGAAAGGTATTATCCACAACATTAGACTTACTAGAATGCTAAAAAAGTACCAGAAATAGAGATCAGAATTTATCGAAAATGGAAGCGGATTTTAGCTGATTCGATCTAATAAAAATTTTATAGCCTATTGGTTTGAATTTTTGCTTTTACTAAAAAAATAATTTAGCTGAATGCAGTATCGAAATTTGCGTAAAAATACACAAAATAACAATAAATTATTACATAAAATAAAAAGTAACCTAAAAGTGTGAGTATCGACATCATCAAACACGGTAGAATAATATTATATAGATAATATAAAGTCTGAAAAAATTTCACTAAGATTAAAATTCATTAGAAATTTAAAACCCATGAAAAGATTAGCAACGATGAGAGATATCATTCATTCAGAAATCCGGATTGCATTCGCATCCACGTATGCTTCTGTCGCCAAGTGATGTCGAAATTTGTGGCAAAATTTATCTCATCTGATAAACCTATGGAATCCACCTAAGTCAGTTTAACCAAATGAATGTCCAAAAAAATGAGATAATTAACTAACTTTTCGTTGGATATGAATAAAAAATGTGACATCCGGATATAATTCAGGACAACAATTGTATTTAACAACTTTTCTTTTTTGATTGACGTTTACTAAATCGAATTCTCCGGAAATAACATAATTACTCAAATCGACATTTTCACTTCGATTTATTATATCCAGTTGAATGCCTTAAACAAAGATGATTGAATCTAGAAATTCGATAGATGTTCGTTGACCATTCTAATGACCATTCTATTATTGTCGATATTCAGCCAAAAAAAACGCTAACTACGGATTTTCAATTCTAATATATTTTAAGAACCGATAAAGAATTTGAAAGTAATTACCATGATATGACCATGAACCAAATTTCAGAGCGCAATGTTGTCGATCAAAGGGAAAATAAGTCACATCAACTTTACATGTGCTCCTTAACTGCGCTGGTGGTGGCCAAAAAACTGAACCATCATAAAATAGCATCGCACGAGACTCCACATGGCCAATGCTATAGTCATCAGCACTAAAGTACCAAATACATATAGTTCGATTTGGCAAAAAATGGCAAATGATATTTGACCTGTACGATAAGATGAAGTCATTTAACCTATTTGACTTCATTAATCTTTTATTAACTTTTTTTCCAGGTTAGATTTTCCTGTTCTATTCAACAACAACGAAATATTTAGAAAAATTTTTTTGTGAATAAAAATTCTTTGTCTGATTGCTTGAGAAATTCTTTTACCGAAATAATTCAGCTACATTTCAGTATTATTTATTTTTTGATTTTTTTTATTATTTTATTGCTTATTTATTATTTACTAATATTAATATTATGGAAAATAATTCAGAAAAAAACTGAAGTAAATTCAACATTAAAACAAACTTATTGTATAGAACAATATCAGGTAACCATATTAAATGACTGGGTATTCGAATAGATTCAATTCCATCGAAATCTGAAGGATCCCACTGTAATAATTCATCCTTCCATTCCTAAATTGGTACCAATGTATTTTGCTTTAATATCGATACATTACTAATTATAATTATAAAAAACATGATTATTTAACAAATTAAAAATTGGCAAAGTTACTCTTAACTTCAAATATTTGCAAATATAATTCATAGCCATGTGCTGATGTTAGAAATAAAATTAATTAATAAAAAACAAATATTGATAAAAAATTAATAAATAAAATAAAAGAACTATAAAAAAGTACAAAATATATAAATTCAAAATTTTTTATGTTTTATGTTTATTTATATTTTATATATTTCATAACATTTTTTTTATTGCGATCTCATATAAATCTAAGAATTACAACTTAATATTTCATATTTTGTATAATACTTTAAATAATATATAAAATATATAAAAAAATTTAAAATAAATAAAAATTTAATAAATAAATAAAAAATTTTCACACTTGGGACCTTTAAGAAAAAGTTGAGCTAAATGTTATCAAATTATCTATCTTCATCTCCATGATAAAATTTTATTCATTTAAGTTTCTTTTTTTTTGAAAAAGAAATCATCCAAGTATTCACCTGGTCTAGCCAAACGTTTATTGTTAAAACTTGATTTTTTTCGTCCTGAAATTCAAATTCAAGAAAAAATTTTGACATGAAAAGAAAAATATATTTCACTAATTGCACTTCTAAAAGTAAATAAATTTTTTCCACATAAAATAAATATATTTAAATAAATAAATAAATATGTTTTGCATAAAATTTGCAAAAAAAATATTTATTTCTGAAGCCAAGAAAAAAAATAAGTGATAAGAGAGGAAATTTGACGGAAATTTAAGCTTATCAACATGGCAAATTTAAGCTTATCAACATGGATAATTTAATTGTTTTAATTCATGCACTTTCATCTTTTATCTTTTTATTTTATCTTTCAGCTATTGATAAAGAAAACGAGATAAACGAGAAAAGAGTCTCATTCCCATCAAAAAAGTTGAAAGATATAAATCTTTCGGAGCGATTCCGCTTCCTCACTTCACTTCACTTTTATCCGACTTCACTTTTTACAGTATTAGCTTCTCTTTGCCCATGGACTCTTTCTGGATGAATAGTTACCTGGTCGGAATGCGACATTTTGCAATATTATTGAATTGAAAAAGGAATAAAAATAAAATTAATTAGTAAAAGTAATTATACTTTTACATAATTATTATATAAAAGTAATCATATAATTATAATTAGTAATATTTTCTTTAATAAATATAATACCGTTTTAATAAATTTAATACCATTTCAAAAATATTCGTCATAGTCATTCCGAGTTTGACGGTTACAGTATGTGACGGATTTCGTACAGGGCGAACTGATTTTTCGTAATTTTTCATCAAAAATTGCAAAAGTCGTTGTTCGCTAGTTTCAATTCGATTTTTAGCTTCTACTTTTGCTAAATTTACCGTATTAATTTGGCTAAAAAATGGCAAAATCAATTGAATTGAAAAAAAAAATTAAATATTAAAGTAGAATAAAAAGATATTAAATAATTGTAACGTGGATTCTGTAACGTCGATGCTGAGGCTCTATTTCCGATGAGAATAAAGCTGCCTTTTCGAAATCTAAGTGGTGCTGGCGACTCATCTATACTTCTCTCGTTACGTGATTCCCTCGTGTCTGCCTCAACAAGCCAACCGAAAGAGCCAACTGAGGTGATTTTCAAAAAGCGCATTAACAAAGAGTTTTCACTCATTATTAATTATAAGGAATTTCCATGAAATGAATGGATTTTCACAATTTTTTTTAGTAAAAATAGTGACAAATAGCGTTTCCCGATGGAAATCACTTATTCGATTCTCGCAGATTTTAGTCGCAAAGGAAAGAGAACATCTCATTTTCGGTTACAGTGGAAACCCCTTCTTCTTTTTCCCCTCTCCTCTTTAGTTTACCACCCATGAAATTTCGATTTTCATTCGAATCATAATATTTTCTAAGATTGGCATTTCTCATGCACGCGAAATTTGTTCATAAATCAAGACGAATCAATCATTTCGATAGCTTTTTTTGCTACCCAACTAATACATCGTTTCTTTATCGATATTATCAAATCTCTTGAGGAATAAGAACAAAATAATTTTTCATTATTCAACGAGAGAAAAATTTCAATTTTTTTAAAATTCGCTTGTCTTAGTATTATAAAAAATTTACGAATTTACAATATATCTAATTCTTATACAGTTCGATAGGAATAAACTTTCATTCATTGAAAAATTCCAAATGCTGGCTGGCGACCCAAATGCACTTCCATCATTCACTTCTATTACCAAATAATTCCGGGAGAAAAATAACAGCCAGTGGAACTAACCTAAGTGGAGCGAGCGGTAATCGCTTACAACGTTCAACTTATTCTATTCATATGCAAGCTTTTTAAATTAAAAAAATAAACGTATTATTTAAATAATATCACGATAATGATTTTTAACAATTTTTGCATAAAAATTAAAATAATTAAATAATAATTCAATCAATAAAGAATAGAAAAAATCTTTTATTTCATCAATCTTTTATGAATTTTTTAAATTTTTTTGTTTCGTTAAATTTTCAAGAATTTACGAGAATAATAGTTATCATTTATTATAGTGATATAGTGATAACTACAACTTTGAGATTATTGTTATGGAGAAATCCTATTTAGAAGCTGTCATTAAAATAATTAAGTCCTATTAAGTTATAATGAATGTATGAATGTTGAGCTGACTGAAATAATCAAATCATTTGGAATGTTCAATCTTATTATATCGTTGCTGCGGTCGAGTCTTATTTTGGGTTTATTATAATCTTCTAACAGTTCTCTCCATAACAGTTCTCTGGTTAGGCTGGCTCCAACGACTACAAGAGTAAGACGCTTCCAAACGACGCGGTCTGATGCTATCGTCGACAGTAATAGAAGCCATTCCTTTTTCCATCTTGTCCACCTATATATTCAAAATCTTTCCTGACCGTATCAGTCCAGGTGTTGATTGGCCCACTTCGCTTTTGATGCCATCCGTCACACGGTTTAGCAAATAACGAAATATGCGACAACTCTTATGGTGGACGACGGAGAACGTCCCTAACCAGCGAAAGCGACGCTCTGTGATAACATTATTAATACAGGTAGTATTTGAACGAAGACTGATGCAATCATGTGATATTTTATCTGCTCGACGGACGGTTATTATAATAGTTTATTATAATAGTTGATTCAAATCGAGCGATTTCTATATGTCCTCTCTCGAGGTGAGAAATGCAAATTAAATTAGTATTTAAAAAAAAATTCGTGAGAAATTTAAGTTAAGTGTCAATTCACAGCGTTAAAGTGTTTTCGCGATTCAATCAGTTTAATCAGTTTATCATTAAATACCTAATGCATTCGCCAACATTCGTTGACTATTAGATGTCTATCGAATCGCAATTAAAAATCTTTTTTTTATCATAACACTTCTATTCGTTTTCCTTTCTCGCAAACCAATGGGAATGAAACGAGAACCTTTCTTAATTTTCTTCATTTTATAACTAATAAATAAGAAAATAATAAAGAAATCATAATGTTTAGAGCAAATAATCATGAAGAAAAATCTACGAAACAGTAAATCAGAATTATTTTTTATTTTCGTCCAACTGTGATAAATTTATCAATCCAGCTTCGACTCAATAATGCAATGATTTTCTTTCTTTTTTAGAATTCAAGAAATATGCTAAATGATTAATCCGTTAATGTAATACAATGTTTTTATAATAAATGTATTTTACAAACTACAAATTTTACAAATTACAAATAATTCTTGAGGAGTAAAATAAAAAGGGACACCTTTCGCATAATCCAGTAGGAAATTTTGGTTCTAAAATTCTCATCTGATAAATTTATAAGTTCCACGGATTTACAATAATATATAAAAAAAGTAATTGATAAATGAGAACCAATACGAAACAAATTCTTTTCTATTATTAATTATCAAACTATTATCAAATTATTACAATTAAAAGCGGTATGAAGCAAATGACTTAATTTCTGTAATCTGTAATTCCGTGAGAGGAATGATCCCATTTATGTTTCTATCGCCATGTGATTTTTAGCAAAAATTTATTTGGTTCCACTCGCCAACAAACAAAAATAAAATAAAAAAAAATGGAAATAATCTGAGTAATAAAAATTCGAATCCGCCTAATTATCGCATAAAATGAAACATTTATCCTGAAGGACAAATATTCTTCCTTGCAATTTCTTCAGGATCGGAATTTTTCAGTTATTTAAAAAAATGCTTTCAATGCTTGTTTAATCACCATTAAAAGCCAAGCTCAATAACTTTCAAGTATTTCGTGGTAAAATGATAATCGAATCTCTAAAACTGATAACAATTTCTTTCTTAAAGAAAAACAAATGGTTATATCATTACAGTCACATTAAATTTAGCTTTAATGATAGACTTAGTCGAAACTTTTGCGTCGAATTAAGTTTAATATAAAAAAATAAATAAAAATAATTAGGCGAAAACATACCGAAATAGATAAAGTAAACTGATAAACTGATAATAAGCGAAAATAAACGATAATATGTAAAAAACATTAGTATCAAATGTGTTAACTGTGGTAATCAAGAATATCGCATCAATAGAATAATTTTCAAAAATGGGCGTCCGAAACCATCGAATAACTGCGATGCCAGCAGCGATAGTAATAGTAGTAAAAGCAGTAACATTTCAAAAGATAATAAATAAATCCGTTTTCAAAAGAATCAATAGAATTTATGAATAGAAATAGCATAAAAATTGCGAAATATAAAATGATTTCAATGATTTCGCCAGTGATTTTATCAATCGAACCAAAAAGAATCTGAAAAAAAGTGAAGCGAAAATCATGGATGACAAATAACCCAAAAAAAACTGAGTCGCAAGTTGCATGAAAAAAAAATAAATTAAAACCTCAAAAGAATAGTGGCAATCGAAGAAATTTCGGATTGAAATAAATCTTTACTAGAGATTTAATAAAATTATCTTAAATTATAAAATAGATTAACCAGAAATACCCAAAATAACAACGAATTCGGAAGTTTGTTTAATTGAAAAATTAAAATCTGCATATACAATAAATCCTCAATATTCTAAGAGGACGAATAGCATCGCCTTTAGTCATCTTTAACGTATTAAGGATGGGATGACACTATGCAGAATACTGTGAGAAGGACTTGCAAAATTTTCAAGATCGCTTTAGTTAATGGAGGGGTCCGCAGGTGTCGCATTTCCATGTCGACGCTAATTGCCAATTGGTGAAGTATTGCATGGACACAACGTTCCTTACGTGTAAAACAAAAATTGAAAATCGTGCTTCTTAAATCGAATCCAAAATTAATAATAGTCGAATCTCACTCAAATCGTATTAAAACTAAATCAAATTAAATAAGGCAGCTAGATGCTATTCAAGAATCCATTAATCTTCGTTAGAACCGAACCATAGGTCTCTCTTCTCTCAATATTTATAGTTTTGTTAGAAAAATCGAAAATGGCCAATTGAATAGGCCAGAGATTATCAGTTGGCGTATCGCTGCTATACACTACACATATCTGACCTATTTCTCTTAAATTTTGAAGAGAAAATGATACTATACTTAAAATACTATTTGCGTGATGTTATGTTTGGTCCTTTGGTTTCATTTGATATACAATTATTATATTTTATCAGTTTACAATTATCAATTTTTATCAATAAAAATTAATGAAGTTTTTGATCAAGATTCTGTAAATGTCCTTAAATTATAAATAAAAAATCAAATTTTTAAAAAATTTATAGATTAATTAATAAATTAATTGATAATAGTCGACCCAAATCGTATTAAAACTAAATCAAATTAAAATAAAGCGGAAATAAATAAACAAAATAAAATTAGAACTTAAAAAAATTAAAAAATTAAAAATCAAATTGAAAATTAAAAAATTAAAATTAAAAAAAACTGAAAAAATTAAGTTATAAATTGAAGAATTAAGAACCAGAAAATTTCGGATTTCAAACGAAATAAGAAAATGCGAAAAAATAAATAAACCTTTAAAAAGGACAATCTTAGCCGATGAGGGACGTCAGGAAATTTTCAGTTAATTAAATAAACTATTTATGAAAAAAACTGTTTCAAAACTAAAATTATGAGTAAAATTACCTAAAATTATGAGTAAATCATCAAAAAATTCTCTCTAAAGGAAGCATTCACGATGGAAAATAAAATAAAATATAAAATAGAATGAAAGCAAAAAAATAGAAAAAAAAATTAATTGATTCGACAAAATTTAGCACCTATTAGAATTTTATGGTGATTTCCATTATTAATCTCAAATTTACACCGACCTCATTTATTACATTTCGATTTGCTGCTATCTTTTTGCCAAACAGGACCAATTAAGAGAAATGCAAATGTGGTTTTGAATGATAAATGTATTGAATGATAAGTGGCCCAGTGATACGGGCTCAGATGGTCGATAAAAAATGGTCTCAATTACTTTTAGAAATGATATCAGATCAGATTGTGAGGGTCGCAAAAATCTTAGCCTAGTCGCTAGTGGGACCAGCGAAACCAGCAATGGTGCGAGTTGAAAAAGAAGAAATCTAATCGATTAACTTTTATTAGAAAATGAACTTCGTAATTAGTAAATTAATATCTCTCGGTTGACCGTATTAGGACATAAACCAATGCAAAAGCTAAAATTAATTCAGTAACATAGGAGCTAACAATACAGTTCTCTGATATTATGATTTAAATTAAGCGATCACCAATTTTTTTAAGAAGCCCTCACCATCACCGATTAGACTCGCTCCGCTGGCTTACTGCATAAGAGAAATGTGCTAAGGAGTCCTCGACGATATAAGAACAGGTGAGTCGCCCGGATTTTTGGACAGGTTTACTCCTGTAGAACCTCAGCACCAGCGCTTTTAACATACTGAGCCATTGTATTCCAACCATTTATTCCGACATTATTATTTTCCAGACATTATTATTCGATAATTTTTTTTAAATAACTTTTTCGAAAATATTTTTCATCAGAAAAGATTTTGAATATACAGGTGGACCAGCAATATACGGACTTAGAAGATGGAAAAAGGAATGGCTTCTATCGACTGTCGACGATAGCATCAGACGATGTCGACGCGCTACGTTTTACCCCTTCTAGCAGTTGGATCCAACCTAATCAGTGAGAGCTGTAAGAAGAAGAAAATATTTTTCATCATAAATTTTTAGTCAGATTGCCTATCTTATTTTTTCGTATTTTTCTTCCTATAAATAAATAAATAATTTTAATTCTATCGGTATCATTCAATATGTCAAAATATCAAAAAATAATGTAAATTATTAAAAAACTATAAATTTACGAATAATTTGCCGTTACCTTGATATTAACAAGAACAGACGAGCAAACGAGTAGATTTTATCAGAAACTGAGGTCATCAAATAAGCCCACAAAGAAGAATAATCAATAACAATTGGCCTGATTATATCGCCATCTTATGAAAAGACAAAAGTCAACAAAAATAATCAAATCACCACACAAATCATCATGTTCTAGTCTCCTTCTGCTGCATATATGTCTTTCGCGCCGCCAATAAATCATAAAGCTTCTGAAAAAAAATGTTTATTCAAAAAATGTTAAAAATTTTTATGTTAAAAAAATGTTTAAAATGTTTATTTTTATTCCACAATAAATATGAATCAATGAAACCTCCAAATATTTCCGAAGTACAAAGATTTGCGAATTAGTAAAATCCAATGAAAGTAGTTGAAGTAGAAATAATAAAATAGAAATAAATAAATAAACTAGAAAAAATATAAAAAAAACCAAAAAAAATTTTTTAAAGAAAAAACCTTTGATAAGTTATCTTCAAGAATTATTGGTTCATCGTTGGAATCGACAATGCTAAATTCGCTTTCCTTATCAATAATATATTCAGGTGGATAAACATCGAGCAAATGATGCCGTGGTTGAATATCATTTAATATCTTGATTAATTCATCGCTAACAACCTTGAAGGAAATAAGAAATTAGAATATATAAATTTAAAAAATTTTTAAGGGCCAAAAAAAAGTACAGATAACTAGAAAATGAAATAAAACCTTTTTTAGATAAATTATGGATGAAATCAGCAGCGGCATCGTTACTTTACTATTAAAATTTGATAATATCTGACAAAATTCATCATAATTGTTATTATCTAATGCAACAATTAGGTGATAAAATAATGATCTTCCATTATCCTTTAATTTCTCTGCAATGATTCTCAGTCATTTCACAATTTACTAAATAAAAAACCATAAAATAAATATACTAAGGTCGAAACGTCTGCCACTAAATAGCTAGAAGAAGAAGAAGAACAAATATACCATAAAGTTGGTCTGTCGTTAAGCTATATAGTGTGGACAATCGATGGAGACATTCAACTTCAGAATGAACAATAATGCCGCTGAAAATTGAACCAAAATTGTCAAATTTTTTCAAATTTTCTTTTCTTCACTTACTTTAGTTCCACTAAAAATTAAATGAATTTTTCAATTCAATAAATCTACTTATTTTACTTATTCACTTTTTTCAATACAAGAAATATAAGAAAAAAGACAACCAGCAAACGAAGAATAAAAATGAAAAACTTTACGCTTTGATGTACACTCGTTGTTTGTGAATGTTTAGAATTTCATCCGTAGGATAACTGGAACACCGTTGTAAATAGTGAATAGCAAATGGAATGTACCACAAAAATTCCGATAAAATTGCAAGAAAAAAAGTCATTTCATCATTACGTGAGCTCCCACCTATGCAGTAAAATTTTATTCCATAAATACAAAATAGAAAATTATTGATCGAAGTTTTTTATCATAAAAGTACTTTGAATTCTTAGTATTTTGAATAAAAATTTTCGAGATTTTTTAATCGATTTCTATTTTTGAATCAATTGGCAATAAAGCAATAAGTTTAAAAAAGAAAAAAAAAAGTAAAATCCTGGATTTTAGACAAAAAAAGGATTTTCACCATAAAAATCTGCCACACTGTTGAAATGAAACATTGTTGTGGTACTGAAATGATGTTTGTTATAAAGGCCTTTTGCAATATAATACGAATATTTCTTGATTGCTAACTCCTGAAAAAATGATTTAAAACCATATAAACATAATCCAATAGGTATGCTTCAATGAGTATTATGATTTACGATATCTAATCAAATCGTAATTAATTTAAATTTACAATTTGAAAATTTAAAACAAACAGTAGGTTTAAGTGACAGAGAATGACGAAACAGATCCATCGTATCGTAATGATTCTCTGATTCAGCCAGTAAAGCCTCAAATTTTTTTTCTTGAAAATTATCAAAATTGAAAGAAAAAGAATGAATGAAAAAATCTTAAAAAATAAACATTGCAAAATATGTACAAGCTTATCAAAATATAACAGGAAGAAATGGAAAAATAGAACAATTTAATCTGAAAGAAATGGACAAAAAATAAAGCACTTACAAGAGAACACCAAACTTCAGCAGAATTTGGATTACATTTTTGTCCCATATCCAATGCTGCTTTAGCCAATGAATACTTTAATAGTAATTTTTAAGCAAATAATTGCAACTAAGAAAATTTGTTTAATTTTCCGTTGTCTTTTTCTCTTCAATATTCGTATTAGTCACTAATATTCTTCATGTAATAAAATTAAGACCACCGATAATCAAATACTTTAAAAATTAAACAACCATTTAAAGTCAAAAAAAATTAAAACCAACTCTAATTTAAAATTTAACAGAGTAAAACGCATTTCAATGAACTATTATAATTATAACTATTTGGCAAAATGACTGATTATGTTTTAATGGTTTTCTATAAAATGTGTTTCAAAAAATACCAATTTGCATCTGATATATAACAAGCCTAATAAACACCATGCAACATCATTTCTCTTGTTCAGTTGCAAAGATCGAACTAAGCAATGTCTTTCTCGATATTTATTGCCACAACATTCCACAGCTCTCGATAGATTGGTCCAATATATTGATTGCGAGGTTGGCACTTTACACAGTAAGATAGCCCGCTTGAAGCATAAACTCGCCCTATAATTGATATAAACAAAAATTTTTTTCGAAAAGAAAATTTAGTCAAAATTAGGCTCATTAAATGACCAACTACAATCGTGAAATATTAGTAGATGAATTTCGTTTTCTTTCCAAACTGAATTCTCGTCATGAAAAATAATTAACCGAACTTTAAAAAATTCAATTAAATAAATCCCAAAATGAAAATAAAAATTAAAACATTCAGCGAGTAAATCAGAAGAATATTTTGGACAAAAAAAATGCAAAGACATGTTCGATACTTACTTTTCAGCCCATGCTTTGCTTCCTGTCAGTCGACTTTTATGTAAAAGTGCGATACCAAGATCATTCCAAGCCGCTGGCGTAGGCTGTATCTTTAAAATTATACAGTAAAACTGAGCAGCAATATTAACAGCGTCAACTTGGTTCTTAATCGCCCAACTCTTGGGAAATTGGAATAAACGAAAAGTATCTTGATGAAATCTGAGAGAAAGCATTAACGAATCTCCAGCACATTTATAAGCTATTAAGGACAACTGATTTTGTTGCAATGCATTTTCGACTATACTAAAAAATTTCTTAAGTAATTCATATTGTCGAGAATATGTTGTGCCGTTTGCCATAAGTAAAAGAGTCTGAATGTGAAGTAGCGAAGCGCACGATGCATATGCATTACACTGATATAATAATTCAATTTCCTCGAGGGCTTCTTCATATTTCGCGATAAGATGATATACTTGAATTAGCTGAAACCAAGAATTTTCTGATAAAAGTAGAAATCATTAAAGAAAAAAAATACAAAGTGGAAATATATTGGAATATAAGGCCAGTAACATACCTAACAGCACGAATGGAAAAACCAACCTGAACTTTAGCACTAATATGATTTAGTTCCAAATCAAGTGCATTTCTATATGTTTTTATCGCACTTTGAAAATTTCCACGCATTTTATAAGCATCTCCAAGAGTGCTCCAAATATTTGCATCATGATCATCACGACGTACTAAAGTTTGCAAATTCTCAATAGCTTCGCTTACCTAAAACGAAAAAATAAATTTTCCAACAGCTATAAAAAACAAAATGAAGAAATTTAAATTAAATAAAACTAATGTGGATTAACAAATAATTATTTCAGAAGTATCAGAAAACTGAAAATATTGAGCATAAACTTGATACCTTTCCACACTGTAACTGAAGTAATGATAGACGTTTTCGAGCCCAAATAGAATTTGGTGAAAAAGATAAAAATTTGTTGAGAAAATTTAAGCGATCTTCTTTCCGATTCATCTTATCAAGTATTTTATCATATAAAATGGCGGCCTTAAATAAAAGACAAATTATAAGTTTAGAGACAAAAGCGACAGATAAAACCAAACTTTCTTTTTTTTTTAAATAATAATGCCAATTATGGTTTTAAATTCCTTAATTCCATAATTTCATGAAAAGCAGATAGAAAAAGTTAACAGTAACAAAAAACCTCAAAATGCTGAGGACGTATTTTTAGCGCTCTTTCTAGACAACTAAGCGCTTTCATTGTATTTTTATCAAATAAGCATTGACCAAGACGAAAAAAAATTTGGCTACTATAAGGGTTCAGTTTTGCAGCCTGAAAAATAACTTAATACTTAATACGACCTTAAAAAAAAGTCCACTAAAAGTCCATTAAACCAATTTGAATTAAAAAGAACCTTCACTAGCAAAGAAATTGCTAAAGAATCAATAGGATTTATTGACAATAATATTTCAGCATTTAACAAAAGTTTCATCCATGATTCACAATCATTTGAGACAGCTTCTTCAATAAGGCATTTCGCTTCTACAAAAAAAAAATCAAAAAGGAAATCAAATTAAAGCAAAAGTAAGAAAAATAAAAATAATGACCATACGTGATAACAACGAGTGATTAAAATAAAACAGTGCATTCCAGTAACATTTATCGCTAGCTGTTATTTCCGGAATAGAATCCAATATGGATTTGAAGCTTTCTTCTGTTAATTTCGACGATTCAGCCGACATCTTAAATGAATTATTTTGATTTTAAATAATTTTATACAAAATAATTTATAACTTTAATGATATGAAAAATTAATTCATCACAAATGAAGAATTTGAATAATCCTTTCTAATAACAATCGGACATGCTTCTTGTAACTGGAAATAACTGGAAATAACCGGAAATAACAATTATTAAACAATAATTAAACAAATAATATTACTTAATATTATTACAGAAATAAAATTATACTGAATAATTCAAATTAAAATAATTTCATACATTTTCATATCTCAAAAACTAACTTTTAAATAAACATCGTTCCAAATTGAACAATGCTCGATTTTCAAAGTTAGTAATGTTCCTAATTGCGATAGCGCTTCCTCATCATGGATTCCAAATAATGAATTTGCTTTAGCAGCAGATAAGGCCGAGTTGAGATCATGAAGAAAACTATGATGCACATTGGGAGAAACCTTTTCCAGGATTGCTAATGCTTGTTCGTACCTTTCACATTGATTCAATACAGCAATAATTAAACCAACTAACGGCCTAAAACCATTGCACTGAGACGTAAAAAATTGAAGATGGTAGATAAAAGCTATAACGAAAAAAAACGTACCAGTTAGTTCCATTATTGCCTAAATTATCAATAAAATTTAAGGCACCATTAAAATCTGCGATTTCAATAAATGCAATCAGTGATTCGAAATAAGTATTCTCAACATTTCTTAAGATTTCAGTGAATGTTTTATCGAATTTATGAGTTTTTAAATATTCGATAGACGTCAAGCATCGCAAATAATCCAAAAAATATTTATCACATACGATCGATGACTTCGAATCAATTTTCACAAGAATATCCCGCATATTGGACGAATCCTAAATTTCTAATATTCAACAGAACACAAAATCAAAATCTAATATAATGGACATTACTTAATAACTTTAATAAGACTAAAAAAGTACAAAATCATATGCAAATAACCAAATGTTTGATAACCTTAGCAAAAGAAACATCGAAATAAAACTTTTTCATTTTCCAATCATCTTCAGATTCTCTTGATAAAACCGTAGCGAAACATTTTTCATACTAAAAAATAAAAATACAATGAAAAATAAACTTTATTCTATCCTTGCATTCATTAAGATAACGATATAAAAAACGACAAATACTGAAAAGTTTCTGAAAAAAATTTTGAAGAAAAACGAAAAAATCAGAAAATTTATACCATATTTCTCTCCGCATCCGTATATTCACGAAGAGGTGCAATGATCTTACTCAGAACATGTTTGCAAAAATCAGTATTATTTATCAGTTCTGTATCTTCGCATATTTTCTGAAACATTTTTAGATGATATAAAATATTTCCTCGCATTCTTTCATACTTGTTCGCCTCCAATGTGGTCCTAAATAAATCAGTTATGCATAATCAAACTGCAATGCAAATATAAAAATTATATAAGAATGATAAGAAAAAAAGAAAGAAGAAAAAAGAAAACCCACCCGAATAAGCTTAACATTTTTTCAGCAACAATCAAAGCAAAATTGTCAATTATCAATGCATCCTTTTCCAGAAGTTTGTATAATCCTTGCCAAGCTAAAGGTTTATTTTCGTCGATGGTAATAGCCGTTTTGTAAAGTTCGATAGCTTTGTTCATTTCACCAAGGTTGCCATATACAACTGCACCAAAGATATAGAGAAAATAATCCGTTTCACCATTCGAGAAAAGTTCCTGTACGTAGAAAAGCGTATTAAAAAACAAAAGAATACCAAAAAATAAATGTGGCTTTCGCATATTAATCATAGATAACTGCGAGAATTATGAGAAGTTCCAAGTGCAGCAATATAAATCGTTCCCCCTTATTATCAAAGTCAACAAATCACTGAAAGCTAAAAAAAACCTAAAAAAAGCTAAAAGCTATTTTGCTTTTTCGAAAACACTTCTATATACTCTAAAAAAGGAAGAAACAAAACGAACCTCAACAATTTCTAGAGCTTTCTCATTCTTTCCTTCATCAATATATTGTCGAATAATTTTTAACTGCGACTTTATGGACATAACTAGAAATTCAATTTATTTGATTTGCCTTGCTTGCCATATTTATGAAATGGAAACTTATATAATCTGAAATATCTGCTACGGTCGAAGATTTAACAATCAAAAAAATTATAGTATTAAGGCGAAATTCCTTTTATAAGACCACGAACTACAAAAGGAAACAAATAAGCTTTATTGCAAAATTAAGAACATAGACTACATCAATTAAGACAAGAATTATTATTCAACTGATGAAATTAATAAAGACATCCATAATTCGGCGAAAAATGACCACTGCCACACGATTTAATGAGTCTACCATCTTGCCGATCCCACCATAATAATTCGCCATCCAAACATTTTTCATTGCTTCGATCCTAAAAACAATAAAAGTTAATTTATTAAGTTAAGAGAAGTTTAATAAAAAAATTTACAATTCAAAGCAGCCATTCTACAAATAAACGTACGTAAAATAAATAAAATAGTAATTAAATATTTTTTATTTCTTGTTGACAGTAATAGAAGTGTAAACTAGCATTAGATTCTCTTAAAATCCACAGATTTGTAAAAGTATAAAGATAAAAGTCTCTGTACTAAGCCTAAAATATATAAAAATAGTGTAAATTAGTGGATTATAATGCAAAATAGATGGATGCCTACCGCTCCATCCATCATTAATCTGCAATATAGAAAGAATAAGAAATAGGTAAGACCACAGTACAAGAAGACCGTCCGAGGGGTAGCTCGAAAAAATTCGGCTTGAGTCATATCAGCTGCATACCAGCGAAACATAGCTGGATCAATTACTACTCCAGCCTGTAAAGCTTTTGTTTCGAAAAACCAAATTAAAATACAAAAAAATTCATTAATTTTCTCGAAAAAAAATATCGTCGTACAAAATTAAAAGAAGAGGAAATTTTTGATATTCCGATTAAATTGAAAAAATTTTAAAAAAATGAACCTTATATTTAAAGTTTTGCGGATCATATTCTCGTCTCAAATACTCCTTTTTTAGAATTTCTTTTACGCGATATCTCCATAATACAGCCTAAAAATTGACTTCTTCAAAATATTCCTAAAATTATAAGAATACAAAATAATACAATAATACAAAAATGCAACACCGGATTTCATTAGCTTCATACAAGAAAAAGTAACATAACTTGCAGATCTTTATAAATGGAACATATCAGGGCAATGATGAAAAAAATGCGTATTAATCGTAACGTTTAAAAAGTGTCCATTTTAGGACCAAAATGCCAGCGAGTATGTTTGTAAAGAAAAGATGTAAAATTTAACCAGCCTTGAAGAACCTGTATTACAACAATACTAACTTACTCGCCAAGTCAGTTTAAAGTGTTTTCACCTTTACTATTTTCATACTATTCCGTAACCAAGAAGCGAATTTCTATGGACCAGTTAGCTAATAAATACTGAAAGAGACTTATCCGAGGAAATGCCTAATAATCCCTTTATTCTCTAGAATAATTCCTGTATTTAGTCGATTTTATGTTTTTCTTACAAATATAAAAGAGACGGCATCAATAAACATCTAGCTGAGATATTTATATTATGTTGCTGATATTAATAAAATATTAAAATATTCTTTGATTGTAATTCTCAACTTAAAACGAAATTTCTTCGTAGTAAAAACTCCATTAGGAAATAATAAAAGATTCAAAATATTACTTTTTTTTCATCTTCTGTAAGATTATATTCCTCATTTGGAAGAAATTCAGTTTTTCCATGAGTTTCAAAATAGCCAAGGACGGGATCTTGCCACAACTTCGGTGTTGGGATATTCTGATTCGCTGCTGGCCGAAGAAGTCGTAAACAAAGTCGCATTACCTGAAATAATAAAAAATCACTTTTCCAAGAAATAGTTTACCATTTCTGGGTTAGGTTGCTCATTGGACTGTTGAACCATACAAATTTTATCACTTGGCACTAGGCAGCAATAACAATAAAAATTCAAAATTATCACGTTGCGCCAGCCATATTCTGCAGGAAAATTTCTAAATACCATCCGTCCCTTACTCCCTCATATATTTTTAATCTCGACTTAACCTTTTATTCTTCTGCTTCTAAAAGCTCTCACCATTACTAGTTAGGCTGGGCTCCGCTGGCTACAACAGTAAGGCGTCTCCAAGCCGCCATCGCCCGCAGTAATGGAAGCCATTCCTTTTTCCATCGTCTAAGTCCATATATTGCTCGTCTACCTATACCTATACCTACACCTGGTTCAGAATCTTCTCTGACCGAATCAATCAATCAAACCTTTTATTATATTGCTTTAAATTACTGATTCCCCCTTCCTGCCACTTTAATACACCCCTCTCCTCTCCGCTGAACCCCATTTAATTCCACTCATCTCTACTTTCCTGCTGGAATTTCTGCAGTAATCACATGTTGCTAAATTGCAAAAAGTACGCTAATGGATGGTTTCGAAGGAATTCGAAGACTGCTGAGGCAGAAATGATTACAAAACGTTCCACAAATATCAAATTAATTAACAGATGAATTCGGAAAAATAAAAAAAGTCAATTAATACCCGCAAGGAGGACGAGTTTTAGTGGTACAGTTCTATCAATCAGCCATGCTGCAGCTCCCTCTTTTTGCGGCCAACTAGCATTATTTTTATTATTTATAGTTTTGTTATTATTTCTTCAAAATATTTTTTATTAGTTGTGAAGCTTGAAATATCTCTCTAATCGCGACATTGCTTTAAATTTTATCGGTTATAGTTGCTTGACCGCTCGCCTATTTGCTTAGCTTCGTCCCACTGGCTGGCTGGTTTGTTGGATCAGACATATTCGATATGCTAAGGAACCACCCAGCAGGTGAAGTACCGGCGAGTCGCCAGTCTCTTTACTCGTCACCTCTTATCGCAAACAATTCATTTTTCTCAACCAGAAACTCTCATTCGCAGTATTTTTTGTATTTCGAAAATTTACTCCTCAAATGTTTTTTTTTACAGATTTAAAAAAATAAGTACCAATAATTTGGATGTTTTTGTTCAAACAAAATAATCCGAAAGGTTAGCGTTTTATTTTTTTTACTCCTTAATTATTAAAGGATTTTTATTTTAATTTGTTAGTTGGTGATTCAGAAGAAATACGAGCAAATGAACGAATTTTACGACAAACAACACGTGAACTCGATCGTGACAGAAGGCAAATGGAAATGAAAGAACAAGAATTGGTGAAAATTTATTTTCTAACCCAAAGATGCAGGTGAGAGTGGAAGTCGATGATCCATGTAGCATCATAAATCGGGAATGAGTAGAGGGTAATGGTGCGAAATGGAGCCCAAAAACTTATATATTGTTAGCCTTGAAGTGCACTCAGAAAGAATTTGCTTCTGAATCCATCAATTTATGAGTCTAAGCCTAAGCCTTAAAGAAAGAAAGCGGTAACTCATGCATTAAAACGTAATAAAAACGTTGTTTTATTGCTAAACTTCTTGCTAAACTTTATTGTTTTATTGCTAAACTTCTTATGGTTTATTTTCTCTTCATTTTGATTATTAAATTTTTTTCATTTTTCATTTTCATTTTTCATTTTTTCGAATTTATTACAAAATCTTCAGTCATGAAAGTTATCATTTTTTCTTCTTCTTCCAGATAAAACAAATTAAGAAGATGGCTCAAATGAATCAACGAGAGGCTTGCAATATTCTCGCCAAGCAACTTGTTTTGCTGCGTAAACAAAAAACAGCAAATTTGAATCTATGCGCGAAAATAAGTTCGACAGCATCTCAGAATAAGTTGCCGTTTTAATTTCCTTCCCTTTACCATCTTCAACGAATTGACTATTGTTTGGCTATTTTGTTTTATTAAGACAGATCAGTAGTGCCGGAAAAATAGCCCAAGCTGTCGGAAGAACAACAAAAGCGATGCAGAAAGTGGAAAAAGAATTTCCTGCTGAGAAATTGATGAAAAATATGCGTGATTTTACTAATGCAAATGATCGGTTGGGAATGAATGAAGAAGTACTTTTTGAATAGATTATTAAGTATTTGCAATGAATAGATGATTACTTTTATAGGAATTTGAAAAGAAAAAATCGAAAAATTGTTAAACAAAAAATATTTATAAAATCGAATTGGCTGAAAGGAGTAATTTTTCATTTAGCTAGTGAAGCAATGTTCTGCAAAAAATTTTAGATTTCATATGAATTGAATCGTTTTCATTGCTTATACACAAAACGCTAAACAGCTTACCACTGCAGTTTGTCTATTAAGTATAGTTATCATTTAAAATCAGTGGTGGTTTATCTGTCTATCCCTGAAGCGAATATAGTTCTTATGTGATAACCCAACCAATGAGCAATCAAATTATAGATAATCAACGATACTCTCGACGCAATAATGGATGAATCCGGTGATGAAGAAGAAGAAAATGCAATCATTAATCAGGCACTTGACGAAATTGGTATTGATTTGAATGCTCAGGTTGGTCTCTTTGTTTTCATGGCAGAGACAACGTGAATAACGATCATAAATTTTATTATGATATTTGCAGTTATCCAAGGCACCAAAATCTTCATTACTTGCTGGTCCATCTTCAGTATCATTTTCTTCTAAAACATCTCAAGGAAATTTGGATCTTGAAAAAATGCTTGCCAATTTAAAATAATTTTTTTTTCCATAAAGTTTTTTTGTAAATATCAATTTAAATAATTATGTACATTTGATATGCACACATAAAGAAGCAATGATTTATTTTCATTGTTCTTTTCCACATTTTTGCATTTATAAATATATTCAGAATTTTTTTATATAAATGGGATTATCATAATGCAAATTCGAGGATGTGTAAAGCTCATATTTTAAGATATAATAATCTATTCTTCTCTGCCTATTCTTCATTGCTTAGTTCGAAAATTAATTGGATTTTTTAACTTGGCACTATTAAAACGTGTAAAATATTCGTCATAAATATTGTCTTCATCAGTTTCATCTAATTACCAATTTTTGTTAAACTTAGCGCTAAATTTTTTTGGCGTTGAAGTTTTTTGTCTACGCTTTTTTTTGTATAAATATCAGAAATATATTCATACTAATACCACTGGCAGTGATATGGTTGATTGATACGAATATGGTTGTTTCGAGTAACTTAATTCGGCTCATGTCTTTGATAGGAATAAACTGTTATTAAAAATAAATTTCGTGTTTAGCTGAGAATTCACCCTCGTTCCACCTCCAGTGGAACCTCTGGTTAAAACCAGACTGAGAATTGCGATTTATAAGTATTTTATTCTTTTTTTTTATAATTTCGTAATTAGTGATTGAATTGTGCATGAAGACTGTACGCATAAAATTTGTTATATAAATAATTTTTAAAGGAATATTTAATTGGTTTTTGAATCGTAATAAGTTTATTTCGAGGATTTTTATAGGATTCTTCTATTATTAGTTGAAGAATTATAAGACTCATGAAAAAAAAGAAAATGGAAATTTTGTGAATTTGTAAAACTTAGAAAATTCCCATGAAAACTAGTAAATTGTAGAAAAGAAGATAAACGAAGGATAAATGTATTACGGAATGTTGAAAAGAAAAATAAATTGGTGAAAATTTTTGAATTTTTTCATGATAGAATTCAAAGAAACCTTTCTTTCGTAAAATATCTTTATTAATTAGAGGGGAAGAATCATCGTTATCAGTTGGCCTAAATAGTTCTTTTTTTGAGAGTAGTAATCACCACTGATGATTAGAGTCGTTTTGCTGACTTGCCGCACTAGGCAAATATGGCGCTAGAAATACAGGTGAAGTACAGATCATCGGGATTTTTGTTCGTACTGGAAGTAGGACCTCGGCATCGGCGCTCCGAATAACCCACTGAGCCACTCAAATCTCCAAATGATTAAAGTAGTAGAAACTGGAAGAAATGATAAGTCTATTATGTGATTTTTTAAAATGATAAGGTATTCGGGGAGTTATATCCTAGTTCGGGGAGTATTGTAAATTCGATAATAATTCGCAGTTAATTATATTTTTGAAAAAAATATTTTCGCCGTTATTTGAGATAGAATTTAAGCGAATAAAGTCATCAATAATGTCCTTCCGTCGTAAAATATTTCAGCGTTTCGTTTGGCCCTATAACGCTGTTGCGACACATTCGAAAAGGTGGTTCGCTATGGTATCATTTTTTTTCTTCCAATAACGCTTAGCATATGTCTCAGCATAGGCTCGTATAGCTGGCTTGTTATTGGCTCGGATCAGAGAAACTTTGCTGGGGGATTACTTGACGAGTATAGAAGTACAAGTGAGTCTGCAATAGTACTGCAATAGTAGTATTTAAGTAAGCCTTGGCTGTGTACTTTAGCGATTAACCTAGTATTAAACATTGACCTAGTATTAATTGCTTCAGCTGAGAAGAAATAGGAAATAAGGTATATCAATTTTCTCTTGGTTGACTCAAATAATCTATCACTGAAGCTAGTTGCACGCTGAAAACACGCTTCTATACGAAATGGTTCTGCAGCAAATATAACCTACTCCATTAATCAAGCCAGTGAAGCCAGCCAAATTAAAAATGGAGCATGTCGAAGTCGATGCTGAATGCCGAATATAGTGACATACATAAGCTAACTGATTTATATTGAACTTTGCTGATGATAAAATTGTTATCTTATCACTTAGTATTGAATTTTAGAGTTTATCGAACGATGAACGAATCAGTCATTTAGAACCCTTAAAATCAAAAGGATGGAAGATTGTTGAGGGACGAGATGCGATTCAAAAGAATTTTATTTTCAAGGATTTCAATGAAGTATTATTTATTAATTTTTTTCTGTATAAAGTTTTTTTATATTTTTATTATTTCCTCAAAAATTTCTTTAAAAATTTTTTAAAAATTCTCTTAAAAATTCCGTTATTTTTTTTGAATTTAAATAAATAAAAGGAAAATTTATATTTTTTTGGAAAGGAAATCTATTAAAAATGTCAATAAAAATAATTTCCGGCGATTTATTTCTTATAAAACTTTTCGTTGATTTTTTATCGAAAACAATTTGTGAATATTTTTATTTTAATTAGTTAAATCCTTAGATTTCGTTTTTTTTTACGAAATTTTTCATTTATTTTTATTGCTAAATTGTAAGAAAAATTTAGAAAATTTAATTTTTAAAAAATAATTCAAAATTAATTTTTTTTCAATTTTCTTTTATTTATGTATTTTTACTGAAAATAAATATTCAAAGTATTCTTTCATCTATTATTTATATTTTTCATCAAAAAATATACACAAATTTTTATTTTTTTCTCGAAATTTTATTGACGAAAACCTACGATTTAATTGTCGATAGCTTTTTTAAAAAGATTATCGGCTTTATTTTCTAGAAATACTCGTTAAATATTAATGATAAAAGTATTATTTAGGCTTTTGGCTTTATGACACGTATAGCAATGCAAGCTGAAAAAATGAACCATCATCCGGAATGGTTCAATGTTTATAATAAGGTAGTTATTTATTTACTTACCATTTCTGGTTACTCGGCTGGCGGATGAGCAAGATTTAACCAGGTATTTGGCGAAAGAAATATAGGTTTAGGGTCGCTAATATCACTCGTAGATTTTTTACTGGCTACTCTATTATTTATGTAACGATATTAAAGCTAAAAGCAAGAAAATCTAGGCTCTCTTCTTTTTTTCAGGTTGATGTAACGTTAAGTTCGCATGATGTGAATGGTTTATCGATAAGAGATGTAAAGTTGGCTGATTTTATCGAAAAATTAATTGCATGAAACAAGTTTTTTAATGAGTTGTCAGCGACGAGTGAAAAATTTCATTTTCCTTTTTTTTGTTTATTATTTACAATTATTTGATGAAAAAATAAAATATTTTCAATTCCTTGAATTTCCGGAAAATTTTTATTTTTTCGATTGAAAAAGAGATCAATTTTTCGCGGAAATATTTAAGAATAGAGCGTATGAATTGGGGTTTTTAACCGCAATACAGGGATTTTTGTTAATTATTTAATTATATTTTTATTATTTTTAATTATTATTATTTTATTATTATTTATTTTATTTTTATTTTTATCTGCTTAGGCTTAGCCGAAGCAGTGGAACTTGGCTATTACGATACTCTACTAGTACAAACATATTCAATTTGAAATATTTTAGAACTTAATCAATTATTTGATAATTTAACGCTTATTTACAAAATGTTCAAGTACATATTATTTCTTATTAGATTCACTGCGCTGGCTGTTCCTACAGTTAAGGATTTATATTAGCAAATCACTTGGTGACAATGCCAATGAGTCACCAGCACCACGTCGAATTTTCAAAAACATATATTCTTTTCAAAAACATTCTTTTCATGGGGGGAAAAACTAAAATTCTTGCTTCTTGAAATATGAGTCACTATCTAATCGGCTATCGTTTCCATTCAGTACATAACACTGATTCACATAAATTGAGTCATCCATCTATCCTCTCTATATGTCGTCGATCGTCGTTAACTCATCAACCTAAATTTCTTATGGATTATTTATGGATTATTATGGAATTCTTTAAGATTTTTACAAATATTTGCTTAAGACTTTTGCTTCATTTTAGTATTATTATTTTATCATATTTTAAGGCATTAAAGTTCATGTGGGATTTCAGCGCTTTAAATCCATCTTTTTTTAAAGTACCATTTCTGGTTTGCTTATCGCTACCATTATTGGATGAAACCTCTTCATGAATGAGTCACTTTTAATAACGGTTCATTGTTCACCGTCAGCAAACAGAAAACGAATTAGCTGACAATAACTCGACTTAATCCAAATAACTAATAAGTCATAATTCGTATTGTGATTCGAGTAGATGGTAATGTGCACCATCATCATCATCATCACCATCATTTCTGATCACGCTTGCTCCTCTGGTTCTTATTTGTTCCACTGGTTCCTTTCACTCCGCTGGCTGCTGTTTGTATTACGCAACTCCCATCTGCAAATACTTTCTGCAGAAAATTAAGAATTGAAATAAATATTTTATCATTCTTTTTAGATTTTTTTCAAGGCGAAAATGAGTTTTTATTTATATTAAAGTTATAAGTAATGAATAATAAATAATAAATAATAGTAATAAAATAAAAATAGCCAATAATAAATAAAATAAATAGTGAATTTAATAAATGAAATGAATAAATAATAAATTTTCATATATAAAACATTTTTATATACACTAAATAACAATTTAACATTAACAATAATTATTTATTTTTATAAATTATTTGTTTTAAATAATAAATATAATAAATATAAAATACATATAATGAAAATGATAAATAATGAATAGAATTAATAGAATTATAAATTTAACTTTATTTATATTATTTATATATTATTTGTATTATTTATATTATATATTATATTATTTGTATTAAATTTAATAACGGAAATAATAATATTCCCTTTTATAATAGCGATAACAGATAAAATCAAATAATAATTTTTGTAAGCAAAATATGCATTGACTGCAAATGTTTATATTTGTATACGCAATGGAAACCAATTTTCAAAAGAATTTTTTTTAAAAATTTATTATTTCCATATTTATGGAAATGAATAATGAAATTTTCCATTATTAACACAAAATTAGGTTAATTCTTAAAAGATTTATTAGTAATTGGCTTATATTATCACTATTATCACTATCAGTATTATTATTATTAATATTTTTTTATTTTCTTTTTACTACTGTTATTATTACAATTATCAATATTTTATCTTTACTATCATTAATTATTGTTTGTTATTATCACTAGTAATATTATTATTGATTATATATTGATAATAGTAATAGTAATAATATTGATTAAAAGTAGTAGCGATAGTAGTTGTAGCAATATTTGTAATATTATGTCGCTTATTATTTTTATTATTTATTTACTGTTATTGTTATTTGCTGTTATTAATTATTAATATTACTATTGTATTATTGCTATTATATTATTACAACTAGTGTTTTTTTTTTTTAGAACATTTTCATTATTTGTTTGGCTAACTCAGCTGGCTTATCAGATCAGATATTTCGCTAGGAAATCACTTATCATTTGGTGTTAGGGGATATCACTTGGTGATTGAAGTTTAGGTTAGTATGCAGCATAAGCCAGGTTTTCGAAGGGAATTCACCTGTTATGGGCATGGAACCTCAGCGTCAGCGCTCCAAACTGAGCAACGACATTTACTCACTTAGCCATTCTATCCAATTTCGACGATGTTGCCACTCGCCGATGCGTGACGTGAATTGGTTGGATTTCGTTCTTAATTCTCGTTTCGCCACAAAGTCATCGATATTTTCCATTATTGCTAACTATTCTTTATTAATTATTCTTTGAAAATAGTACTTTTTTGCAGAAAACGAGAGATTTTAACAAATGTTTAATTAACAAACAGTGGGTGTTCGTCGTTGAATAAAATCGTCATTGGCCGGCTGGCCAGCCTGCCGGTCGGTCGGTTGGTCGGACGGTCGGTCGGTCGGTCGGCTGACTTCTTCCTTTTTGTCATCGCTAATGGAAGATTCGTTCGACATCTGGAGGAGAATAAATAAATGATTACTTTGCCGTCGTCAGGCGATGTGCTTCTTTTCATTTATCCATCTTCTTTTCCTCTTATTTTTCTCCATTATTTCATATATTTCTATCGATCTTTTCACAGTTTTATTTAAATAATTATTCATTTTTGTTTTTTTAATTTTTATAGATTTATGGTTTTATTCTCTATTAAATTCGATTCTTTTATTCGTTATTAAAATTAGTTGGATTTTAGATAAATGAAATGTTTTCATGCATACGCGCATGCATGGATATGCTTGGAGGCATGCATGTGTGGGTGTTGCGTGGAATGCGCGCATGCATGCATTTTCTTTAGCGATATATGTTGGCAAAAAAAAATTTCATCGTTTCTGGAAGATTTTTAATTTTCAATTTTTTTTACTAAAATCTAGATTTGCATTTCGATTTTATTATTATTTTATTATTGTTATTACTGAAATTTTAAAAAAAAATATAATAAAAATTTAAAATTTTTACTGTATTTTTTTTTAAATTTTTAAAAAATAAACTTTGAAAATTTAATTTAATTAATATTTGCAAAAATATTCATATGAAACATTTGCAGTTAATATATAAAATATAAAATATATAATAAAATATAATAAACTATAAAATTATAGAATTATATAACAAGATATAAATTTATAAATATAAAACAAAATATAAATATAAAATATAAAATATCAAAATATCAAAAAATAAAATATATATATAAATATAATATTATAAATATAAAATTATTGGTGAAAATAATTAAAATAATAATAATTCAATAGTTGTGAAAATAATTATGAAAATAACGAAAAAGCAAATCGCAGATCCAATAATTCTCGTTTTATCGACATAATTACGACATATCTTTTATTATTATTATTATTTTATTTATTATTATTATTTAAATTTTTATTATTATCATTATTAGTTTTTATTATTATTATAATTATTCTCATTTATTATTGACTGCCACTATTATTATTTTTAATATCCATGCATACGTCTTTTGCTAATTTTTTTAATAATTCTTAATATAGAATTGGATTGATTAGTTTTGCTGTAAATATTTTGCTGCTTAATTAAGGAAATAAACCGCGCAGCTAATCGCATGAATCTATTATTTCGACTGAATTGAATAAATTCTATTATTGCGGAATAAAGTTGCCGTGTGAAATGAAATTCGAATGCCTTTTAGCCTAAAACTTTTAATTTTCTAGGACCTCTAAACCAGTAGTCTGTGGTGCTAGTAAAAGTAAAAATGGTGCTAGAAATGAAAAAAATCGATTTTTATGTTGAGCTTCGTTATATCCATCAGGGGATAGGATGGGATGGTTTAGTAGGTTGTTGCTCAATCTGGAACGCCAATGCTAAGGTTCTATTCCTCGCAGGAGTCCAAAAACCTGTCCAAAAATCCGGGTGATGCTAGCGACTCACCTGTATTTCTATTGCCAAGGGATGACATATTTGTCCGATGCGACAAGCCTGCGGAACGAGTTTAACTAGTAATGGTGAAAACTAACTCTTAATAAAAAAAAATTCCATTGGACTAGAAACTAGAAATCGAAAAAAAAAGTCGATTTTCGATTTTTTAAGATTTTGCAATTTTTAGGAATTTTTAAAATTTAATTTATTTTTCTTTTTCATAGCGTTTAAAATTTTCCGTTAAATTCGCTGTAATTAGCCATTTGGATGAGTGTTTTCGTTCGTATTTTTACTGCTCCCATGGAGAAAATCTTCCAATGAAGCGAACCAAAGAAATGGCGATTATTAGCCATTTTCGTTAGCCATTTTCGAAATTAGAAGTAAAAATTCTCAGCACTACTCGCATTAGAAATTTTTTGGTATATTTTAAAAGTTTGAAAATAAGGAATATTTTCTAATATTTTTATCGTAATTATTTTTGAATTCATTGATTAATAAATGGAGTTTTGATTCTAATTTGGAACAACAAAACGACGCATCATTCCATGAAATATTTTATCCCTTGGAATCACTTCAAAATCCCTTGAAAACCTCAGTGGGAAACATTCAAAGGCAATTTGCTGATACTGATAATGAAGATTTTTAACTGATACCGCATGCTGGAACTTTTAACTCGAGTATTCACCCTAAGATATGTCAATCGAATGGACAGTCGAATTCTCTGATCGTGTTGCTGAAATATGGAAAAATAGCTTTGGCAGCTTCGTAGATTTGCGAT